AAAGGAATTAGCTCCCAAAATAAGAAATTGACTGAGTTCCCATTAAGTTTCTTAAGCCTAAATATGTGTGTCTAAAAAAGGAGCTATAGTTACAGCTGAACTATATCAGTGGATCATCAGATCATAGGAAACAGGGTTATTCTTCCTGGTTTCCTTTGACATTGAAATAAATTTGTAGTTGTAAAATGGGGAGCATATGACTGACTAGTTCATAATGTGGGTCAACAGTGTAAGAAGGTTGAGGTCTCATTCCAGGATATACTAATATTATCAGCACTAGTGAGATCTTAATGGAATATTTAGACTAGTTTCTGTGAACTGTTCTTGAACGGTAATACCAAAGATTTGAGAAATTCTGTAGTTGAGAAACAAAACTGTAAGTATAGGAGAAATGACCTGCAAGGAAAGGTGGAAGAGCTTGAGATGACTTAGTCTTTTAAGATTGCCTATTAGCACTGCTGTCTTTGCATTCTCCTTGTCCTGTCAATGGATCTCTCCTTTGACAGAACGCCTCTTCATGTTCCATCTTCTTTGTTGCCTCAAAGTCCCCTTAATTATCTAGTGACACAAGCTCAAGAAGATTCACGGGAGGACTGGAAATTAAAGAAAGGAATTTAAAGGTTGTTACAGAGGTAATGCTGGAATAAGGGAACAATCAATGAATAGGCAGGTTGAAAAAGATGAAGGATGATGATCTGCTTCACTTCTTGAAAAGCACTGGAATGTGGGGACAGCAACCAGATTTTCCATGGCTGTAACAAGAAAAAGGGTGAATTGCAAATTTTAAAAGATTTCCACTTGTTAATGGAGTAAAACCTTGCAAGAGGCTACCAAATGAGCCTCCAGAATCTCTCTTTGGATGTTTTGAAGCAAAGCAAGCCATACAACTTCTAATAATGAACCAAGTATAAATAGACTATCCTAGCTCAAAGACGTGACAGTCCCTTCTCTGCCATTGTCAGAGGGAAAGCCTGCATAGGATTCTGTGGCATACAGCATTGTAGTCAACTTCAAGTATGAAAATAAAATGCTCATTAGTGCTGAAATAATTTTTCAAATAAAACCTCTGTTGGAAGTTCAAAAATATGGAACTTAACTAGATTTAAAAATATAAAATGTAATGCTATTATTGAGATCAATGGAGATAAAAGAGCAGTTATAACACTGTTTATTTAAGAACTTCAATTTAATGAGGTTTAATTCTTAATATATGTAGTGCATATATATAAATGCATTTGTATGGTACATACATATATTCTAAGTTATAAAGTGCACTCTCTTCCAGTAACTCTGTAAAAGGCTAGTGAGAATTTTTTAACCATGACAGCCTGAATACTTTTCTGGGTTCGTTATATCCAAGACTATTAAACTCAAAGATATTGCTGCTATTTTTGAGCTTCACTTTGGTGTAAGCTGATAGTACACATCAGCAAGAGTATTGCTGTATGCTTGCTTTATTTTGTTATTTCCCTAATTATCCAGTACTAGACATCATTGGAGACAGAACAGTAGGGTAAGATGGACCTTTCATATGAAGGGCCATTAAGATTTCTCTGTTTTTGACCTCAACTCAGTTTCTGTTGGACCAGCATCTTCTGCTTCTATAATATGGATAGTAGTATATATTTCCCGTATTTTTACCCCAGAATTTGAAAATACTCTTAGTCAGCAGTACACTTTCAAATTTCTGTTTTCCTTTTCTGTAAATAATTCTTCATCTCACAGAAGAGCTTGGTCCTCTACTAGTGGTTTGGTTTTCCTTCAAAATTTCAGTTGTTCTCTGACAAGCTCTGATCTGACCACTGCAATGAAAGTGAAGATACTCTAGGTGTTTATTTATAGGGTATAATAACTTCCAGGGACTTGCAGTGAGCTATGAGTGAGCCAGCTTTGCTTTTACACTTTGATTCTGGATGGACATCTTCACTAGTGAATACATTTTTCCCTGCAGATTTGATTTATATTGCTCATAATCTTCAGCTGGCAGGCTGCTTTTGTCTTGTTTCCTCCTGATCCTAGGCTGCATGTATTAGCTTTGTGTTTATCTGTTGTGCCCCTGTTTGGTGGCTGGATTACATTCCCGGCAGCAGAAATGAAAGAATAATTTGCCAGAGATCTTGTTTGTATAGTATTGATCCATTTTATGCTCTTATCCTTAAAAATGGGATGTGGTTAATATGCATAAAGCATAGTAATTGTTTTTCAGCATACTAGTAAAGAGTGCTGGCAAACTTACGTGTAACAAATAAACTACAATCATTTAATTATCATTGCTTCAAATTCAGTTTTAAAGAGGACCAATGTTTGTTTTATGTAAGGAACTTCTATAGCTCTGTAAGTCACGATAGTTTTTTTGTTTTCTTTAAGGAATTTTACTTTTCTTTATGGAAGGAGACATGTTTTATGAATTATAATTGGAACAGAAATGAAATGTATGTTTCCTCCTAATCTGTCTAAATGAAAGATTTTACAATTAAACTGATTCAAAGATTAAAATTGAATGGATTTATTAAAATTAAAGACTGCCTAAGCAGTGTTTTTAAAGGCATTGGAAATACTGATGTTTATTGCCGTGTCTTGGAAAGAACATGGCTATGAGCTGATATATCTTTAAATTACTATGTATTTTAAATGATATAAAGAATGATTCCTGTTGGAAATTGATAGTATAAAAGTTAGTTACCTTCTGGTTTATTCCCTGGATTAACCAGAGTTTACCTGTGGGCATCACTGTAACTGTCCTGCTTTCTCCTCTTCTGAAACTCATTGAGTAGGGAGAGCTGAATGCTGGCAACTGCAGTTGCTGCTGAACTAACACCTATTTCAGTTAATGTTCATGTTTAAGTTCTGCAGTGTCATTGTTCAGGCAGTGCTGGAGGTCCTGTTTGTGCAGCCCTTTTGCAGGAGCAACGAAGGATGGAGGCAAACAGTTGGGAGAAGCAGCCCCTTTGGCCGTCCTGCTTGAATTGCTTGCTACTGCATGTTTTCACAACCTTAATTAGTTACCAGACTGAGTTAATGATAAAAGGTTAGGAATGTAATTAATGTGTTTCTATTGAAAATAGGTCTTATTCTAAAAATTCTGACTTCATTTTTTGTGATTTTATGTATTAAGTAGATCAAGGTAACTATGAAGACATAATATTGTTGTTGTAATGTAACTGTTGCTGTGATGTACTGAAGTTGTGATATTGTACTGCACTCCATTTAAAGCATCATAAAATCCTCACTAAAAGATTAGATTATATCATATCATTAAAGCATTTGCTAAAACATTCTTAACTTACTAACTGACATCTCAGAAAGTACTTGTAGGCAAAGAATCATCAAATATCTTTCTTGTGGGTTTCTTTGGGGTATGTTAAGAATCTCTGAGGCTATAAGCATCTGTTGCAAATTAATTAAAATTATTGCTGAATGAGGTTGTGGGATACATGGCAATTGGGTTAATAGTAACAGGGAGAGTGAAACAGCCAGAGAGAATTGCTTAGCAAGATAAACCTAAGCAAATGAACATGCAGAGGTGTACAACGAGATGTACGAGTCCTGCTCACAGAATTAGGGTCCATTCCTACAAAAGCAGCAGTTCTGAAAAAGCAGCAGGTCGGTATTTTCAGAAGTTGCTTCAAATGAACTCGCAGCATAATGCCATGGTAAAAAGGCTGGTGTTTGATTAACTACAGTTAGGATTAGCAGGGACTTGGTTTCATATGTGTGTATTTGTATTTATGGTGTAGGTGGTACCAGTACTAGGCTGTTACAAACTTAACGTTTTTGGAACTGTTCTTGAAATTGTGTTGAAATATTGCACCATAGATTGAGTTCTGTAAAAGGATTCCAACACTTTTTTCTTGAATTTCTTAACAGCATTAAATTACTTAGTTGTTTGTAGACGTTTCGTTACATAATATAATTAATGACTGATATCACTACTCTACAAGAAATCAGCTTTTCTAAAGGGCTCTTTAACATACAGAAGAAAATGTAACAAAAAGCAGCAGCTAAGCCCTGGAAGCAGACATTTCCAAGCTGATGTTGACCCATGCTTTTTAACAGTCAGGATGAGTAGCCTTTTGGAGCAAGCTACCAAAGGAAGCAGTATATACCCTGGAAGCAGTATATACTCTACATTTTCATATTTTTCAGGCCAGCAGTGGATAGTAATGCTGCAAAAAGTGTTTTAGTCAAATAAAGGTTACTGGAGTTGATACAGTCATACTAGAAAAAAATGATCTGTGATACAATGGAGGTGTAACTAGAAGATTTAATGATGTGCTCTTGCTTTATTTCTGTGAATCTGTAGGAAGAAAATTCTAGTCAATACTTATGTGTTGTCGCACATCTAGTGAATAAATTGCGCTTACTCATCGAATTTATTTGTATACATAAATTCTCTGTCTGTCTCAAGAAATAATTTCAGTGTCCATGTCTTACCATCCATAGTAAGGATTACTTGTTTTGCAGTCCTGTTATACATGCTGGTGTTGCTGGTAAAAGGACTGTTTAATTTGATTGATAAGCAGTTCTGTGAATTGAATCTTAATGTGTTTGAATTAGTGTATTGTTTCTATAAATAGCAAAGGAGATTGCTTAATTGGTATTCTTGTTGCTTTTAGTTTTGAGTGGATTTTAATGAACTGAGTTTTACCAAAGGCAGTGTATGCCTCAGCAAGCGTGACTTAGCCTTTGCCTGAAGTAGTTGTAATCTGTTCAAATCTTCTGCTTCATATATTCACATTATTTTAATGTTACTGCATCATGAATATGCATCAACATGATGTTTTCACATGCAGAGTACTTGCTATTAAATGTCTTCTATGCTATTCTATGTAATTTTATCTAGATCAATGAGTACTGTTTCATAGGCTTCGGGAATTAAAAAAATTATACCTCATGCATCTTTTCTTTAAAAAAAAAAAAAAAATCCTACCTGTACTGTTATGTTGAACTGTGTACATACATGAAACTTATTTATTTTTTTAATATTGTTTGCTTTTTAGTGAGAGATTTATGGTGAGGTTAAACAAGAACGGAGGCCCCAGGAATCCGGAGAAGATAGATCGAATGTGTGCGCTTTTCACAGTACGTGTCCGTTCCCTTTCTTCTTCCCTTACAGTAGTATGGTTGTTGTCACCCTGAGGGGAAAAAAAAACCCGATTCTTTCTTCCAAATATATTGAGTAGAACAGAAGCTGTTTCTAAGTTTTGTTATGGTTATAGCTAAATGGTGATACAAGAAAATGGATGTACTTCTAAACTGTTTTTGTGGCTAAGTAAATACTCTGAAGTACTTCCTTTTACGTGCATTTGTTCCTGCTTATAGTTTGAAATTTTGAATATTTTCAGTGCATGGTACTGTGCTCTTAGATAACAGAGCACATGAAAAAGCTGTGTTGGCCTGAACATAAAGCAAGGCACTTTTTTCAGAATCAAAGTTAGGAAAATAACTCCAACAACACACACACGCACAGAGAAGAACAGAGAATTCTCCAAATGATTTTTGTCACGGCCATTCCAGAGTCCGTGTAGCAGCGCCGGGTAGATGGTGCAGCAGCATCCTCCCAGGTCAACAGCACAGTGTGTGGGATGGAAGAGAAGGATCAGGATGTGCTGCAGAAGCAGCAACCAAGTTGAGCTACAGAGAGTTGGTTGTAATAAAGAAAATGCTGTGACTTGCTAAGTTTTTATAGCAGGTCTGTGCAAATAGCTACCCTGTCCTGCCACCAAGCAGATACAACCAACTGCACCAGCAGTCTTTAACCATCTGTGCCAGCAAAGCCAGATAAGTAACATCCATCTGTGACTCCTACCAGGTAATACCTCAGTTGGGAGTGAAATAACCAGCTAAGATTTACTTCTGTTTAGTTCTTCAGACTCATCTCTCACCTAACTGCCTTCTTGTTTATGGTTTTGGTTATGTAGTTTCAAAGCACTCAAGCTTTAATAGCCGTTCTCTGCACTGGTCTTAAGTTCTGATAAAAATTGCCTCAGAATCATGTGTCAGACCGTGATTTTATCTGTCACTTCTTCTCAGAAAGAATATGTAAATCTAGAGACACTGAAACTTAACAGCTCATCACAGAATAACTGCAAGGAATTTCAGATCCCAAGTGTGATAAACACCTTCCATCGTGACTCACCTTTAGCTAGTGCACAAGCTAGAAGCTCTTTGACAGAACTATTTTTATCTCCAGTGAAGAAAAATATGGCAGATGGCTTTGGTATAAGCTTTAGTTCTGGCACTGAAACCCTCTTAAGGTCAAGCAGGGCTGGACACTGAGATAGGCATGGTTCCCAGCACCATTCCTTTTTCTCCTTTAAGAAGACAGCTGAATTTGTCCTCTTAAGGAACAGAACCTAGCTAGCCAGATGTAAGGATGCTCAGTTCTGCCTCCCTCTGGATATGAGATATGCAGGTCAATCCAAAATTGGCACTGATATTGATGCTGACATCAGTAGCAGTTCTGGTTTTGGTGCCATCAGTGAAATGCTACCAGCTGATTAAATGCCAGTAGATGTAACAGTGCCACTGGCACTGATGTTTCCACTGCTGGTAACTCAAATCCAAGTATCTTTTCTCTTCTAAGAAAAAGGTGGCCAGAGAGCAAGCTTCAGCACTGCTGTCTGGATCATGCAAGAAGGTTGAGTGCGGGATTAAAAATTGCTCTAAGGATTATTCCCAAAAGGCAGCACTGGCTGGTTCATATGAAGGTTGGCACTTTCTGGCCTCTGAGGTTCATTATTCTTAAAAAGATTTTTACCACCAAACTTCCCCATCTGCACTGGTGCCACTCGGAGTCATGCAACAGCTGACTCTGTTGTCAACAGCGTAAAACAGTTTTGCTCTGGTGACCTGCAAACCAGTCTTTACATGGTTTCAAAAATACAAAAAGAACAAGGATATGCTACAGCCAAGGGCATAACATAGTTCCAGAAGAGACTGGCTGCATATTATGAATGGGCCCAGTCTAGTCTAAAAGAAGCCAGCCCTGGGTATTGCAGGCCTGTGCTGTTCTATAGTACTGATCCTTCTGAGCAGAGATCTCTCCCAAGCTACCTTTCTATACAAAAACTATACAAAAATACCTAATCTGCCTCAGTATCAGTTCTCAGAGGTGCTTAGTCTGGCTATCTGTCACTCTCTCTGGTAGAATGCGTACTCTACATAACAGGAATTATGATGATTAGGAAAATTATCTGTGCAAAAAAGTGCACATTTAGATACAATATTTTTTATCAATTTATTCATAGAACTTTCCAAATTATGTAGCAAATGAGCAACAAATAATAGCTTGTTGAATAGCCATTTTATCTGCAATGGTTCTATCTTGTCATAATTTCTTAATTATTAAATGCTTCCAAAATAAGATAGTTCTGTGACTTTCACGTTTGTTCCCAAGGTGTCTTGGCTTTAAATTTGTTTATTTTTTTCCTCACCCTCCCCCTGACCCTGCAGTATCTTTCTAAAACTAAATTTTTCCCAGAGGCAAGAAGCCCCATATCTTAGATAATTCAAGGTATCCCTGTCTGTTCCTGCTGTCTCCTTGTGTAACATACCAGAATTACTTAGGTTTTGGTTTTGGATCTGCTGTGGTATTGTACCAAAGGTGAGAAGCTGCTTCCTCTGAAGATTAAAGCTCACTCGAGCAAACCTCAGCCTATGCACACTTTAGAAACATTCTTGTGTCTGAATTAAACCATAAATACACAACATAAGCTTGTTATTTTTCTTGAATACCTTACTCTCTGTGGCCTATGAGGTTGGCAACTGAATTTGGTAAATCTGTTTAAAAATTAGGGGCAGTCAGGTGTCCTTGATTGCACTGTTTTGGGGGTGGTGATCTCGTTTCTTTTTTAAACATACAATTAGACCTTTATAGAAACCAACATAGTAAAGAACTAACCATTATTGTAGAGTAACTCTTCCCCATACTTAATATGGGTGGATAGAAAAATTGAGTTGATTTTCTAAAAAGCCATGCAACTAGAATTGTTATAAAATTATTTTGTTTATCAGCCAGTATGGCTTAAGAAGCTCAGAAGGATGTGGGAAATAACCCCTCTGTGGATGCAGTGCTAAAAACACCTTTCTGGAAATTGATTTATATTGCACACAACCAAATAATAAATGTGGTTTGTCTTGCTTGGGCCCTAAATCATGTACATGGATTATCTGCAAAGAAATTATCTGGAGGCTTCTTCACAGGGGTTGGGGTTTTTAATTGTTGGGTTCATGTCGTAGGAAGCATTTCTGCCCTTGTAAAAAGCCTCTGCTGTACAAAATGAAATACAAGGCCATCTGGGCCCACATTTTTTGTCTTCTGACTGTGACACTGTATATTTTTTTTGTGAAATTGAAAAGTGACTGAAGTGTGAACCCATCAATATGTGCATGCCCTACCATTTTGTGATATTTTGACAGCTGCCCTTTGAAAAAAAAGAGTTTTCTAAATTGCTTTTAATTAGAACTGGTAATCTGATAGTATAATAAAATTCCCCTTGTCAAATCACAGATATTTTCAAAAATCTGTTACTCTCTAGAGTATTAAGTGCTACCTGCAAGTTTTTTTGGGTTTTGAAATGTATTGTCAGGCACTACTGAGACTAAAACTATGCCAAATCCCTTCCTATACTGGAACTTCAATTTTTCCAAGACATGCAAGATAAAGCCTGCCATATGCTACACTGGTATGTTAGGTGATGAAGGAAGCCTAGAAAGTATGTTCCCTTATTCATGCAGCAGCAAAATAAGAGTTGAAGAGAAAACGCTAAGGAGGATTTATATAGCTTCATTCTTTGGCTTCAGAGAGACGTGATCTTCTAGCTGGTAAGCATCCCAAACAGCGTATTTGCAACTCGCTGCATATGCTGCCCAGGGAAATACAGTCCTCCTTTTAACAGAGTAAGAAGATACAGCCACGAATTTATTACTTGCCTCCTGTAATTTAGCAATAGAACGCTGTTTGAAAGGGACTGAAACTTCTCCTTGGAATAAATTCTCTTTATGCCTAGTTCTCAGTCACTGTGCCCAGATTTTATTGTGCTATATGTCACTATAATCTGAAGTTCAGTGTTTATGTGCATTGCCGTCATAATCTCAGTTGTTAAAATTTAGTTTCTCAAGTCACACGAGAAAGAAATCTGCTGTGTGAATTAAAATTTCATGTTTTAGCTTTCAGTAAAATATGATTTTTAATTCACTAAACTGGTTCAAACTAGGAATGACAGAACTTAGATGTCCACAGTTTATAATTTCCCCCATCCCTTATAAACAGTTGCATTATTTCCTTTTGCAGTGGTTTTAATACCACTAAGTTGTGGGGTATTTTTTTTTTAAATCTGAACATGTGTTATGGCGATTTTTCCAGTTGATGTTTACATTGTAGTTTCAAGAAAAAATACAGTATTAGGAGGCCATGCTGCATTTGTAGATAAACACATCCACCAGTGTTCTTCTGCCCACACAAGTGTACCTTTTAGAAGTGACTGTTACCACTGGGATTGATGACTTTATTCAATTGAAAAGGAAAAAAGAAAAGTGAAGAAACGTGAGCTCATAGCTGTCATTTCAGGTGATTTGTAAAGTCATATATAAAGCCCTTGAGCTGTGTTTAGAAAGCAGCTTGCTGAAAACGTTTTGTACAAGCAAAAAAAATTATATTGTTTTAAAATGATGTGAGGTGATAACCATTGCTTCGGGGTAAGGGGAGGACTGAAGTCAACAACAGTAACTGAGCTTATAACCTTTTTTTGGGTTTGTCTCTTCCACATGCTCACACACTTCACTCACTCTCCCACATTGTCAGGAAGAATACATTAATAATTTTGTGTTCCCAGTTGTTCTGTTCCTGAGAAATGACTGGAGCGGTGCCCTTTACATTTAGGGAGGATTTGGAGGCTGTATGGTATAAGTCAGTACATAATAATAAGATGACAGCACTTAGTAGGGTGAGGAGAGAGGAGAGGCACCAGCTGTTGCTGGAGAGCACAAGGAGCCTTTTAGCATCAGAGTCTCAAACGTGAATGAATATGCTCACAGTGCATATTAGGTGTTTAAAATCTTGTCTTGGAGGTTAGTAACATAAGGAAAACTTGTTGAACAATGCTAATGTTTTTAGGAAGAAATGTTTCTTAGATCTTTTCTCTAATTAAATAATTAATTTTTTTCTCTAATTAAAAAAGAAGTAGTCTTAGAAGTTTATCTTTGTTTATAATGTTATCAGAAAAAAATGCAGCATGCCAAGGAAATTGCGATTGAGACGGTTATAACATGTGAATGCAAAATGCTGCAGTAATGAATTATTGAAAAGCACTCTATGCATATTTCCTTAATTTATTTCCTTTATTATTAAAGGTTTGTCAGGGTCAATAATACTTTTTTGTCTTCGTTAGCTTCACCTTTCCTTTTATGCTTTTGTAGGTTCTCCTTTGCCTGTTTTTTGACTTTCTTTAAGCACATTTTTAAAAGTTTTGACCTGCTGTTCTGTGATGTGGAATTTTAGAGTTTTCGTCCGTGTGTATAATTGCTTGCCATAAAAATAAATTTTGGGAGAGCTTAGGGTCCTGTGTTTTGCCAAGCACTTACCTCATCTTAAGACTGAGTTTATTTCTTAGTTTTCCCAATATGTTATCACCATTTGGAACATACTGAATGTAAGAGTGACCATCTATGTCACTAAACCATTAGAATGTTTTTAGCCAAATGTGGCCTCTTCCAGCTACCCCAAATAATCCCTTGGCATGTTTTGGCAGTTAGAAAGGAGCAGAGAACATTTCCAGTCAGCAGTTTCCATGCAGCCTACCCTGCTTTTGGACTTGTAAGAAGGTTAACCATGAGCTAGCTGCCCTTGGCTCCCAGCCACTCGTATAGAGAGAGCCTGGAGGTTCTGTGCGTGGCTGAGATGCTGCCTTGCTGCTTGCATAATGTAATAAATATATATCGTATGAAACAGGATTAAGGCTGCACAATCAAAAGCATTAAAATAAACCATGTGTCTGAGTCTCATACCTTTTTATGTCTTCAGACTTCTGCTTATTCTGAGGAATTGTGCCTATCCACTCATGAAATGGAGATTCGTTCAAAACGCACTCGAATTTTTATCTAAATTCTGACAGTCAAGCTGCAGATTTTTTTCTGGACCCATCATGTCAGACTCAGACTTCATGATGAGAAGTCAAAAAACAAAAAAGGAAATCAGAAAGAAAGGAATAAGCTTGGGGACAAGGCTGGGGTGAAGGAAGCCAGGATGGATTGCAGCTGGGGTAACTCGGGTTTAAATTCACTTTAAATTGAATGCAGTCTAATAATGTGTTTGAATTAAGGATTAAATTAACATTTTAAATGTTTGCCAGAATTTTTATACAGCATCAGTAGTCAGTGAAGTCAAAATATTTGATTTCTTTTCCTTTTAAAGAACGTTCCAACCAAATACAATGCTTCTATGCTTTATTTTTCTTGTCTGTAAATTAGAAATAATAATACTTCTTATTTAAGGATGGAGTAGCTAAATAAATGGAGTGCGATACTGTGTAGTCCTCATTGTTTGTGGGAGTTTTGCAGGCACTTATTTTGGAAGTGCAATGGATTCTTTTTTTTAATGTCTATATTTTTTTCTCATTTTTTAGGATCTCAGCAGCAAGGACATGAAGAGAGATTTGTACATAGTTGCCCATGTAATTCGAATAGGTAGAGTATGATTTATTTCTTTAAATCTATATAATTAACAACGCTTTTACACTATTTTAATTTATGTTTTACTTAACTGACATTATAATGATTTAAGCAGTTGGAAAGCTCAGTCATAGACCATGCCTATCTGCTGAGATTAACATTCAGACCATATGTAGCCAAGTGTTAGAAAGTTACTCATTACTGTTAACAGTGATTTTTTTTTTTTTTTTTTCTTCTCACTCTGAAACAAAATACTTGATTAAACACCACATTTGGGGTGGCTGTTCACATCTAGTAAATCAGATGCTGTTACACATAGATAAAAAATCTGTTTTCCGCTGTAGGAATCTGAATTGCTTCCAAGAACCCACACTCGAGTTTAGGGAGATGCCTGTAAAACAGAAGAGCAGGGAAGCTGTCAGACCTGTCAGTTCTTTCTACCTACTGACACCAGAAAGGAGCGTTAGCAGCAGTGCCTGCCTGCTGGAAGCCTTTTGAGCTTGCAGCCCAGCATCTAGCAGCGTACACTTGCTTCCTTCCAGGTTCTCCTGGCTGCTCACGTGGAGCTATGCAGAGGAGAGGTCTGGATGCGTAGTACCTAGACCTGAGCCTAGCCAAGGAAGAAAACCCTTCCTTGTTAATTCACTTGATTAATCACCCTTTATAGACTGAGTTGCTCTGACTATTCATAGACCAGGCTAGACTTTATTTATTCTTTTTGAGATTTACAGCAGCAAGAATGGAAAGTGTTTACAGTTGAAATTGAGTTTAGAACATGTCTTAGGCAGTATAGTGCAGTGCTTGAAGTAGTTCACCGACAGCTAGATGAATTTTTTAGCCCAGCAGTGTGTTTAAGTGAAGTGACTATATGACTTCTGGTATCTGAATTAGATTGCTAGAATCTCTTTTAGATGGAAGGTGCTGCATAGAAAAAAACTCTAGTTAAAAAGGATATGATTAGTTAGTAACAGGGAGTTAAATGGTTCTAAACCATGAATATGTATACTTTTACTGAGAAATTAGCAAGTAAGTATTTTATCTCTGTTAAGTATAACTTACTCCAAGTATTTAGGCATAAAATGTCAACAACATATAGTAGGAATAACAGTCTCTTCAGTTGTATTATTCTAAACAGCTTAGTGCACTCTCATGTTTTCCAGGTTTTCAGTTAATTGAAAAATGGCTGGGTAGTGTTTACAATGAAAGGGAGTTGAACCCTCTTCGCAGCCCATTCACTACTAGCATCCATTACCAGCCACAGACACCTCTTCTGAAGTGCAGAAGGTCTAAACAGCTTAGTCAAACCATAGCTCAGCTGTGTTGTCCTGTGAATGACAATATGCATTCTACATCACAAACATGTTAGAAGGATCATTTTTTCATTACCTGACTTCACTGTGTCTTAAAGCATCTAAAAGTTAGAATTACTCTGTGTCACTTGAGATGATAAACAGAGCTTGTAGACAGTTATGCTGTAGTTCCAGCTTAGATTTTTAACCTTGGTGCAGGGAGTGCTGGCCAAAGTATTAGGTGTAATGTTACAAGTTGGTCTAGGTTATCATAGTGATTTTTAAAGTCTTGGCATTTTTTTACTCTATTAAAAAACTGCTTTAACAATAGGAAGTCAATCATTGAGCAGCTTTGTACCTCAGAATTCTCCTTTATGTGCTCCAAGACTAACATGATAAATGCCACAATGTATAGTACATTCCCTTAAAGCCGTTGTATAAAGTGAAAATTTGTGTAAGTACTGGACTATAATGGAAGGACCACAGTGAATCTTTGTGGGGTTGCAGAGAGGTGAGTACAAGCCCTATTCTTGGCTCATTGAACAGATGATCTGTAGTCAGCCCAGCTGGATACAAATATGTGTTGTGAGGCTGCAAATCAAAGCTGGCCAGACATGACACTGTTCACTTTGCCCTTGGCTGGTCTGTTAACTAAATAAGATGATGTGCCATAATCAAAGTAGCCCAGGGGGTCAGGTAGGTTCAGATGGACCTCTGGGTTTGAAAATATGTAAGAAGAATAAAAGAGTGGGGAGTACAGAGAAGACTGCAAGCTGTAGTTGAAACTCTCTGTAGGTATGCATGCTCAGAGGGATAATAGAACAGAATGGATGGAATGGCTCCATATGGATCTCTAATATTTTAAATTTATTTTCTTTTTAGGTCGCATGTTGCTAAATGATTCAAAAAAAGGGCCCCCTCATTTACACTATCGCCGCCCCTATGGCTGTGCAGTATTGAGCATCATGGATGTACTTCAGTCAATCTCTGAAATAAAAGAAGAGAAGGATTTTGTTCTCAAAGTTTACACGTGAGTAACTCCTAGAGGGAAAAGAACACTTTATATATGTTGAGTGGTGAGATACTAAAGAGATATTCAATATCAAGGTGCCATAGATTGCATTTAGGGTTTTACCCTCCTCACAAGGTAAATTAGTGCTGTTGGCACTGGTATTTGCTCCTTTATTATTCCAGAAGCTCATAGAAACTCATAATAGATGTTTCAGGTGTGTCAGGTCCTTCAGAAATAATTGAATATTCCCTAAATCTGTGTGACATGCAAAGCTGCACTTCTGTTAATGTGTTTTATTTAAAATCTGCTAAGCTTAAAACAAAGAAATATGCTGTATTTCACCTGATGAAATACATTCTTCATACATTACAAATCTGTAAGTCCAAAGAAAAGTCTCTCGGGCAGCTCTTCCACTCTTCTTTTGCCAACAGTTACAAAAACTGTGGTAAAAAAGTCAAGTTATGACCTCGGGCCGTAATGGTTGTCTTTCTTCTCTTTGTCAACAGAATCTGGGTAATCTTGACATTTTGTCACCATTCAGTTTCAGCTTCCCTCAAATCAGTGGGTTTTGGTAACATAGTTTTTGTTAATATTGGCCTTGTAGATAGGGTGTTAATACATTGCAACTGCAACATTGTGAATGTTTACAGTAATGGAACATGCTGAATGTCACCTTTCCGTTTTGATGCCCTTTCAATGCATCTTTAGCTTCTTATTCTAGGAGAGAAAAAAACTTGTAAAATACTGGAATTCTTCATTTGCCAGTGATTGATAAAGTCACACAGTCAGTTAGAGCAGTCCAGGCTCCTAGTACTAGGATCAAAAAAATCACAGGACAGAGAGCTTCCCTTATCTTCCTCTTTGTCTCTAGTGGTTTGTTAATATGAATTCCCTTCACACCACCCAAAGTACCAGCTGTATCTGCCTCCATGGTTGAGCAGATTTCTGTTAGCTCTTGTTCTGTGTCTGCTTCCTCGTGCCCTTTGTTGTCAGCATCCCCACACACCCGTTACTGCCTTCCCAGAGAGGAGGTACAGCCCATAACAGAGTTCAACTCTGTAATCAGATGCTTGTAATTTTTTATCACCATTGTCATTCACTTGAGTTGTTGTAAGTCTCATACATCATTGTTTTAAGTGTTACTGCTGTTTGGAGTGTTCTCTGTAAACCTCCAACAAAAATCTTCAGAAGGGAAAATGGACGTATCTAAAGGGCACCAGCTTATTCCTTTTCCAGCTTTAATAGCAGTTGTTTTTCCACAACAGAATGTTTTCACAGGTTTATCTGCTTCCATCTTCTCTTTGCACATGCTTTTAGCTAGCCTACCTTTTCTAGCTTTGTAGACTGAAATTGAGGTGACAGATTTTTGTTCTTTGTAAGTTTAAAATTGTATATGGATGCTTAAACAATGCTGAATGGATTTTCTTACCTGCTGCTCTCATTTTGATTATTGTTAAAATACCTCAGGCCAGCCCAAAAACATCATAAAGATGAAATAAGGAGGGAAATATGTTTGTATTTTAAAGGAACAGTAAAAAGCATTCTTTCTGTAGCTATCTGGCTAAAGCTAAAGCTTACAGCTGCCACAAATGAGGCAGTCAGCATACAGCCAGAAAAGTCTTTTCCTGGGGAGAAGCTGGAAAAAATGTGAGACTGAAAACCTAACAAAGGCTGAAACAAATACATGGTGTTTCAGTGGTGATTTTTGCTGGATCCACAGAGAGAATGCTTATGAAAAAAAAATCAATTTTCTTCACCAGTCTTTCTCAGCTTGCCTTATTATTGTTAAAGATTTATGTCTGAAAAATACTTCTTTCTCACAATCCAGATTTTCCTGTTTGCTAATCCTACAGTCATGTTATAATCTTACTAAGAGGATATAGTACCACAGCTCTAGTTATAAGCTCATTATGTAAAAGCATGAAGGTTTACTTTTATAATTCTTTTTAATAATATACATGTAAAATATTTTAAAAGTGAGATGGAAACTAAATTCTTGTTCAGATTTTTTTTCTGAGTTTGCTTGATTTCATATTTTTCTATGAATTTTTGTCTTTAATGGAGTTTTTTGCTCATTGCACGTTAGTCTTTGTGTCAGTCTTCTCATTCCCCTAAAAACTTCATGTATTTTTCTTTCATGTTATCTTTTTCAATTTTATTTTTTGTCCTATTTTCTCTCAGCCCTTTATTTTTTTCCTTCTCCAGCAGTAGCTCTTAAAATTCATTCCTATTCATGTGATGTTTTGCCTGAATGCTTTTCCCTTTTGATACTCAGTTGTTGCTATTTGCCCAGCTGGACAAGAGTGTACATTGCATTTCTGTCTGACATCAGCATCTGATGTATGATGTAGTATGGCAGACATTCCAAATGGTACATTTACTGTAGAACCAGCCAACCTGAAAAGGTGATGGATGACTCGGGAGAAAATTCTTATTTAAACTAGAAATATATTTTGTAATATATTTGGTATTTAGATAAGTAAAATGTTAACACAATAAAATGCATTACAGGCAAGTGTTTTCAGGCCAGTATTTCAAACTTGGGAAAATATTCTTCTTTGTGTTCAGGACATGTGAAGTGCTGCTTACGTTGGTAGCTGGTACAAAACTGGCTTTAAGCTATCTTTACAGTCCATTGATTTTGGGATAACTTTGTTCCTGGTTAATCTGCAAACACAAGTCATTGGAGGCTGAAATCTATTTTATCTTGCACTCTAGAAGCTGATACAGCAACTAAAAAGCTATCAGAGGTTAGAAATTTTCTGTAGTCTCAGCTATGAGGAGGGAGGATGGTATACAATTTGTCCTGTAGGTTATCTCTCTAAGGAGATTATTTGCAGTAGGATAAATGACTTTTAATGTCTTGGCAGTGTGAAGATTATTATTAATTTTTCCTGATGAGTAAGCTGAATATTGGATAAAGTTCTGAGTTAGCACAGAACACCACAATTATTGAGATTTATGAGAGAGGTTGAGAAGGTGGAGAGCTTCAGTTTGAAGATGAGGAAAATGGTGGTGGGAAGGGATATGACCAAGACTTACAAAATCATGGTGGAGGGTAAACTATTGTTCACGGAATACAACAGTACAAGAATTAGGGATGCTCAGTGAAATTGGTAGGAGGTCACATGAAAAAAAGATGGAAGAAAATCCTTTCTTAGAAAGCAGGTAATGATCACAAGAGGTCCATAAACAGAGGAGCAGGAACAGACAGGACTGTACCCTCTAACATCCCCAATCCAACAACCTCAGTAGTTTCTCTCTAACAGTATCTCCTATTGCCAGTGTGGGAAGCTTTTTTGTTTATTTTCATACATTCTTAACAGTCAGCTGAGGTGGCTGATATCTAACCCCACTGCACTGAAAGGAAGGGTGTTGAGATAAGTGAACCTAAAATTTCAGGTGGGATAATCCCAGTCTGGAATACAGCCCAGTCAGTATTTTAGATGGCATGATGGAAGGAAGTAGCTCTTAATATTTTTTTTCTCCATTTTTCCTTTTTTACTGTCTGTATTTCATGTTTAATTCCTTCTAAATTGTCTGTGTTCCTTTTGCTTTTATAATAATCAACATCTGCAGGAGGTGTCAGTGAGTGTGCCGCAACAGGCTTTGTGGGTTATCTCATTATTCTTGGCAGTATATGGTGGTAGGAGTATATATATATCTCAGTATTCTTGGCAGTATACTGAAGTGGTAGAAAATTACCAGCTACTACTTGTTCTGGATAGCCTTAATTCCTTTTGCCATACTATTCTCCAGTTACATAATACAGCAGACCAAAAAAATCCTTGTTGTCTTCCCAGTGGCTGCTTGGTCACCCCGATTGCTGGCATTGTGTGAGGAAACAAAAAAATGGAAAAAATGTTAATACGATTAGGAAAAGTTTGACCAAGTGATTTATTTCTCAAGACTCCTGTCTTTCTAGAAGCTGAAGGCTTATGGTCTTTGAGGTTTGTTTTGGGTTTTTTATACTTTTAAGGGTCAATAGGACAGAAGTTTAATTTAATCGCTTAATTCCATTGCACTTCAGGAGAAATAAGATTCACTGCTGCTGCTGAGTTAAAAATTGCTGACTTCATGGGGAATCTTGCAGTTGTGATTTAAATAAAGCACTGTTGAATTTAAAAGCCAATTAGACTTGATCAACGTACTGTTTTTTCTTTTCCACATCCAGCCTGAACCTTTCTTGTTTGTGTTGATGCCTGTTGCTTTACATCCCCTCACTCTGCACCACTGAGGAATCTGGCTGGCTCTTTTGTCTTAATAACTGCTCGTAGGCCTTGCTGCTGATGTTCCCCCTCGTGGTTTGTCTCCTCCAGGCTGAAAAAGCCCAGGTCTCTCAGCCTCTCCTCCTCCAGCACACGCTTCAGCTACCTGCCCATCCACAGGACTCTCTGATCTGTATTAGAGAGCCCAAAACTGAGCACAGCATTCTAGATCCAGACTAACAACCGCCAAGTAATGTATTTTCCCAATTGACAACAGAAACACGTAAGCAAAATACTAGTTAAATATTGATGCGTTGTGTAAAGAGTAATTTACAAGATAGCTCTGAATATATCTTATCACTGGAGAAAGTTTTCTCTAATGGATAAAGACCATGTCTTTGCTTTGTGAAAACGTTTGGGAAGCTCACTGAACAGAGCATGTGTTACTTTTCATGGGAATAAGATTTTGGATTGAATAAAAGTTGCAGGATGAAAAAAGGCCTGAAGCAGTAACAGATACATTTAAAATATGATATTATAATGTAGTTCAGTAAGTATTATTTCTATATACATACAGATCTTTTGTCTTCCAAAATGGTAAATTAGAAAAATGCTTCAGCAGTTGCAAACCCTATATGATGCCTACATCTTGCTCCCAGCCATTGTTTTAATACCTGAGGTTTGTCATCGTTGAATATGTGAGTTAATACCTTAACTCTATGAAAGAGCTTAAGAATTAGTTATTGTCTAGCAACAAGGAAACTTAATGAAACTGAAGATCTACCTATATCTTCTGAGGGTTTGAATGTACAGACAGCCCCAGAAGACCTCTAAAGGTGCTGGTGACACTGAATCCAGTGCTCAACGCAACAGCCATAGTCACTGTAATTAAAAACACAGCTCACAAGGGAGAAGCTTATATGGCTCATGTTTCATGTAATGGCTTAATAAAGAGGGGTACTTCAGTTCTTTGCCTTTCTCCCCCCAGTCTAAAGTCTCTGCCACATCTAATGGGTCAGTAGCTTAAGGACTCAGAACATGGGGCTTTCTTCCTTCATTACTTTCTCAGTGGCACTGTCATTCTTGCAGTTTTGGCTTTGGTGTGGCACTTCTGACTCAGGTGCCCAAGATCCAGAAAAAAGCAAGCATCCAGGTGTGCTCTGAGTCTGTTTCCTGCTTTGCTGACTCTCTGCTCACGTGATGATTTTTTTTTTTTGTGGATTATCATTAAAAAGTGTCTGTGTTTCTTCATGACTGGAAAGGAAACTGAAACATCTGATTCTGGTGCTCTCAGCTATCTCTATGACAATATAATTTCCAAATGCTGCAGTGTCCCTAATTTCTCTCTGCAGAATCTTGCCATCAGAATAATATCTATATAGCTATAGATGAGAGAAAGTGATTTACAAAGCTTTTTTTTTTTTTAAATGTTGCTGCACTTTAAAATATTTATATGTAAGGGTGAAGGGCATGGAATGGAACAGTAAGAGATGCGGGTTTTGACTTTCCACTGCATAGTTACACAGTCTGATTTTCTTGTGATGGTAACCCATTTTTTGTTATATTCATATCTTCTTGTCGTCTTTATAATTCTCATTAACTTGTGTTTTGAAGTTAATATATTCCAATTTGAGGAAACAATCCTGAGAAAGGTTAAGAATGGAAGAGGGAATTGGAAAGTTAACCAAAAAAAAAAAAAAGGGAACTAATGTAAGTGCATGCAATGTCATGTGGTTAGTGTAAAGTCTCTGAAATTGTGAGGGGCATTGGAATGGTGATGGGAGATGTTAGGAGATACAGAATCCTGTAGCCTGACAGAGGCGAGGCTGCCACAGCTCCAGCCAGGCACAAGGCTGACCCAGTGTCCCACACATCCACATACAGCACATACACGTACAGCCGGCCTCGCAGATCGGCACAGATGGAGCGTACGCACTCATACAGACATGCACAGCACCAGAGACTTCATCTAGTTCTCCTCTTGGGTTTATCAGGGTAAAAACTTGTTAGTGGAAAACATTTATACCTTCATATAGACACTGCACATCCCTCCAGTCCCTGGTTTTAGTTGCTCAGTTCAGGCACAGGGCATGGCCAGGCAAGTGTACTGACCACAACCTGAATCATGGAATGGTTTGGGTTGGAAGGGACCTTAAAGATCATCTAGTCCGACCCCCCTGCCATCAGCAAGGACATCTTCAACTAGACCAACTTGCTCAGAGCCCCATCCAACCTGGCCTTGAATGTTTCCAGGGATGGGGCTTCTACCACCTCTCTGGGCAACCTGGGCCAGTGTTTCACCACCCTCACTGTAAAAAATTTCTTCCTTCCATCTAGTCTAAATCTCCACTCTTTTAGTTTAAAACCATCACCCCTTGTCCTGCTGCTACAGGCCCTGCTAAAAAGTCTGTCCCCATCTTTCTTATAGGTCCCCTTCAAGTATTGAAAGGCCACAAGGTCTCCCTGGAGCCTTCTCTTCTCCAGGCTGTTTACATGTGACCAGGCCATTTTGTACCTTTATCCTTCATCCTACAATTTATATTAAGTCTTGAACAATCTCAAAATGCTCTTCCCCAACATCCCATAATGAGTCCTGTATCACCAAAAGCAGTAACTCATTTCAGTCTTTAAAGTGATCCAGAGTGCCTTTCTGGCTGGGTTCTGCACCTGGACAACCTCTGAGCATCCTTCTGCGGCAGCTGTTGTTTCCCCACCTGCCATTGTTTGTGTTCTTCTTTGTGTTCAAGAGGAGCCTTTAACTGCATAACCTAACACGAGAGAGGGGTGGTAGGAAATAGTTAGAACAACTTTGTTTATAGGTGCTGCCATTTAGTGTTGATCTTGGTAAGAGGGACATCTAATGGGTTTCAGTCTGACTGTTTGATCAAGGGCAGTGCAGCCGCCTGTCCTGCCTGGATATTCTTTGAACGGGGTTATAATCCACACATCAAATTGTTGTTTATTTTTGGAAGTGAAGTTAGTTACTGAATTTTTCCTGGTGAAAAAATATTGAGTGGAAATATGAGGAATCTGTTGACAAATAATTATATTGTAATTTCTATTCTATGAATTTATTGAGGATTTACAGGTGGTAACGTAACTGAAAATGAAGTATAACAGTATTTACAAATGCTTATTGAAATGACATGTAGATGAACAGTTGTGAAATGCTCCTTCAGAAAATGGTACAGATACAGAAGCATACTTTGTTTCATATTTTTGTCCTGCAGTTTAGGGGGGGTTGCATCATGTTTCAGGGCATTCTGTAAAATATGTAGGTAAGCAAATGTCTTGTAAATGCCTGAGGTACTAAAAAAATCAGAGTTATATTGTCTTTCAAATTTCACTTTTTATTTCTCTATTTTTTTTTTTTAAATTAAAAACAAACAGGTAATATATGGCAACAGTTAATTGCAGCTTAAAATTAATTTTATACATGCACAGAATTCAGATAGCATGTCCAGAACTTTCTTTGTCCTGTCGTAGTATGAAGCATGAAACAACGGTTTTGATTACAGGAAAGTCACTGCAGACTCCAGTGTCCATTAAAAGAGATAACTACTAGGGAATGTTTTGCTTCCTTCCACTTTTAAAAACAAGAGTTATGTGAGATTTCTCTCATTCATCAAAACCCCACAACCTTTCATGTTATCTCTACAGCAGAGTTGACTCTCCTGTCCTGAGATGGTTCAGCGGGAAGCTTTTAACCTGAATTAGTGTTCTTTTGTTTTAGGTGTAACAATGAAAATGAATGGTGCCAGATCCATGAGAATATTATTCGCAAGTCCAGCACTAAATACACAGCACCCAGCTCAAACTATGGTAAATATTTACTTGTACTCTTTTGTCATAATAACAGCTGAATATTTCTTTTAGGAAACTGCTAATTATTTGTAGCAGAGAAATTCAGTGAGATGTGAGATTATGCGTAGCTGAATTTCTCTACTTGTGGTGATTTTTTAGCTGAAATTCATTCATGTTCAGTTTACAGGTGAAAATCTGTATTGTGTCTGCCAATTTAACCAGGAATTAAAAAAAAAAATTAAAAATAATCCACATGATCTCTTTCGTTCTCGGATACGACTGACAATAACACTGATTCAGTGTGCTGAATGTCCTGCATCATTATATGGGTAGTATTGTCTCAAGAGAGGTGAGCAGTGGAGAGAGCTGGTGGCCTGCTATAGCATTGGCTTACTCCGTGAGTCATTTCTTGGCTGTTGCAGTTACTGAGTACATCTACGCTTGGGAAAGCCTCTAGCCCATGGGAGGATGCTACATAAGCAGCAATCAGCATTGGCAGAACTCCTGGGGTTTTTTGTTTTGGGGTTTGGTGTTTTGGTTTTTTTTTTTGGTGATGCTGTCTTAAGTTACTGTGACTAGACTTGGCTGCACAGGAAATGAAGGATTTAAATTCTCTTCATCAAAATTTCCCTAAGTAAAACCATCTTCCTTTTCATCCTGTTTTCCCTTGAAAATTCCAGGTATGACACATATCTAAGCTTGCGCTCCTGATGGTGCCGTGCATCCTTGTCAACAGAAGCAAAGCCAGAGGTTGAATTTGTCTAACATTTGACTGTTCAGAAAATTCTGACTGTCCTGAAAATAAGCATTGTTTTCATATCTACAAATTAATTGTAACAAATACTCTCTGTGATAGTTTCAGTACTAAATGTTTCATTACATAGTTGAGGAGAATAACTGTCTTCGCAAAGTTTTTGCTGCCTTTCAAATCCGTTTCTATTTTCCTAGCTAATGACAGATAAATATGGAAAGTAAATCTTGTCCTATCTTATTACCTCATTTAATGATTTCTGTAATTCACTAATTTAGAGATATCGTTACTATTCCATTCCAAATGAACCAGCCGATAGGATACAGTTCTACTTTGTTACAGCTAGATTTGCCTTCATTACTGATTTGCTGATTCATTGACATACTGATGTCCAGATACTGATATTCCCTTAATTCCACTTGTTGTCATGTTGAGATATTGTAGTGGAATATGCAGTTCACACTCCCATAGAAGAGATTAAGCACAACGAGAAGCTAATACAACAGTGTTCAGGGTTGGAATTTTATTATATGCAAAGTTGGTTTCCTTCCCTGCTGTTCCTCCTGTCACACTTCAGGTCATCCACCACTTATCATGAAAACATTTTCCTGAATTGTTTATAACTTTGAAAACTCGACTGTTGCATTTATTTCCAATTCCAGGTGTCTGCCTAAAACTTTTTTTTTCCCAAGCATGAGATTTTTTGAGGAGCAGAAAGAAAGGGAAATGTGTAGCTTTTTACCCTTGCCTTTGGCTTTTAAAAATAATTATTTCAAACATTTTGTTAAGATCTACTGTCTCTCTGGAACAGGTTGAAACTTGGCAGAAGAATGTCCTGGTGGGAGGGGCAGGATTGCAGGTGACATGATTTACGTGTCAGTAATACAATTTGGGCCTCTCAGAACCGGCTCTTGCAGTGAGAAAATGTTCAAATGACAAGTGTGATTTTTCCCTGAAGAAGAGCTCCCTGGTTCTTTCTGTCCCCACCTTCCCAGGTCTCGTGTGAAATTAGTCCTTCAGATCTGCTGCTCGGAAGAGGAGAAAAATGGATGGATTGACCGGGTAGAAAGGAGGACGAGAGAGTAGATTTACAGAACTGCTTGGGTAGAGCAAGAAGCTAGGCAGAAGGTTTTGGGGTTGGAATATGTGGGAGGGTATCACATAAGCAATATATGTGATACCATGCTGGAAAATTACATATTCTGTTACCTAGTGACTGATTTTTATAGAGAATAGATTAATTCTGGTGCAATTTTTTAGGTACTGGGGGTGCTGGGTGTGAGGAGGTCTGAATTTCCAAATTTGCTCAAGTCCCTTTATGCTGGAATTTTTTGAATTTATTTGCATTTGTTTCTAATGTCAAAAGAGGACATAAAATTAGTAACTTTTCCTGTAAGTGGCAAAAATAGTTAAGACTGATTTCCAATGGACTTGTGTTCTGTTAAACACCCTGAGGCACGCGCGCACACACACACATGTACGCTCACACATGGTGTTCAAAGGGTTTCCATTTTTCCATGGTTATAAAGTCTCCGTTTTCCCTGCGGTGCTTTGCAGAGCTCTTCTACCTCCTTAGCTGGGCAGTTGCAGGTCGATGTTTTGGCAGCTTTTGTACATATCAGTATGTCCATGCTGATTGTCCAGCTGGCTGCTTGGCCTCTCTTTTCCTTCATTTTAATGCTGTATGCTCTTTTTTCTTTTTTTTTTTTTTGATCCCATCCCAACTCCTAGTATTCCTAAAACTTATACAATCTTCAAATTATCTAGATATCTACTTATTTGACAGATTTGGCTGAAGCCAAACAAGAGGCTTGAAAATTATTTCAAGGGAAGACAGCAGAAAGTGGGTGGGAGGTACACGATATTACTGGTTTCATTGCCTTAGTAACCTGTTTAACAAAATGGCAACTAAATATTGTTTGCAGAAGCCATATATTAAGCTTATCAATAGCAGAACTTCAGATGGCTTATGCAAGAATATGTGTACAAGGCCGTCTGTATTTTCATATGTGTTGTTCCAGTAAGTGAACAGGGAGGGTACAAAGAACTATTGACCAACTGTCATTCATTGGATGAGATAAAGATTGTGGAAATTACTATGCGAATGTAATTCCCATTGCTATGTGACGCTGGTAACGTGTGCTCAGCAGATGAGATGAAGCTTGCATGGTTGAGCTTAATCCTGACATTTTCTGGTACTGTAATACTTGACTTTGTAACTTTCCCAATACATTATCCACCTTTTAAGGGTGCTATAAATTAAAAGCATTAACCATGTAATTATTCCTAGTCAAGCTATTCAGTTGATACACTGAACAGAGGGTCGCATTGAAAGAGCTGGTTGCTGAAGTCAGTTTGACCAGTTGGCACTCTTGAAATGTGTTGAGGTGCTGAATGGAATTTCATTAAAATCAACATACCTGCCTGGAGGAGTTAAAGAAACAAGTGGAACATACACTTTGAGATTTTTTTTTTTTTTTTTAATGGTATTAAGCAGGATTAAAGGCAATTTAGTGATGTTCTACAGCATTGTGTGATGTGGTAGTTCAGAGGTGGCGTTGCTCGTGTGTTGTAACCTGCTGTATGTGAGGAATAGAAATCATGCTAAGTAATTCACTGTGACTTGTGACATCTCTGCAAAATTGAGTATTCTGATTTTTAAGAATTGTATTTTAATATAAAGTTATGCTCTTAACTGATGCCTTAAAGCAGTTTTGTTTCTTCTATTTCAGTTTTAAATTACTCCAGAGGAGAAAAGAACTCTGTATTTGTATATTTGTATTAAATTAACTGTGGAGGAAAGCATTATTTTACCTGCATACCTTGTGTATATAGACATCTCATTCTTAGGTCTGAAAAAAATGAACATCTTTGGTTTTTTTCCAGGACTTATAATATCTCTTCAGCTTCTTCGTGGCGATATGGAGCAGATTCGAAGGGAAAACCCCATGATCTTTAACAGAGGCGTTTCTGTTACCAGGAAGCTGGGTTTCCCTGATGTTATAATGCCAGGTAAACCGAACAGCTCCATTCCTAAAATGTTGGTCTTTTTTTTTTTTTCTCATACTCTCCTGGAGAAGTGACACTGGGATGGCTTTACTTGAAGAAGATGAATAATAGATAAGTTGCCTTATTTACCAGTAAATGCCAGTTCCAGGTTTAGGGAGGCATGCTACTAAAACATTTTAATCAATGAACATTATAGAAATAGAAGGTGTTAAATTCACATGTATAGGAGGTGATCTGGAAAAATTGCTTTGATATTGCCCCCACCTCCCCCATCCATTAGATACCCCTCATATATGCTAAGCATTGAGATGTTTCTTTTAAAACACATGAAGTTTCTTCTTCCCAATAATCCAAAGCCTGGAAAGAGAGTTTCCACTTTGCCACCTTGATTTTTGGAGTTAGAATGATCCTTTTGTAATGGTTGACAAGACATGAGGCTGCAGATCTGATCTGATTTTCCAGCTGGCCTTACGGAGCACCCAGTCCATGCGACAGCTGTCCTGGCTGCAGCATTGCTGTCCTTCGATTCCTCCTTACTTCTGGAACAGCAGCTTGAGATGCTTCTTGTTTTGGCACAAGTGTAGCCAAGAGTTCATTTAAGGAGGAAACCGGAACCTGGCCAGTCATGCAACCAGTAGATATAAAACCTGGCACTATATCGTCTTGATTTTCATAGTGTAGTAAAAAATGGGTTTACTAATTATATTGCATGTATAGCATTTGAAATACTGCCTCATTCATATGCATTATAACCAAGACCAAGGATGACTTTGCAAACATGGGAAATTTTATGAAAGCATAATGGGAAAAGTACCAGGTTTTATTACTCGAAAGACTGCAGTGACACATCAGTATCAAAAGTAGTTGTTGTAGCCTCATTATGAAGGCTCTTCAGAAAGCACAATAAAAATACAGAGGAGGTGGAAACAATTTCTAGAAACTAAAGTAAAAAGATGTAAAACAGTGTGTGTTTTATTTACTAATGAACTTGAAAATAATAGTAATAGAGCAACGGAGCATGTGGGCTATAAAGCCAATTATACATTTTAGTTGTTATTGACCTTGTCTTAACCCAAAGCAAACAAATAGAGAAAAGATTTAATATTGCATATTGATATGCAGACACAGCTGCTGCAAGGTGATCTGCTGTGATTGAAATCACAGCTGGGTATGTCAGCTAGAATAGCTAGATCACAGCTAGAAATGTCAACATAGAAATATTTACATACCTGTATAAGTGAATTGATGCTCCTGCAAGAATAACTTTATTCTGCATTTCTGTATAGAGAGCTGTCCCTCAGATGCTTCAGACCACTGAATTTTAGCAAGCTTAAGAAATAGTTTTATGGCCTCAGTGTTTTCCTTAATTGTTTTCTCATTTTCTGGGCCCTGGCCTCCTCCTGCAAGCTGGCATAGTGGGCTGTCCCTGTCGTACTTCTGCTGTTTTGGGCAGTGCTTTTGTCCAGGGCTTGAACAAGCAGGCTAGCAGTTTTCATGTGAAAAGTGCTACTGCCCTAAACTTTAAAATTCTCTATTTATTGCAGCTAATTGAAATTTCCAAATTTTCTTTCTCTCTTTCATTAAGAACTCTAGCAAAAATACTGCCTTAGCACAAAAGATATCCACCAAATCTTAAGTATTTATCATTTGTGGTATTCAGCCTAGAGACCTTGAACATTTAAGTAAATTAAAAACAGATTCCATGGCATATGTTTGCAGCCCTCCCATTGTAAGGCTTGTCCTACAGGGACAGTAGTGATCCTCGAAGATCTGATCAACCCATTAGTTTTTCAAATGGAATTCTTCAAAAGACCACAGTTGCTTGCTAATGTCACATTTTTTAGAACTACAGTTCTTGTTGGAGAAAACACAGGGCTTTCAAGATGATAATCTGTTTGGAATTGGCCTCATGTATATATAGATCTGCTCAAAATCCTGATTGGTACAAACAGATGTGTGAAAGAACCACCATTCTGCTGTTAAATGCTGACTGTCTCTCTAGAGGTGCTGGAAACCCAGAACTTCTCCTTGATTAAAAGGGGGCTGCAAGAGCTCTGCCTATATGGAGTTTAGATGCAAAGCTTTAGACATTTGTATTTGGGAAAAAAAAATGATTTGCATTTGTGGAGAAAGGCAGTTTGTAATTGTCTTTAAACACCAGGTAAGAAAAGAAAGACAGCCATGGAAGTGTGCAAAGGCTTTCACCTCATGCACGTTAGCAGTTCTCAACCATGTCTGCTGCTTTAATTGTCTTTGTCAAACTACCTGTTCCTTGCTTTGCTTCAGAACTCTTTCTTTCTCATTAAAGACAGGGTTTCTTCTTTCATTAAAGATCACAGAAAGTTCATAACTTGTATTTTGCAAGTGGATGCAGACTTTTCAAGGCAGTGTGATTTAAAAATGTTTTTTATTAATGTATTAATAAAGGCTGTGTCACCTAGTATTGTTAAAATATGCAGTGGTCATTCTGCTCAACCAAGAAATCTATCTTTTAAAAATTAAATAGCTCTGGCATTTCAAATTAATCTTCTTGGTCAAAGGTTTTAACATTTTAATTTTCTTTTTTTAATAGGAAATCCTTTCACATGTACGCATCTTAAAATTCCGTAGCTGTGTCTTATCACACAGTTTTTCTATGCCATTTTGTTTTAAACAGTAGCATTAGTTCCTGTGTCAAGCCCTCTTTTCCCTCACTCAGATATGAGCGACGTAAGTGGTAGCTGGTCGTCATCAAGAAATAAAGTGAAGCTGGTTTTTATGTGCTTGTGTCTTGCATGGTTATGCAGAACAAGATTAATATCCTACAAAATAACCATGCCTGTCTTCATTTCCAAAGATAAAATGTTCTTTATTTCCTACTGTGTTGTGATCTTAGAAGAGCATCATAAAGACTTCAATTATCTTTTTTTTTTGTTCAAATCAGAAGGGATTCAGCCAAACCAGCCTCATGAAGAGGTGTGGTGGGTTTTTGTTCATTTGTGATTTTTTTTTTCTTTTCTAAATTGCTCCTGGGTTTAAGTCCGTCCATCTGATCCTGACAATTTTACCTTTCCCCAGAGATAAAAGCAATGAGGCATGTGCTGCTTGCCTTTGGGATTGCAACTTTATTTGTATACAGAACTTGCTGATCAGAAATCTATTGCATAGGCATGGCGTTTGTCAGTTCCCCAAAGGACATCCCTTCCCTTCCCCATGTGCTGATAAGTATTCTGTCTTTTACTTTGATCCTCTGATGAAAAGTGCATGCTTCATCTTCTACTTGTGAGTGATGTTTGTTTCTCTTTTTTTTCCTCCCTCCTTGTCTTAATTTCCTGGCTTCTCTCCCTTCCCTTTCCCTTTCTTCTCTCTCTTTCTGATGCAGAGATGAAGATAGTTGGGTGTAAGTTCCTGCTTTTCTGTGTAATATCTGCTTATTGCTTGCTTTTTCCCATTTTCATATCTTTCATGGAATTTTGGGGATTGGTAAAGGTAGAAAATCATTACATCATAGGGAAACTTTGGTAACAGAGAGGTGTAGACTTTGTCTTACTCTCTTCATACCACAGTGTTTCAGACAAATTTAGTATCTATGACAGATGAATGAGTAGCAAAGGTGAGAAACATCTCAGCATCTGTTCTGTCACTGAGCACAAAGTCATGGCAAAAGACATTAAGAAATGGACATGGCAAAATCCATCAGCTATTCTCGAAATGTTCACGGCAAGAGAGCCAACTTGGCAAGAGAGACTAAAAGACATAATTATGTAATAATTACACCCAAAAAGCGTTTCCAAGGAGAATAAAAAAATATTTTTCTCAAGCATAACTTGCAGAAATGGGAAGTTAAAATACTAAGCTGGAGGAGATAAGAAAAAAAATATGTTAAAAATCAACTTACTACTACTGAAAAAAAACTGTTTCAGGGAAATAATTGAATTTAAAAAGAGCATTGTATAAATTCTCTTCCAGACATAAAATTGAAAAATGGTTAGCAAATAATCTAATGTATTGTTTGCTCCTTTTCCTTGAGAACAATTGAATGTTCTGTTCTCCGAAAGCTAGAGGAAGACACAGAGTTAAACTTGCATAATGTTCTTTTTATGGAAGGGGGGGCGGAAGGTTAATTGAATTTGCTATACAGGCAGTAGGTAAAAGCTTTGTTTCCCCTTGCTGCTGTAATGTTTACTCCCAATAATGTTAATAGTTGCATACCGTAACTATTTCAAGAATACAGACCTTAAAAAAATTAGTGACTGACAGGTAAAGGGGCAGAGAAATAAAGTGCTGCAGTGGATCTGCTGTGATTCCCAGAGGCTGTCTGACCCCACCAGGCTTCCTGGATTTAACAGGCCAGTCGTACTACAGTGGGCAATACAGCAGTTTGACACCAGTGTCAGAGGTGACTTCACTGGTAAAGCAAGGGAAAAATCTTGCTGTGTGAGGTCTGGCTCTCTTCATCTTTTGAGCCATGATTGAGAACAAGTCCCCAGTGATCAGCCAGTGAGAAGAGGCCAGAGCGTGTGTGAGACCTTTCCCATACAGTGCACTTCGTCAGTTTTTTCCTTCAGTCCACCTGAGTTGTAAAAATAACGTGATGATCACAAAGGTGATCGTGGGCCTCGTTCTGTTAACCTCGTCTGTGTTGGAATTACTGCACTGCAGAAATACTTGCATGTTTTTCATTTGGAGAAAGTTGCAACTTAACATAAGGGTGCAGTGTTGCTGTTTGAGATCAGCATCCACTGGCTGGCACCCTGCTCTTGCGCAGCAGCCTCCAAAGCTACTGCAGAGAAGAGCTATCCACCCAGGGAGTGGCCAGTTCAACAGGGTGCTCTTGGCCAGAAGGAAGAGCAGTTGCCATTGTAAAGAGCTAGAACAAATATAGCCAAAGCACGTCAGAACACTATCCAGGAACAGAAGTATTCCACATGTTATAGTTTGTTTCAAAGATTTTAGTTATTTGCTGGGCTGAATCTCTTACAGAGTCAAGCCCTTAGTGGTTCAAACTGCTGTAACTTCACTGAAGTCAGTGGGGTGATGGTGATTTACTCTAGTTATGGGGATGTTCATTTATATATTGGACATGTTTGGTTTTGTTTTTTCTTCATAAGCCTTTGTGGAAGATACTGTCAGTGTCCTTGCCTGTTCACGCTCCAGGGATTATGGGCACTCTCGTGTATAATGCCAGTACTTTCACAAAGATGCTACACCCAGTGATGTTAGAGAGTTGAGTAGACAGGATATCAGTGTTGGGCCTTTGGTAAACGGGACCGTCTCAGCAATTTAACAATACAGACATAAATACTAATTTTTGAAGATAGTTGATGGGGGGTTTTTTGTTTTGTTTTGGTTTGGTTTTTCGGGGTTTTAAAAAAATATCCTTGACTGCTTAAATTGTAAAAGACTAAACTTTCAGTTTAAAAAATCCAATGAAAATTCTCTGGATAAATTGCTGAGTTACTTGAAACTAGACCTGCACATCCTGAATGTTGTGAGCTGCCACTTTTCCCCACCTTACAGAGATATGTTACATGCCCTTTAGAAAGTCACAAAACATTGGCCTCTCGGAAAACAAATTTGTCAGAGATGTGTTTGCCTCTTTCTCCTGTAGGAACTAATGTGAATTATGAAACCTTTCTCTGACACAGCATTCACCTGTATAAAACAGGGACCATTCCTGTCCTCAGTGTGCAAAATCTTTTATGTTTCCTTAATAAAAAGTGTTAAATCAAATGCAGATGCTTTCTGTAAATTGTTACTGCATTCCAGTTCAGGTAACTGGTTAGCCTTCTAGTGGAACACCTACAAATCTTATCAGGATAAATCTCTGACTTAGTCTAATAATACTAGACAATTACTGGCCATTGGACTACTTAATGTTATTAAGTCTTGAAAATGATAAATAATTATTTGGAAGTCTTCCACTACATTTCTTTACGTTGTAAACCCAGAATTGATATACGGCTCATGCAGCCTTTTCCATTACCATTAAAATAGTTTCAGGTGATATGAGAAAGGATTTCATTTCAGTATAAGCAAATCCTCCAAAGTTATAATTCATGATTTATAATTTAAACAATTGCACATTTGACATAAGGCTTCATAAGCAGGTTAAAACAAACAAAACGAACCACCCACAGAGGTGAGGGGAGGGTAAAGAAAGAGCTGCATAACACATCAGAAAATAATTCTCTTTTTATTATAGTGAAAAATAACTATTATTTCAGGACATTTCTTAAAGAATTAGTAGCTGTATATGTTAGAACTGTATGTCTTTTATGCTAAAAAGCAGTTTACATATGGTTTTAAATTGAAAACAATTTTAGAGAGAGATGGGCTTTAAAACAAATACCATTCTAAAAACTCTCATTAGGTTTTCAGTTCATCCTTGACAGCCATCTGACACACAGAGACCTCGGCTTAAAATACCATCCGCAGGTTTCAGTCTATAAATACTTTGGCCCACTAGCCTTCTAACATTTTTTTATTCCTGTACTAATGATAGGAGGCCACAGCTAACCCAGTTTTATAATCAGCACTGCTCTGTTTGTGAAGATGTGAGGCCTGAGCGATCCAAGTTGGTGCAGCACACTGCTCTTCTCTCAAAATGTCAATTCTTGTCACTTCAGAGCCACTTTTGTCTGTACAGGAGTTTGCCACGGAGAGGGCGTGAATAGTCTGCTTTGTTATACAGGTTCTTCATTTATCTTTTTGCAATAAAATTAAATATGGGAAGAGCTTTATCTGCCAAGATTTTTGACTCCATATGTAGCTCTTATTCTGTGTTAGAGCTGACAGGGGTAACTTCTTGAGCATACCAGTCACTTTCTGTTCAGTCCCACACAAGCTGCGCTATCTGTTTGTGCACTTGTGTGGGGTTGTGCAGAATGTTTTCTCTAGCCTTGCATTTGGCCTACTCAAAATACAATTTTTAATAAACTGCTCTGTGTTCAAGCATTTGCTCTAGTTTCTGTGCAGCCCATTAGTGCATCTAAGCTCCAACCCCTCCAAAACAGTAGCAGCTGGAGAAAAAGATGTCTTGCAAGGACTCAGCAAGAGATGTGGTTAACTGGTATGCTGGGGAAAGGACATGCTTTTTTGTAGTAAGGTTATTTTCCCTGAAATAAATGGAAGTGTTTGAACTATCCATACCTGATCGTTAAATGCTTTTTGTCTTTTCTAGATACGTTTACCTTCCTATTTTACTATATGTAATTACTTTTTCTATTTTTTTAAGATTCAATAGAAAATATTTTTACAAGAGAATGTGAACCATTATACTTCACTAAAATACTTTATCCTTTCTTCTTTTTTTCATTTTGATGCAAATCCACTATTTTTTAGATTCCTCTACCCCCTACCCCAAAGGCATTTTTTTTTAATTAGTGAAGTAATATCCCTCCTGTTAAGCTTAATGGAAGATAAGATGCTATATATAACCAAATGCTGCCTTTAATTTAGGCTGGAAAATTATTTGCAGTCTGACATTGGACTTTGTGTAGCCAGACTGTCTTCCAGAAAAGAGGTCATAAATAGGAAGCTCCAAAATGCTAATTATAGTGAGTAAAATTAATTTTTATCAAGAGTTATAGCATACAAATTGAAACTTTTTTCCTTATTGTGTAAACTGCTAATAAAAAAAAGATGGAGTCTGTTAAGCAGGAGGATTTTCAGAACAAAAATCCCTACTTAAATATCTTTTGTGATGAGTTTTGTATTTCCTTGATATTCCTATAGTCAACATACGGGTAGCTTAGCTTGATTTTGAACAGCAAGATAATTTTCTCTGTTGTTGTGGACCACAGAGTGCTGCATTTGATGACTATTCTCTGATGAGAAAAAACAGATCAAATATTTGTGGTCTTTCACCAGCTTCTCGCTGTCATCTTTTTCCTGTTAATGAACCATAGCGTTTTCAGACCTCTGACTGTGAGGAGTTTCAAGCAGTCAGCTCGGTGTGAATCCACAGTGAGAGCGAGGCTGATGGAAAAAGGAGAACATTTTGCATAGATTCCCATTCAGAAAGAGTTCCCAGCAGAAAACACTGAATGTCAGCTACAGAGCTGTATTCTCCATGCTTTAAAAAGTTGTACTTACCTCCAGAAATAAAAAAGAAAGTAAAGACAGGACTGAAAGCTTCTATTGTTTGTCCCTACAGTAGATTAAGGAACAAATTCAGTGGGGTTATAGACTTCAGGAATTTGAAGTGCTGCTTTGACAGATGCAAAAGGATATCCCTCACTGCCTGAAAGCAAATGCTGCCTCTTGCATTGTGCTTCTGATTAATAGAGTTAACTGCATCAGCTTCTCCAAGTACTGGGGTGGAAGAAATCAGACATTCAAGGAGTCTCTGCTTTGCTGGATAACCATTCCATTACTTCATTAAAGTCTCTTGAGGCTGCTTAACAAAATACTTGCCTTGGAAGGGATTAATTTTTTTATTGTTTTCTTTTTTTGTATTTTTCTGTATTGCCCTTTAGTATGTTTGCCTTTGTGACAAGTAAATAAAAAGAAGCGTTGAGTTAGCCATCATGAAATGGTGACAGTCAATCTTACAGAAGAATAGGTGCTATCCTTTTGGTGCGTGCTTTAGAATTGACTGCTTTAGTTTTGAAAGCAGAGTTTCCCAAATCAGATTATTAAAAGAAAAAAAAAAAGTGAGCTAGAATCTGTCAAATTCAGGATAACAAGATGCTGAGATAGATGCTAGCATTTGTATTTCTGAATATAGTCATTTACTCTGAAAGCTCTTGAAAATGAGGCAGTGAGAAATTGGCAAGCATCCATACTGCCCGCTTTCTTATATTCATGCATATGGATACCGGAGGCTAGCCAGAAATCCCACAAAAAACCCCCAAACCTATAATCCCTTCTTAATCCATCTGAACTGAATTACAAGCAGGTTTCAAAAAGACTGCTTTTATTTTGTTGTTATGATAAAAAGAAACTATGAAAGTATGGAAAATATTTGAAGAGCTAACTGAACATTTTTTTTGCTGATCATCAAAAAATATATATTTTTCTTAAAATATATTGGAAATATGAAGTCTGATGTTAACGATGTTTTGCTGAGCTTAGCCTGGTACTTCCAAATCAGCTAACTAGACAAAGTCATAGAACGTTTTTTTTCCCTTCTCCGCTTACACCCAATAAAAGAAAGTATTGATTCTGAGTTCCAACTTAATAAAGGCATTACTAACAATGGTCTGATTTTATGCACTGATATTAAAATATTCATCTTTATTAACAATTAACTTGCTGCTTGGAATGATTTGGGCATCAGCCATAGTCTTGCAGAACACAGAAAACTTGTTTGCAGAATCAAAATATGTTGCACACAGGCACCGAATCTTCCGTGTTGGATTTGAGCTCGTGACTCCGCTCTGTTCTGTAGGTGATATCCGCAACGACTTGTACCTGACGTTAGAAAAGGGAGACTTCGAAAGAGGGGGGAAGAGTGTGCAGAAGAACATTGAGGTGACCATGTACGTGCTCTATGCAGATGGAGAAATCTTGAAGGTAAGTGTTTTATTTCCTCTGAGCTTCGGGTGCCATTGGCTTGCTCCATGGACATGCTCTCTTGTTTTCTTGTCTTGGATGCAAGGGAACTGACTGCTAAATTAAAACTAGCTCTTTCCTTTTTTTCCCCCCCCACTAGCTTTTTAAACTATATATTATGATGAAGGAAGTGGTCAGTTATAAATTTGAAAGAATTTGGAGCACTTCCCCTATATGGGAATAGGGAACTTGGAGAAAATATTCAGAAACTGAAAAGCTTATGTAATTTCAAAATGTGATGTCAGTGGCTATAGTAAAATGAAAGCTTAGAGTAACTGTAGTTGGAAGGAACCGAAGAGTATATGACAAATATCTGAAATTAAATAATGTGTGTAGTACAACGTGATGAAATGTGATTACAAGAGAGACTTTTAAATCTGAGTTATTGGAGTTATGGTACTGAATGTAGCTTTGGAAAATAAATTTGAGTAGCCTTATTTCCAAGATCTTGGCTTGCACCCTGGGATGGCTCCATTCCAGCTGTGGATGGTGATGTTTAATGTTTTTCTTTATTCTTCTGTTCTTGCTTTTAGTATTATTGAAGAGTAGAAGGTAGATAAGTCAACTTTGTGTGGGGTGGGAAGGCATGAGGATAGGGAAGTAAACAGAAAGTATTTTGACATAAACATCCATCAGAAATGGAGAAATGGCTGCATTAAAAGGTATTAATCAGAACTTCTCCCTAATTTTTTATTTTTTTTAACCTTCACTGCAATAAAATGGCCTTTGTAGCAATTATCATAGAAGAGTCTAAGCACCAAAGTGCTTGTGTCCCAAACTCATTGCCAGAGTCTGTTTTTTCAGTGGAAAGGAGAACCTTTCCTTTCTTACTGCAGTAGCTTGTGAGTTCATGAACAGTGAAGTATGTCTCTGGTAAGGAAATGGTTTGTGCTGACAGCTGTTGCAGGAAGATCAGGATCCTTTGCTGTTTAATTGCACGCGGCGTACCTTTCAAATTAAGTGACAAAGAGCTCCATCAGGTCCAACCATCCCACCTGTGCAGTGGGTTTTGGGAAGTCAAGGTATCCATTTGTCTGACGCTTAACACAGGTCTGTTAGTCTGGGTTATTTTAGTATGCCACTAAATGGATGCTGTTTTACCTTTTATATAAAGAATTTAGTCTTAAACCCTAGATGGCTTACTTCTCACTGCAGCTTTGTGGTGTATGATCTTTGGTATGGACCCTTGGAGCAGTCTGTGATGACCTGCTGTTTTCTACTAGGAGGGAGCTGGTTTCATCCAAAGACAGAATATAATTTCTGTAAATTATAAAGTCTTAGATCAGGACTTTTATTTCAGTCATTCAGGATACTCTAAAAGAAAATTTACAGTATGCTGAATGACTGAAAGGCCAGGTTGGATGAGGCTTCAAGCAACCTGATTAGTGGAAGGTGTGTCCCTGCTCATGGCAGGGGGGTTGGAACTGGATGATCTTTAAGGTCCCTTCTAACCCAAACCATTCTGTGATTCTATGAAATTACTGGAGACTGCAAGAAGAGTCTAATAACTTTTTAATATAAATGTTAAGAATAAGGTGTGTGTTGGATAGGGCTTGGTGCAGGTCTGATGAAGGGAATTGCTTTCTTTAGGTTCCCTGTCACCTGAAGGATCACTTGCGTGACCCGAGGTTGCTATCACAGTCAAGTGTAGCTTTTTTCTTTCTTCTGTTTAATTTGTCTAATTATTATGTTAATTTAATAACTTTCAGTAGGTGATGTTGTAGAGAAGCTAATAAAAAACTCCAAGCTTACAATAGCATGGGCAGAACACTGAATGTTCAATCACTGACCCCAAAGCACTTGGGGGTCAATTCTTGGTTGAAATATTCTTTACTGTTCCTGACCCTTGGCCTTCCCAACGCAGAGACTGCCCAGTGGGAAAGTGTGTGCTGAGTTACACAGTACAGTGGGGATTTGCCACAACATTTTCATCTGATATTAGAATAAACTCTCTAAAATTTTCCTGAACAGCAGCACAATCCAAATCTGAATTATGCCTTTGTGAAGACTTTAGCAGAACCATACGCAGCGTTAATGAGAATATTCTGTCTGTCTCAAATCCTTATTGCTGTTGAGTGTGTCTTGGTCCAGAAATAGTCTTATTGAAAGCAGTGAAGTTATTCCCAGAATACAGCGCTGTTTCAAATGAAAATGAGTATTTCCTTTTCAAAATGGTTTTACTCAGTTGTTAATATCTTTCAATATAGTCTGAAAAATAAAAAACCTTGACACATTTCTCACTTATTCTTCTTTCTGTTTCGGTAACAGGAATGTCTTATTAATTGCAAGGCATACCTTGAACCATAAGATTATTACTTGATACTTTTTCTAGTTTAGCTTCTCTTACTTGCCTCTGCCCTCTAATTCACCTACATATTTGGATCTCATGGTAACTAGGTGTATGGAGACTAGTTTCATGTTTATATTTTGCAGATCACAATTCAGAATTAAAGATTAAACAATCCTCCCTCCTCAGACTATAGATTGTTGTATAAAGGCATAGAAAGTAACTTAACAGCCAGAAGGCAAGACTCTTGACCTAATCATTTATTTAAAAGTTTATAGGATGAAACAGCACTCAGAGACGGACCATTCGTGTGCCAAAGCTGGAAATTTTTTGAGACAACAGAAAAAAGCACACATGAAAATTAGAATTTTTACTGCACCTTATAGAAGCAAAACAAATACCATTTTACCTTCTCCTGTGAACCTAACTCAGAATGAGGTTTCAGAATTGCTGTGCAGCAAGCTACTGTTACTACAAAAGATAAGTGGGATATTGCAGGCATTCTGTCTTCTAGTACTGCCACCCCTGCTCTCACTCCAGCCTGTTGATACCTGCAAGTTAACTCTCTTTGCTGCATTAAAAACACAACCTTTATGCCGAGATTGTGGCACATACCAAAAGGTTACTACGACTTGAGAGGACTTTTGTGAGTATAGGCTGCAGTCACTGAGTTTGGATTAGAGCCTTTGCAATGAATCTCTGCCCAGGGAGGCTGTTCTTGCACTGAATCCCAAAATTCCAGAGAACTTTTCTTTCTTCTTGGGCTCCTTCACATATTCTTAACTTTCTCGAAGCCAGAAGGATATGACCACAGGCCAACCAACCAGGTCTGGTTAATGGGATATACTTGAAATTGGTAGTCCCTTGATTACAGATGAAAAAATCAAATCAACATTGTTGGTATTTTCTCAGGGTAGAATTTAGAGCTGCCTTGGGGAAATGACCAGTAGTTCTTCTTGTCATGATACTGTTCCATCTGGGGTGTTTTTACATCAGAATTTGTATTGCATGCGTTGTTCTGAGTCTGCTTAGCTTGTTTCTTCCTGGATTCATTATCCTTAGAGATGCTAAAAGTGAAGAATGTCCAAGCTGTCTTTTCTCTGCATGGTTTTATAAGATGTCGTATCTTTTGGATCACTTTGTAGGTGCTAGATCTATAACACAGGTTAGTGCTTATATAAAAAAATGTGCTTTCTGCTCCATGTCTTCATTACAAAGGACTTTTACTATCCTTATTTCAGGACTCGGTATTTCTCCTAACTTCCTTCACTCATGTTCTAACTGAGGATTTCTGTATTTCCTAAATAATATCAATTCGTGGTTTTTTTCATCTGTACTTTGAGAATATATAGATTGGTCAAGATCTCTGAGCTTTTTATATCTAAAAGCAGAAATTTAGATTCCATTATATTTTAGGTGATGACTATTCAACAGAAATTCTTTGCTTACCACTAATGAAGTAACTCAATCAGAATTTTGTGGGATACTCGGTGAGGCTGGATGGTTGTAGTTTCAAAAGACCAACACTTCTAAGAGCTTGAAAAGTTCAGGTGTCATTTCTGAACTGCAGTACTGAAGCAGAAATATGATTAAATGATATTTTCAGAAAAGTCTAATATTGCAAGTGATGGTCCTATCAGGTCGGGTTTTTTGAGGGGTTTTTTTTGTTGTTTTGGTTTTTTGGACTCATCTTTACTCATCTGTATGTATTTGGGCTTAGGTGTTTGTTGTATTTATTCTGTGCTAGATAGAAACCAGCTTAAATAATAACTTAAATAATGACTTCAAATACTGGAATTCATTCAGTATCATAGGTTTTCAAGCTCACCCTTTGACCCAAAACATAAGTTAAAGATCTCTTCAAAAATTTCAGATTCCATTGTGTCTGAGTTTCTGCTTCTGACTCTTCTTTTATGTCTACAGAAAGATATGAATTATATAAAGGTTATCACCGTGTAATAAAATGACTCATCTGTAGTGACGTGATGTCTTTTAATCTTACATTGTTTTCTTTTGTTCCAGGACTGCATCAGCCTGGGCTCAGGAGAGCCAAGCAGGAGCGCGTACCACTCGTTTGTCCTTTACCACAATAACAGCCCTCGATGGGGGGAAATCATCAAGTTGCCCATCCCTATAGACAGGTTCCGTGGGTCTCACCTCCGGTTTGAGTTCAGACATTGCTCCAGTGAGTGCAAAACATAACCAACAGAAATCTAAAAAAGCTGAAGTCTTTCCGTTGTCAGGTTATATTGAATGAGGCTGTTACTGGGTGGGGAGCAGGAAAGGGGTGCCCACCTAAAATACAGTGAAGGTGCACTGCTAATTAGCCACTTGCTACATTGATTAAACAGCACATTAAAAACATCACAAATAATCAGTGCAGGGCAAAACGTTTTGTAGATGTTCTCCCTGCTGTTCTTTTGCTGTGTTCTCCTGTAGAACGTTTTCTTTACAGCATGTATATTTTATATTTTATTCTGTTTGGCAGGTTTGTGTTTGTTTTGAGGCTTGTCAATTATTTGCATAGAATTAGACATAGTATATTATATGTGGTTTCTTATGTAACCTGTATGCTTTTTGTAACAACATGTACAAATACGATTCCTTATTTCTCTCTCTCGCTACAGCAAAAGACAAGGGAGAAAAGAAGCTCTTTGGTTTTGCATTCACTCCATTGATGAGGGATGACGGCACTACCTTGTCGGATGATATCCATGAGCTTTATGTTTATAAGGTACCAATTCTTCTCTGCAGACTTTTCACCTACTCATCCCTACTTCAGTTTAAATAAGTAATGTTCATTACATTATCTTTCCCCCCCCCTTGCTAGAAGTATGTAAGGAACAGATTAATAGTAGTTTCAAAATTTTAGAAATTCAAAATCACATGACTAGGTACAGATACAGCCTCTATTCTAGGTACAGCTCACCCTTTCCCTTCAGATAATGATGATTTATCCTCTGTTAATCCTCTCCATTTTTAATTCAAACACACTAGTGTTGATGAGCATTCAGCAGTTTTGCTTGGCAACCCTGTAGCAAGGGGCTCGGGGGGTTTGTTTGGATTTTTTTCTTCCTGCTGCTGTATGTTAGTTTATTTCCTTGGTATGATTTTCAGACAGCAGCACTAAGTTGTACAGTTGGAAGATCATGATAAGTTCTAAAGAGTCAGTGGTTAGGAGACCACACTCCTAGAGTGAGGTCTGTTTCGTGTGTGTACAGGCCCCGCAGGTGGTAAGCACTGGACTTTTACAAGTGCTTTTGTGCACCCAGAAGGTCAGTAAGAGTACTGTTAGGCAACTGCTGTCAGGCTGTGTGTGGAATGAGACAGGCTAGGTACAATCCATTTCTTGTCCTGTACCTGCAGTGTGATGAGAACAGCACGTTTAACAATCACGCGCTGTACCTGGGGCTGCCTTGCTGCAAAGAGGACTACAATGGTTGCCCCAACATCCCTTCCAGCCTCATCTTCCAGCGCAGCACCAAAGAGACCTTTTCCGTCTCCACACAGCTTTCTTCTACCAAACTGACCCAGAATGGTAAGTAGCAAATCCTTCAAAATTGCCCAAAGCAACAGGGATTACAAAAAAGAGAGATAAGATGGGTATGCTTGTGCTCTGTTTATTTTACTAAAATACTCCTTTGTTATAGTTTCATTATATGTGTGCTGGGATTTTTTACTAACACTATTTAAATAACCAGAAACTGGGTTTTTTTGAGGGAATAAGGATATTGACAGATGGCAGAGAAATTAGACATTAAGTAAGTAAGTGCAAGAGAAGGGTAATATGTTAAAGCAAAGTTAATTTTCATTAAATGATTGAAGAACAAAAAAATTCAATGTTAGCACTTCTACACAATCCAAAGTTTTTGTTTGGCTTTTACAGCATTACTAAGTAAATAAAAAATTGTAATAGCAACATCCCTGAAGCATAGCAAGACAGAAGTGGATTGTCCACAGTGCAGTGTCAAGTCACATAGGGAAAAATGCAGCCTTTACTCTTTTTAAAGTACTTTAGCATTCCTCTATTCATTTCTTTGATAGTGGTATTGGACATACTCTGTATTTTCCTTCTTGCTTCCCCCTATTTGTTTTTTGGGTTTGTTTTTTTTGTTTTCCTGAGAAGCGTGAACTGCAGCAAGAGCATAATGAAGTATAATGAACCTGTATAATGAACCTGTGGTGGGTCTGGGGTTGCCATTCTTCTCTCTGCGTATGGATTCTAGCTCTTTCTCTCACTGTTCTGCAGTGGATTTGCTTGCCCTTCTGAAATGGAAAGCTTACCCAGATCGTGTGATGGATATTCTAGGAAGACTGAGACATGTCAGTGGCGAGGAAATTGTTAAGGTACTAGATGAAATAACAGTCTGGATGTATCTGTGATAGCAAGTGAATGCAGACCTGCAGTGCACTTCGGAATGGTCCCTCTTATTGTTCTTTTTCATTCACTCTGTGAATTCTCAGAGTGTATGAATTGGGATTTTATTTTGACGTGAAACAGAACAGGAAGATAGTTAATCCTTGGGATCAAAATACAGCTAATCTTTAGTAAAAATTCCCTCTCCCACATGTGTCGTGAGTATCAGATCCTCAGCACCAATTGTTCCACTCCTGTTGAGCCACCCTGCTTGCTGATGTGTTGCATAGCCACTGGTTATGTGCAGACTTATCTGTTCCAGTCATATTTTCTAAAGGACGTTCTCTGAAATTGCGTAAGAGTGGTTGGTCATTTCTAGAGTGAAGAAAACAGAGCTGACTCAGAAAACTTGGCCTTTTCAAACAGCTAGTAGAGTTGATCTATATTTCTATTTTGCTCATATGTTCCAAGTGTCTGTGTAGTGGAGGAAAAAATGTGAAACCTCGAAGGTTAAGTTTTGCTCAATGGCCAAGGAACCATCCTGCAAAGCGTTTTCCTCTCCCAGCGCTGTGGAGCTGTTGCCTAGAGCACCAATTGCTCTCTAGCGTGTCTAACCTATCAGAAATCCATCTCCTGTCTGAGAACTTCATCATGTTTTGTAATCACTGTTGCTCTGCATGCCAGTCCTTTGTCTGACCTGAACTTTCTCAGGTCAAAGGAAATTCAAAATGCATTTGAATACTTGTGGTCTCAGTAAAAAAAGTGTATTCCAGGTATCCCTCTGATAACTTCAGGTGTGCTGAGAACTCTCCCTAGAATTTATTTCTATAAATCTAGAAGTAAAAGGAGATAATTTGTAATGGCAAACAGACAAAAAGAAGAAACCAAAGAGAAATCCCATCACTTAATTAGTAGTTTATGATTAATGCCACCGCACTGTAACTTATTTGAATGTTGCCATATCTCGAATGTTACTCTTCATGATAACTTCGTAACAGGAACAGAAGCGTACAATACCCCATTTATATTGGAATTCTTCAAGAATGTCATGTTTTGTACACTTTGTTTGCAGGGCAGTACAAGTATCTGTTTTTTATAGAGAGAAACATACAAAAATATGCATTAAATTATTCCAGGGGGAGAAGTAGTTGATTCCTTCCCTAAATTAGCTGCCATTTGGCACTGGAATATGAAGAAAGAAAGCAATAATTGAGAACAAAAGAAATTTTATCCTTTCAGATACTTCATAGATTGTTATATTTTATTTCTTGTTTTCCACATCAGAAACTTAATTAGAATAGATTAAAAAATCGTGAGAGAATGTGCAGTTGACTTGATCTTCAGCATTCTTCTTCACAGTCATCCTTCCTGAGGACTCTGCTTTCAGGGAAAAGAAAATCACTGAATTGTCAGCATTCAGCAAGCTGCACTATTACGGATGAAAGAAACAATTGGCCAATATGTAACTTGACCCAATTAATGCTTAGTATAAAAGCTTCACTTTCTGTCATATAACAGGAGTTTTCAATATTAAACATAATTTGGAGCACCAGTTAATAGACTTCCAAGTCTTAAATTTGATCACAAACAGTATCTGATAAACTCTGATGAGATGAGAATTAAAATAAGCTGTTTTGCCACTGTTGTTAGGCAGCACTTTTAGTCAGCTTCCAGTGAAAGGAACACTCGGTTATATTTAAAAATTTTAAATATTTTATAATTAAAATTTACAAATCAGGCATGTGGTACATATTTCTTATTTTTTGTTTTCCTGTCATTTTTGTTCAGAAATATTCCTTGTAAAAAGAAAATTCTTCTTAGTAAAAACAAATGGAAACCTGTCACATGATATAACCTGAAGTTGTTTGCCCTTGGCAAGTGTTTCACAAAGATATCAAGATATATGAAGTAATTAAAGCAGAGGGGAAATAACCTTCTTTTGAATACAACTGAAGTTGAAATTCTTTGTTTATTCATGTCATTGTAGTTCCTACAAGACATTCTCGACACGCTGTTTGTAGTTTTGGATGACAACACGGAGAAGTACGGCCTGCTGGTCTTCCAGTCTTTGGTAAGCTGCTGCATTGTTACTTCTCTTTATCTCATGGTCGGTGGGTTTTAATTTTCGTGTTATCACGTTCCTAGTATTTTACTTCCATGAATGATGAAATATTCAGCTGAATCCAGCTGTATGTTTCTGTAATAATCTTGGGTGAGGAGGGCAGGATAGCCCCAACAGATTGGAGGACAGCAATATTTGCTATAAGCTGGGAGAAGCAACCAGTAACATCTAACAACACAACTGCTACTGACTGTTTAAAGAAACTCATGTATTCCATTGGTCCTTAGCTTGTGTAACTTCGGTATAGAAACCTAGCAATGACGTGCAGTTCCCTTTAGTAAGGGTTCCCTTTTTCATCTCCCACAGGTATTCATCATAAATCTGCTGCGTGACAGCAAGTATTTTCATTTTCGACCTGTGATGGACACTTACATTCAGAAGCACTTTGCAGGAGCTCTCGCTTACAAGTAGGTTTTGTTTATCCATGACTTCAAGAGATGCTATTAGCAAGTTTTTGAATGATGTCGCCATCAGAATCAGAACCTTCGTATTAGCAACGCTTTTCAAAAGTAGAACTACTCAGATGAAAGTTTTCTAGCACAGTTACAGAGAGAAGCTGCTGAATGTCACCTGAAAGTGGCTAAGAATGAGCAGACTTTGGAATTCATCTTGCTTTTCTGAACTGGCAAATCTAACTTTCTATTTTAACTGAAGAGACACTGTCACTCAGTAACAACTCATTACCAGTCTGTACTAATGAGCTACGCAGAGCACATACATTTCTTCTCTAAGGATGTTGGTATATAAGACTTGTGAGAAAGCTTTGAGAACTAATTGTAATTTCCTCTTCCAAAGTAGACAGGTGTTCACATAAGATGATGTTCTATTTGATTAGAGTGATTGTACCCTTTCAGTAGCTCAGAAATTTAATTTTCACTGTCACTTTGAAGATTCTGCCTTATTTTCCAGTACTCTTTTGAGTTTTGCATCAGAGAATAAGGCAGATTTCTGAAAGCAGTAACAGTTGCCATTAAGGGTGTTGGTTTTTCTTTCTTTTAGTCTATTTCTTTCATATATTTGAGCAGATTCTATCTTTGACCATAGTAGAGTATTAAAATCAGCTTATAATTGGTTTGGATTGTTTTAAGCCATTCATATTTTAGTCTGATTAAAAAATACTTATATTAAAAATACTCTGTCAATGGCAGGTAAAAAACTGCATGTATTGTATAACACTAGGAGGCATAGTCATGTTCAGAGGGTAAAAAGTTATTCTGCTTTGTGTTAATTATCACCTCTTTCAGACAAAACAAATGATTTTTGGTAGTCTGATGTCTGAAATAAAACATGTTCTTAACACTGCTCTTTAAGTTAGTCCAAATGGTATTGCGTACTCAAGAAAACAGATGCATGTATTTTCTTTGTGATCTTGGTTTCTACAGACTTCTGACAGGTCTGGAATTTCTTTAAACAAAAAAAAAAAAAAGGATGTTTTGGTCTTAGAACTATATTGTGTGCCTTTATCAAAGCTATCTCTTTAATAACATCTTTTTGATGTTCACTTAGTGTTCCTCATGGTCTAAGTCAGTTACAGAGAAACAATTATTTTCTGGTTTTGACACTTAAATAAATATATATATAATGTAAATTCAATAGCTAGGACAGCGATAGCTGACCACTGAAATGGAGTGAAATGAGACTATTTTATAGATTTTTCCCTAAAACCAATATGTTTGTTGCCTGACTAATTTTAAAATAGTGCTGAAGGTTCCTCTTCTTTTCCCTGTTTGTTATATTCAGAGAGCTGATCCGATGTTTGAAGTGGTACATGGACCGTTCAGCTGAGCTTGTACGCCAGGACCACATCCAGGAAGCAATGAGAGTATGTATTCAACAGCAGTATTTGTGTGTCTGTTCCATCTGTGACTACAAAAGGGCCAGGGAAGCTGTAAATAAAATCAAGGGTAGTCTGGCACTGACTTATTTGTTTAATCAGAACGTTTTGGGGTTTTTTTTAAATATTTTGCAAAAATTTTCATTTTAGGGGGAGATTCACTCTTGTGCAAAAAAAAAAAAAAAAAGAAGAATTATGTCTCCTTAAGTCCTTTTGAAGCCCTATGGAGAACTTAAGTGGGACATACATGGAGTATATACACACTGGCCATTTATATATGTGGTCTATACTTTGCACTTCAAGAAGCAGTTATTTTAAATGTATTAGGTACAGGTGCTGTGGATCAAAGATATCCTTTTTATTTCTGGCTGTGACACAGCTTCATTGTATGGTGATGCTCTTGGAGTATTTTAAGAAGCAGATAAATGAGCCCTTAACTGGATGGACACTCTTAACAACTGTCATTGCTCAGGACCTGAATCACATTTCCGCGGTGAGAGTATCACAGGAAGGCACAGCTTTCTAATGGTGTGTGAAGCAAAGGGAGTATTTTTGGTGCTATTACATAGAAATCAGAGAATAAATAAAGTATTAGTTTTACTGTGTGTAATTGTAAATCAGAAAGACAGTGTGTCAAGTACATAAATACAAGATTCCAACATTTGCAGGAAGATATTTTTCTTTGAGGCAATGTCCTTCTGTATCTTCTTACTCTGAGTAGGTTTATATCCAAACATTTGATTCTGGGCACTTTTAGAACTAGTAGCAGTGGCAGAGATGAGCACTTCCTTTTCCTAACTTTTTCATGTCAGTACAAATAGGTGAAGCATCTCACAGGTGAGGCACACACACATACATATACTACTCCTTTAATTTCTGGCAACCATTTGGGAAAGTCTGAGCTTGTTCCTTGTATTTATGCTTGTGTCTTGGCGTATGTTTCAGGCTTTCTTATGGCTTTTCTCATTCTCCTTGTGATATTTTTGTTCTTTGTTTTGCCTCCTTTGGTCTAATTTAGTCAGTATTTTTGAGGAAGTGATTTTTATTTTTTGAGAATCCCTGTTCCATCTGAATGGTTTAGCATCACTGCCATCAACTAGCTTTCAAGATCTCCTGTTAAGGTCATATCCTGATACTTACAAGGACATTATACCAGTGTTTACTTCATCTTTTGTAGATATTTACATACTTCATTGTAATACTTTTCAACCACAGATTCATAGGGAATGGTAAAAATGGGGCAAATATGTCTTTTAAATAAATTACCGACTTTCTCATTCTTTTTATTTCCATCCTTATCCTTCCTTTTTTTTTTTTTTTTTTTTAATTACAAAGAAACCTATTACAATAGGTGAGAGGAAGATCTATATCTGGAATGACTTCTAGAAAGTTTTCTTGCCACTCAAACCACTCATTAGTGCTGTATGCAAGGCAGCAGGTAGAGATGTATGGTATTGTCCCTATGTGATCTGCATTTTTTGAACCTCACAGTAGTCCTCTTCAGAAATACTAAAAATATGAATGCTGGAATGTCTTTCAGAAGCTCCAATATCCAACATCCTGTTTGTGAATAAGGAACATTCTTTCAGGGATTCTAAGACAGCTCTTTGCTTACCTTGGAAGTCTCAAGTCCTTGCCTAGAAAGCAGCTCTTCCCTCCATGAGTGTTTTCAACTCGAAGACCTGACAGCCCAAGCCTTTCCAAGCACAGGAATTAAAATTGCCACCAGAGTTTCTGCAGAATTAACAGTACATCCTCTACCACTGACACTGCTGTCACATCTTATTCCGACAGTTGCCTTTGCAGGTGTATCTTGGAGGCCCATCATTATCATCTTCCATTACAGGAAAGTGATTGATTTCCTTCTTTGTTTCCAGATTTTATTTTGGGCATCTGGAGCAAGTTGGTACCGAAACCCTGTCCTCATTCAGAAATAATTGCCTTATTTGGTGTTTTACATTTTCTACAGTCTCACTTTTTCTACAAATACCGGAACATTGCTGATGTAACTACAATTGTTCTACCCTGGTCAGCTTGTTTGTGGGGCTTGCTCCTTCTTTTATTGCTGATGCCTTGAACTTCTCTCTAGGTCTTTTATCTGCTCTCAACAAGACTCAAATTGGTCTTGTTGGTACCTTCACTTGAACCTTTGCACTTTTCTTAAAACTGCATAGTAGGTGCTTCTTGTACTTGAAGCAAGTATGCTGTTCTCTGGGAAAACCACATTGACAGTAGCAGGAAGAAGTTTTTTAGCTGCTCTTGAATGGTGAAGTGGATACTCAGAGGCTACTGAGAATGGCTTGTATTCACTTTGGCTAGGACAGTGAAAGAGATTCAGACCTTCAGAGCTAATCCTCTTTACATACACTGTGCTCATGGTAAGGTTACCCATTCTATATACTCCAGATTCCTTCCTTAAAGTAATCTTTGGGTTTCTTGAGTTAGGAAATTAATCTGTGTTTTTTCTTAAAGCAGCTCTATACAAGGTTGATTCACCTGTTTGTACTCTGAACATCAGGTATGGTTTGCCTTTTGCCTGAATGGAACAGACTCTTCAGCTCTACAGCAGATGAGTCCAGATGCACAGCTGTACTGTCCCGAAGACTGTCCACTGGATTTATGAATGTGCTACAGTAGAACCATCAAATGTTGTCTGAGCATAATTTCCAAAGGCTCAAGTGACGTTGGTGTCTCTGAAGAGTGTCTTTATCCATTAGACCTACAGAATAACCACAGAAATTTATCCACTTTTTTGCCTGTGTTATCGTAGAAGCTTCTAACTGATGCTGCTTTTGTCATAGTGGTCTTCTGGTTTTAATTCTCCTGGGACATTGCAACTACCCATTAGGTAATCTGTGCAAGCTGAGGTGTGCTGTTCCTGTATTCACAGAGTAAACATGCATATGGACAGTCATTTAGAGAAGAAAGGAAGCTTACTCATTAGTAAGTGGAAGTTCTCTGAGATGCATTATCTGTGTGCACATTTCCTACTCCTTTTCTCATCTCTCCTGGAGCACCACTGGTAGAATTTAAGGATTATTTGGTTGAGGGGAAATAAGGTTATGATGATTTTTGTCCATTTAAATTTTGCATGTGATGTACCATGGGTCTTTAGGTTACTGGTCACACGTGAGTGGTGTGTGCTCACCTATTATGTGAACGTGCATACAGACTACGTTTTTAAGAAACTTCCTTTCATTTGATACCAATTCTCTATATCATGCCAAGCATAATAGAGGGCCTGGATTTTATTTCAGTGCAGTTTTATGTCTTCAGGCACATATATGCATCACATGTGTGATTTTATGAGAAGCAGAGTTAGTCCAAGTGCTGATTTGTGCTAACAAGACTTGGTTTGTGTTTTTACCACCTCAGCCATGTGTCTGCAAACAACTGAACTCCTCTGTTAACTGCCTTTGTGGGTTCATTCTAGGCAGCAGTTTAGGTTGTCGGTGCTCAGGATGTGGAGTGTCTCTTGAGAGTCTGCCTTCAACAGAGAATTATAGAATTGCATACATAAATCCTCTGATTCATAGCAAAACATAATCTTCACATTAAAGTTACGAGCTTTCAGGTTAGAATTATGGTTGTCTATACCAAGCCTATAAAACAGCTTGTACAAGCACTTGGCTTGCTGTACTTGGTGTTAGCAGCAGAGATGCTGACCTTTAAGAGCTGACTGTTGTGAACCAGTTGACCTTTTTCTAGAAACTATCTAGAAATATAAAGTGTTATTTCCTAATTAAGTTCTGTGGTGTAAGGAAGCTTCACTGGGAGATGGTTTAGTACAGAAGTAGAAATAATATACTGCCAAATTACCAAAATTGCCATCATTCTGGAAAAAAAAAAAGTATCAGTAGCATTTTGAAATCTGTGATGGCTTTATGAGGAATTTCACATTCCATTCTCTAGCCTTAAAGCTGTAGCATTCTAAACTTACAACATAACATTGCATATTCCTGCATACAGCGTGGTGGTTCTATGAGTGGCATCTTATGGATGCAAAAATACCTGATGAGGGCAAAATTAGTATTTGAATTAACTTTCAGTTTCCAAACAATGAAGCAAGACAAGAATACTTTCCAGCGAATACAGTGGAACATTAGTAATGTTTCTGTATTGACTATGATTGCTGAAGCTCCAGCTTCTTTGTTTCCTGTGCTGAATTTTGAGGATATCATCAAACTATGCATCTTGTCTTCTCTTAATCCTGCTTTAATGGTGTATCATGTTAAGCAGTAAGGGAAGAAGTGAAGCCTAAATGTCACTGGTATTTATTACATTTCAGTGTTGACAGTTGTGTACACCAAATGATCAAAAAAGCCTTGTTGCTGTGTGGAATATTACATTGCTGTATCAGTGTCTGAGAACCTTTAAAAGATCAGTAAGCTTGCTAAATGCTGCATAGAACAATATCTTTTTCTTCACTGACACTGCTGGCAAATAGAGTTCTGAATAATGCCACTTACAACATTTTAGTTAAAGATGTTTAGGTTGCAAATTCAGACTTAATCTAGACATGTCATAGAACAGATTATCATTCTACTCCCAAAAGATCCAGTGTGGCAGTCCTTCAGGACTGCAGCGTCTATCACACATTGTGTAACGGTGTTAAATGCCATCTTCTGTGCAGGTTATTCTCCCTCTGCTGGGTGCTCTCTATGTTTCATGTGTGATGATAAAAGACAGACACTTTAACTTATCACATCCTGAAATAAAAAGATACTCGCTACAGTACTGCTGCTTGCTACTGTTACGGGCTGCCAGAGGGCTTCACATGCTGCTCCTGTCTTCTGTTTCTGCATCTGCGTTTATTTCTGTTTGTACATGTGTGTGTAGCTGCCAGAAAAAAAAGGTGAACCTTGCTGTTGTGTTCATATTGAAAAGTAGATTCTCCTTTTTCCAGGTAACCCTTCTTCTGTTCCACTGACAGTCCACTTATCTTAATCTAGATTAGCTAACTCAAGGAATTAAAGGTAGAATTTGAGTGAAAACAGGAGAATAGCTTCTTCAGACACTTAGAGTCATTGTGCCATGCTATGAGAAAACTAGAAGTCTCTTATCTTCACCAAGATTTTCCTCAAATTACGTAACTTGAATTTGTCTGTTTGACTTAAATGCATACTTTTTTTTTGTTGGTGGGACATACTAGTAAAAAAGATTGTTGTTTAAGAATGGGTACTTGTCTATGAGTAGCTCTTCCTTAACTGAATTATATAACTTACAAAACCTGTTTTTCTTTCTCCTTTCTAAAGCTGAAGAATTTAATTGTTATGCACCTTGAATCTTTCCTGGTTCTCTTTAAAGCTCCTTTATTTTTCTTTCTCTCTTTTTCTCTGTCCTAATCTCCTTCCTCTCCTGCTCCTTAAGGCCTTGGAATATCTTTTCAAGTTCATTGTCCAATCTCGGATCCTTTACTCCAGAGCTACTTGTGGAATGGAGGAGGAGCAGTTCCGCTCCAGCATCCAGGAGCTTTTCCAGTCCATCAGATTTGTGCTCAGCTTGGACAGCAGGAGCTCTGAGACTCTCATCTTCACACAGGTTTGCTATTTTCTACACTATCTGGCAAACCAAAAGGCAGCTATTTTCTGCACAGGTAGTGTATATGGGCACATGACGATTACATGCAGGTTAGTAGAGTTTTCTCCCTCTAACAAGCTGATGATACTGGGCAACATCATAGCCAGTTAATGTTATTAGTAGCTTTGCGCCGCTTCACAGATACAGCTGAGCTGAACTGTGGACTCTCAAGAGGAAAGTGCCTTGTCACATGAGAATACCATTTTTGCTCTTCACAAAAGTAAACTGCATTTTCAAGTCTCTCATTCATATGTCTTACAATCAGCCTCAAGAAATTTTAAATCCTTAATTGTAGTGACTCAAGTCAATATTTAGGGTCATAGCAACATCACAGTAGAGAAAATTACAGTCAGAATCATATGCAGCCTGACCACAAGCATACAGTGATACCTACACTCACATTTAATACATTATTTTGAATATGGCCCAGATGACTTCATAAAGACTTTGTGTGGGCTTAAGATAACTGAAAGTGAGTGAGGATGCTGCTGAGTTCTGTTTCATATTTTAAAGACCACTGTACTAAATTATATACTTCTGGTTTTTAAAGTTTTAAATAATAATGTCAAATGCACTGTGTGTTCCTCAGCTCAGAGAATGTCTAAATGGACCACCTAGAACTCTTGGTAATATGAAGGTGATTTGTAATCACTAATTTACTATTTACAGATGTTTTGAACACCTGCTATAGGTTGCCAAAGAAGCAGTTGTTGTGAACATGGCAACAAAACAGAGCGACTCCACTGGTTAGGGAAGCTGCCAGCAATGCAGTCGCTTTCTTAAGAAGCTGCTCTGAAAGATTTTGAGAACAGCTGCTCTAATCTTTTATTTAATCAGCCATTAGTGGGTATAATAAGATGAGACAGGAACATGAGAAATCTGCACAGAATTTTGCAGGCAAAGTGACAGTGAGTGGAAATGGCATATATGAATGCAGGCGGTTTAGGGTTCTTTGTTTTTCAGTTGTGTTGATCACAAATACAGAGGGAGACTAGATTTGAGGATGGAGTTATTTTCCCTTTTTGTATCTTTTTTTTTTTCCTCCTTTCTCTCACTGTGGTATTTCTTACTTTGGACGTTTGTAATTTGTAAAGCTTGTCCTTGTTTAATCTTTGAAAAGTTTACTTTTTGTTTCCCCCTTGCCACTATGTTGCCCCTTGATCCCAATTGCCCCATAGGCCTCTCAGCCTGGAGGGCAGGCGAGCGGAGCTGGGACATGTGCCCCACAAAAATGTGGTGGTACTTCAAGACCGTCATTTAATTCTGTAAGTAATGATCCCCAGAACTGCACAAGTATGTCATCGTGGATGTTCCCAATTAATCCCTTCTCCCTATCCCAAACACTTTTCCTGCATATAAACTGGCATTTAATGTTTAAGTGGCTGGTACTTTAAAATTAGGAAATGTGGAATATTTCAGTAATCGATGGAACAGGTTATGGCATCCAAAGGCTGAAAAGACAGTACTAAGGGCGTATACAAGATTATATATGTCAAATTGTTCAGGAGAGCCAAGGAGATAATTTACTAGATCTGGAAATCTGGACAACTGTTAAATATCTACAGCAATGCTTGAGGCCCTGGCAAACATAATTTTCTTCACATTTGTCCTCTTATCCAGGATATTAGAGAGATCTTAATACAGTTCTTTCCAGCAGTGAGATTAAAACTGATTGTGTTCTTCCTTCCAGGCAATTAGTTTCATGCGAGTAATGTTCCAGCATATTTTTAGGGTGTTGTACAAAAAAGGGCCCTTCAAGGACTGATGAAATGATGTAGTTCTTTCTCAAGACGGCTCCAAAGCTTCCTGAAGAGATCCTACACATATCCTTAGATTGCTACTAGATATCCTAAATCACCACAGAAATCCTTCTGCTTTATTGTAATAGTTAGAAATAAGCTTAGAAAAACTCCTGGAAGGATTTCTTGGGCCAATACTGTAATGTCACTTGTCTTATTCCAGAGATAGAGATGATGACTGGATTTGTGGCTGTTAGAGCTATCCAGGAGTACCATGAGCTATTTAAATGGTTCATATTTGTTTATTTGGTTAGCACACTGCATGTATGTAGGAACAAATAGGTGACAACACCCAGGAAGCTATGTGGGGTTTTCTGTAATCTGAATTGATTGTAACAAAACAAGATGTTGAGAGAGATAACGAGCGCAAAGAAGAAAGAGGTAAATTTATGTTCAGAATAATTTAATGGGCTCTACAGTGTTAGTTGTAAAAATAATTTAGACTTTGCTCAAAGACTATTAAATAGATATCACTGTTGTCTGAAGGAAAAGATACTTTGAGGAACGACTTCCAAAGAAGGAAGCTCTATATTATATGGGATTAAGAGAGGCATGCCAAGTGTTAGAGCCAGCATGGGAGAGGACAACAAAAGGAGAACTTGCAGAAGAGAAGAAAATACTGGTAGGTGGTGAGACTCTGGAAGGACAAAGCTGAGCAGGGATCGGCAACGAAGTTTGGTAAATCTGAACTTCTGCAGGAAATCGGTGTAGTTCGTGTGGAGAGCTTCAGACAAGGGAGGTGGAAACAGCAAGAAGGGAGTTGTGCATGGTGGGGGCTGTGGCTGGGGTGGATGGGAGCAAGGCAGCTGAATCACACCAGACTGTGCAGCAGTTCAGGAAAGCAACCGTCTAGGAATATAAGTAGTTATAGTGGGGACACAGGTATGGACCTTGGGTAGGATGTAGAGAAAGAAAGAGAAGAATTTTAAAACATTAGAGGTGTGTGGCAGTTAAGTATGGCACCAAGTCTGTGGAACTTGAGGATAAGGCAATGCATGGAATTTCTACTGTTATGAAGAAATTAATTGAAAAACTGTGAAATAAGAGATGAAGAGTTTGATTTTTGATTTGATTTTTTTTGTCTTGGTGTATGTGCTGATACTGTTTCTGCATTTTAAGAGACATCTTCAAGGATAGCTCCAGCTTACTGGAAATATCCACTACTGCAAGACTCACGTGCACACTTACTTGCATGAAGTGATGTCTCTCTCATGAAATCACACCCACCCCTGTTGCAGAAATACTGTAATGTCACATGACAGTGCTGCTCTGGTTAAGGGTCTGTCAACATGTTCTTCAGAAAATTTTCTGAAGAGTTTCAACCATCTTTGGTAGTTGCTCAGTACAAAAAATTGGCATGGAACTGTCTAATCTGAAGCAAGTTTTACATTTATTGAAACGAGTAAATCAACAAAAATGAACTGTTTTCTGTTCTCTGGTACCTTCATTTTTTTTTCCTGTTTTATAAGCTGTGTCTTAAAATACAGCCTTTTGAAGCTCTACAGTATGTATGTGCTCAGCCTACCCTAAGACTTAGTACTGCAGCAGTGCTGGATTTTTATATACTACATGTGATTTGTTCACTATGAACTTCAGGTATTGCAAAACGTTCACACGAGCCATAGCGCACTATTTAGTAGCTTTCTGCAGACCCTTAATTCAGTTTTACTGTTGTTTCTATTTCACCGCATTTAGCTGCAGTTACAGAATTCATAATTTTCAGTTTCTTCCTTTACTTCTTTCAGGCTGCTTTGCTGAACTCCTTCCCCGCTATCTTTGATGAGCTGTTGCAGATGTTCACGGTGCAGGAAGTAGCAGAGTTCGTGAGGGGCACGCTGGGCAGCATGCCCAGTACAGTACACATCGGGCAGTCCATGGATGTTGTTAAGCTACAGTCTATCGCACGCACTGTTGACAGCCGCCTGTTCTCTTTCTCAGGTAAGACAGTGATATCTAAGTCTTGCTGCTAACTAAGAGTGGGAACACGTTACATTTATTTTGCAGTTGGTTTGTTGCAAATAATTCATTGCTGAATGTGAATAATCTTGGTAATTATTTATCTTGGCAGCTTCATTGTTACATATATTCACTGCGGGTACTTTGTAATTTTCCCTATGGTAGAAAATGTTTATAAATCCATCGTGGATAAATTGTAGTTACTCAGGGTTGATAGAAATATGCACATTAACAAATCAGGTCAATTATTAAAATTGCTAAATCTCACTTGATACTTTGTATTACTCTTCTATTGTTGTCATGGATAGGAAGATAACCTTTCCAGCAAGAAGGGAACGAGAAACAGGGATGTAAAAGTTATGTAAGAAACCCACCACATTCTTTTAAAGTATGGTTAATCTTTATATTATAACTTGAATATTTCTTTAACTCAACATAGTGATAACTCTTTAAGAATTAATTGAATGAAGAAGGGTTGAAGATTGTGAGTTTCATACATAAAGATCTGAATGAAAAAATTATGAAGGTAAAAGTGGAAGATAAAGAGCACCACTGGGCTCATCTTCCCTGTAATGAGGATCTCAAGTTCGTGCCCTCAAATTATTCTACTCAGTGCAAAGTGAGACTGATAGAAACGCAGAATCATGTTTAAACCATCCACTGTAATTGTTTATAAACATACTTTTTTTTTCTTAAACTTGCAATTCATCTCAAAAATACAAGTGTTTAGAGAATGAGCAGATCAGTCCAAAAGTGGCAGTGAAACAGGCAGTAAATTTCATCTAATTATAGTTTTTTGAACCTATTGATAAAAATATTGTCTTTGTGGGTGCCAGTTCATGGGCAAAAACCTCCTCTTTTGTCTTCTCAAGAAAGCCAAGTGTAACTTTACCCGCAGAGTCCAGGATTTTAGTCCTTCCCATTAACCTTCATTTCTCCTTTACAATGATAGTGGCAACTAATGATGCTTTTAGCTGCTCTATGTTACCATGACATCTCACTACAGCATCAAAAATCAGAAATAAAGCTTCAGTGTTGCAAGCTATAACTGTATAGATGCCACATTTTCCACCCAACGTAATGGTAGACCCCTATCCTATCCCTTCCCATGGAAGCATGACCTGATACTCCCAGGTCAGCAATCTCTTCCATGTCCTACCTGCCCCTGGGAAGATGAATCTACTTTCCATAGTTCTTTTGGCTGCTCACCCTACCTATTCTTCAGGTCTTGCAATTAAAGGAAGATACGTTCTCTTTTTCTTGCCTCCCATACGGTGATGACTTGTTTTCCTTTTCTCTCTCCTATCAGTCTGTTTGATGACATCTTGCCACTTATTTCACCTCAGGTTTTTTTTCCTGTTTTTGCTACTGTTTTGTGCAGCTGCTACCTGCTCTCCCTTCTTTAACAAGATTAAGGTTTGTAAACCAGCTAAAAAAGAATTAGCCGGTTTCCAAGAGGCATATATTGGAGAAGCTCTATCAGCCATGAGAGTAGAGCTGGAAAGCAACATGAAGTGAGGAGGGATTTCCACAAAGGAAATCAACATTAGAAAGTATCAGTTCACAACTGTGGTTTCCAAGCTGTATCACTATTGAGAACATCGTGTATACTGCATTTATGAACTTTTGAAACTAGATGCACTGTTAATTCATTAAATGCAGTTCTTGGAAGTGTGGTGTACTACAACCTGTGGAGTAGAAGTTGCACCATTTAATCAAACATGCTGTATATCAGTAGGCTAGTTCAGCTACTGATTGGGATGGTTGACATTTCAGTCTCTTTTGGAAGAACTGTGATCTGATTTTCCTTCTTTCAGAGTCCCGGCGCATCCTGCTGCCTGTAGTTCTTCACCACATTCACCTTCACCTACGACAGCAGAAGGAGCTACTTATCTGCTCTGGGATCCTCAGTAGTATCTTCTCCATAATCAAGACCAGCTCTTTGGTAATCTGCTGCTCAATTTTTATTTTTTTTTTAATTGCAGTACTAGATTGATTTAGTAGCAAAGACCGAGGTGTCTTTATAGGTTAATACAGGTTTTTTGAAGATCCTTTTAAAAACAAAATTCTGCTAACTTTTTGTCAGCAGGAGAACATCTGAAATGAGAGTCTGCTTTTGTGTGTGTGACTCAGAGCATTCTGATTACACAGTGTTCTTGCTGTTAGGAGGGGGGAAAAGCATACGCATTTACCAGGTTTGACACTGTTTAATTTTCTTCATCCAAGCCCAGAACTTAGATGTCAATGGAGTTCAAAAGCTCTACACAGCTCTAGGACTTGCAGTTCTACAAGAGACAGTAACTAGCACTTTGTGATTCATGTTAAGAGAATACTCTAAAATTATCCAATCAATGAAATCACACTTACTTCTGGAAATTGCTGCTGAGTTTAAACACCCAGCTTTGATGATCATAATCCTCTGATCTCAAATGGTAACTTGATCATTTAAAGCAATGCTCACAAACAGACAGTGGTGAAGTTTCTCCACCTGACTCTAAAAGAGGAAGCTCATTGTGCTAAATATAATTCACTCCAATGAGTATTTCCAATTAGAAGTCACAGTTTTGTTTGAAAGGAATGAGATGAAAGGTATCATGGTAATAAGCTAAAATAATGCTACCATAGAACAAAGGTTCCTGAAAAGAATTTGATCTCATTGTGTTCTAGAGCATATGCAGACCTTTGATTATAGATTTACATTTATGGCTGTGACCCTGAATGTTCCCATCAGAGACTGAGGAGGTAACACACACACTGACATCCCAACAGTATCTGGTACCAAGGATTAACTTGATTGTACTTCTCTGAACCTCCATTACAGAGCGCTCTAGCAAAACAAGTATTTGTGGTATGGCTGACTCAGCAGAATTGTCTTTGCTGATTCTGTCCTCTCCAGTTCCTAACTGTCTGTTTGCTCACCACTCACTGTAGGAAGGAGATGTCGTGGAGGAGGTTGAGATGATGGTGGAAAGCCTCCTGGATGTACTTTTACAAACTCTGCTTACAATCATGAGTAAATCGCAGTCTCAGGAGGCGGTAAGAGGGCAGCGTTGCCCGCAGTGCACAGCAGAAATCACTGTTAGTAACTAACAATCAGTTTCTATTTCCTGCTTCTCTAACCTTTGGTTCAGTCCCTCACCACCACTGGCACCTCATTATCATCTCTGCTGCATGAATGCCCACAGCTTTGTCTCTTTGCCTTAATAAGCCACAAACCCATTCCTTCCTCTGTGCAGTAGTGAGATCTGCAGGGAGCAGTGGAGCTCAGGAAGCTTTTGTGGATTTCCAGGTTATTTTCTTGCTTGTCTTTGCAGCTGTGATTAAGACTTTTAGAATAGAACTTGAGGCCTATGCTAGCTGGGTAGCTGCCTAGGGCTTCACCCTGCAATAGGCATCACCCTGCAACAGGCATCACCATATGAGGCTCTGATTACTGACTGAGAATATCATCATTCTCAGTGGACAAGTCCATTTTACTTAACACCCTGGAGAGCTTCTGTCCAGGTTCACTAATTATTTCATGAACATGAAACACAACATAGTTTTGAGAAAGAAATTAACAGATCCCAAGTCAAGTGTGCTGTTGAACTTCATGGAAGAAGAGGGAAAAGCCACCACTTTGTCCGGGCTGACAGCATAAGCCTAGGGGAAGAAATTTTGTTTGACATGCAATGGAAGAGGAGAAAAATAATAGAATTTTGCTGTTCAGCTTTCTTCTCTTCTGTATTTGTTGCCCTTTTCTATCCTAGCCTATTTTACTCTGTTTTTACTTGTCAGAGTCTCTGTCTAATGCAGCTTTTGCACAGTGTGTGATGTTAAGCTGTTGTTCAGAACATCCCTTTTTTTAGACCTGCTCTTTTACCGAGTGGCTGAAACCTCAGAGATTTTGTTGAGGGCAGATGTACACTAAGATACACTTCTCGCACAAGAAGAAGATTGTATCTTTCCATGTTAGCTCAGATAAAGTAACAAATGGTAGAATCCTAATAAAAGATAAGGCATTTAGTACTTTTCAGACATATTCTTTGATACAAAACAAGAAAGGTGCTAGCTTGTAAATGTCCAGTAACATCTCAATTTCCTTTTCCTCCTACCATTTGACTTAGTTATTTATCACATGCCACCTCACACCTAAGAGCACACCTTTTTTCCTATATGAGTTCAGCTCTGTGAAGTTTATTGGAGCAACCTATGTCACAGCTTCTGGGTTAATGCTTGAGCCAATTAGGAAAAAAAAAAGAAAAAAGAAAATGGACAGTCCCAATTAGAAAATCCCCTTGTATTAGTTTCTGAATTTGTATTTCACAGCACAGTGATTATGTGGAATCTTACTAGATACTGCTTAGAAAGTGGTTTGTATATTTTCCAAATTAATTGCTCATTGTCACAGAAAAAAATAGTTTTGTGCAAGGGGTTGGCAGGCAAAAGACATACTGTACTCTTTATGTTCTTGGCACTGCCTTGCTTGTTATCTTGGACAGATTGTTTAACTTCTCTGTGCTTTGCTTTCAGATATGTAAAATGGGGGAGCCCATCTTTGGAAAACACTGTGGGATACTGTGGTAACGGGTTAGGGTGCATCTGCTTTCCAGGCCAGAAATGTAATTGTAGCTCATGTAGGCTTACCCAAAGTATATTCAGGGTATCTTACTGGAATACTGTTAGTACTGTAGCTATGACAGCACACAACTTGCTGAACACTAATAAGCCAAATCTTTACAAGATTCCAGACACCTTTTGTAGCCCATACTGATCCCACGCTGTCATTGCTATGTGTTTTGAATATCTGAGCCAATTAGTTTAAAAAATTCCTGGTATGTCTGCATGAGCTGCAGTCACACACACCTCTGATGAACATATAGTATATTAAGTAACTGAAAAAGGTGATTGTCAAAACCCGCATGCTTGGAGGGCAATTCATTAATGTCTGTAATAATAATTTTAAAGTATTTTTGTTTAGACTACAAGATTGGTTAAAAGACCTTTAAAACTGGCATCTGTGGAGGAGCCTCCAAGAGGTGTATTCCTGTGTATGAACAGTAATTCAGAAACTGTTAACACGCAGTATTTTTAATCTCTGTGCATGTCAGCTTTCCTCTCATAGGCATTGGGGCCATTTCAGACCCCTCCCTTTATACCTTACCCCATGCTGAGTTTTATATTCGAGAAATTTCAAATTGTCTGAATGAAATAGTTTCTCATTTGGTCAACAGGGAGAGTATGTCTCCTGCCTTTTATCTTTGCTTCGTCAGATGTCAGACACTCATTTCCAGCATTTACTGGACAACTTCCAAAGCAAGGATGAACTAAAGGTAAAACAGAACTTCATGTTTGTAGGGTGGTTCACTCAGAACGGGAGAGCAGAGGGGAATCCCTCCAGCATTACTTGCTCTTCTAATTGTTCCCATTCACTGGCACTCTATTCATGGACCTTCCTTTCACCTTTGTAATAATAGGTCCTGTGTTATAAAAAAATTTACCACCACAGGGCGCTGAATTAACTTCATAAGAGCAAATAAAGTCCCAAGATAGATGTTATTAGACAGAAAAGGATATTGTTATTGTACCATATAGAACATAGTCAAGAGGAACAGGGGGTTTTAATGCCATGAATGTAAAGTTCTATAGCATTTTATTACCTGTTCAATATGCACTGCAGCTTACTTATGAAGGACGTTGATTTTATGCCAAAAGAGAATTTCAAGCCTTTTTGAGGATACAGATGTCTCTCATAGATAGAATATTTCTGGGAAAGCAGTAACCTTACTAATCCACTTACTGCACACTTCCCAAATTTGTGAACAAGAACTTAAATTACGGCTCTTCACAAACAGAAGGGGTTGCTGAGGCGTACAGATCTCTCTGGTGGCTCTTTTGCCACTGACATTTTGAAATGGCACATCTCAAAGCAGCAGAAACCAAGTTTTTACCTCAGCTTCCACAGGAAAGAGGAGTATCTCTGACAACATTCAGTTTAAAAGGCAGAATAATTTAATAAAGACAAGATTTTATATAAAATGCTTTTGATTAGCATGGCACTCAATAAAATATGGACAATAAGAATATAGTGTGTCAGGAACTGATGTTGCCTTAACAGATGAGATGGAGAAACAGTGAGAAATCCTTTCTGAATAGGCCTTCAGCTTCTAAATATTTCATGTGCATATAGGGAGGCTGAATAACTCGGGGAGATAAATTGGGATAATAGAATTCTTACCTCTAGGTTGCAGGGTTCAGTATATCTCAGATCGATAGTTATCTGAGAATACTTCCTTTCAGGTAACTTCTGAAATGCTCACAGGAAAATTATTTGGTAAATTAATTCATATTAATTAATTAGTATCTAAGTTACAGTTCTTATGTCAGACCAGTGAAAAGTTCTGTCATGGAACTGAAATCTGTCTTTACACCCATAAGAACAAACGCTGTTTATAATCCTCTTAGGGATATGTTCAGGAGTATCACAGAGGCTGAAGATTTTTATACCCAGCTTTTTTTCCAACTATCAGCTGACCTAATAAAATCTATTACTTTTTCTTGGATGGAAAGGCATTGTGTTCACATATCACTGTTAGATCTAGGCAAAAATGAGGCCAAAAGTCAAGGAGCTTCTGATGCTTTACTTTTAGCTCAGTTACACCAAGATACTAATCTCCTCCCCTCCATTGAAGACACAATGTTAGGACAGTTTTGAAGAAACCCTGCACTGCCAGTTTCTGTGCTATCTTCATTTTTTTTGTAGAAGAAAACCAAAATAACAAAATCATAGTTTTCAAGGCCAGCAACTTGGCATGTTTTATCCTCGCTGTTGTTCTTTATAGATGTGGAGGTACAGATAGGGGGGAAAAAAAAAAGAAAAAAAAAGAAAAAGTCTTCAAGTTTAGATAATTTTTTGGAAAGCAAATATTCAGCTGAGTATGTCTAAGAGATTTCTGCTGCATATTTCCAGAAATGGGGTTTTCTGTTACTATTTTTAAAAGTGTGTGTAGGTGTGTTATTGGATTTGAGTGTGCAGGTTTCTATCAATTAAGTGCAAAGAAATTTGGACATATACATTAATTAACTGAATGTATAAATAAGTGATTATGATTCTGGTGTACTTGAAAAATAGCTGCAAATTGACACCAGAACTCTAGACGATAATAAGAGAAGTCATATACGATTATGCATGTAAGGAAGTTTTTCATCTCACTGTAGGAGTTAAGATTTAAGACAGCTGCAGCTTGTTCAATATGTATTAGACACATACAAAATTTATAAAGCCATACCCCAATATATGTTGTTTCCATGTTTTCGGGTGAATGGCGTAGTGACACAAAGGTTAAGTGGAGCATGCTGGGCTTAACTCTGTTTCTTATAATCAAGAAATCGATTAATCTGCAGCTGCTGGTGATTTTTAATTTATTTTTTCCCTATGTGATAGGAGTTCCTCCTGAAAATTTTCTGTGTATTTCGGAACCTGATGAAAATGAGTGTCTTTCCTCGAGACTGGATGGTGATGAGGTTGCTTACCAGCAAGTAAGTAGAGAAGCAGGTATAAACTTTTCACGTTTTGTATCAGAATTTTTCTCCTCAGCTGGGTAGTTAACACCTGTGATGCAGTGTGTTTCATCAGACTGATGGGGGGATCAAAACAGGAATTCTGAAGTGCTCATTTTTGTTCTTCAGTTATTTTAACTGAACCAAACTGGGTCTTATGTATTCATTCTGTTTCTTAAATTCTACAACAGTGTGCTGGTACCAAAGAGTTCAAAGTTTAAACCCAAAGCTGAAGTAGCTGCATTGAGGGTCAGAGTGGCACAACAGCTATCATAACACATGGCAAGGAACAGCTACCCACACCAAGTGGCATTAGCAGACAGGCTCTCAACTCCCTTTCTCAGTAAATTACTACGTTAAATGTCTGTCTCTTCCCATAAACATCACTCCTTACCCTGCCTAGAAGGAGGACTCAGTTATTTTACAAAAGGAGGAAAAGACCCTAGAGATGACACCAAGGCATTACATACAGAGTTATTTCTTGATTAAGTTGTCATCTACCACTTTAATGCTTAATTTTATCTAATTTTCTTGCTTCTAATGGGTTAAATACTATACTGTTTGGAATGGCAGCAGTGTGATGAACACAGGGTGGCTGGAATTATTTACTAGTTTCTTTAAAAAACTAGCTATAGAATTTCTTCTGACTAACTGACAAGTGGAGGGGTTCCCATTACAAGAAGACACCACGGAAGTTTTCCTGAAGGCTGGCTGCTAAGCTGCTGAACTGTATGCTTTGCAAGTTCACAGTGCTAAGGAAAGGTGAAAGAAGTGAATTTCAGTATCTGAAGTGCAAAAATTACAATGAAGTACTGTAAGAAAAGAAAAATCCACATGAAAGAGTAGTTACCTCAGATGCTATAGGCTACCTAGTTCCTTTTGGCACAATTTTCCATAAACCTTTAGACTGATAGGTACATTGAGCAGTGTTACTGGAAGTATTGCTTGCTTGTGAATCAGAGATGTGCTGTTTCTGTTGATACTGTTGTTACCTTATGTATATGCTGTTTATTAATTCCTGAATTTATCACATGCCTTGATTGCCTTTCTCTAAAGTACACCCACAGAAAAACCCAGGAAATCCGGAATTGGCAAAATACTCACAAATATGATGAATTGAAGTGTGAGCCAGATAAAGGGACACTGTATAGCCAAGAAGGAAAATAGCTTAAAATTTATGAGTTGCTCTTCTCTGGAAAATAAAAATCTTTTCTGCTTAAAACAGGAGAAGGATGAGTGTATTCTTTCATTTTACTGGAAGTAATATGACCCAGCTATGCAAAATACACAGGATTTTAAATGCTCCTGTGTAAATTCCAAAAGTTAAAATAATGATGAAAATTCTTAATCTTGTATCCCGTAGCACAAACTGTTTATTAAAACATAAAGATAGGTGACTTCTATGCAAATCTAGCAGCGATTACACGAAGAATGCCCATCTCTGTACGTACAGTAAAATCAGCACCACTAACCACTGTAATATGTTATACTCCAGATTCAAATGCTTTTCTTTTTTTGTTTGTTTGTTTTCTTTTTGACTGCAGTATCATAGTTACAACAGTTCAGTACCTGTCTTCTGCACTGCATAAGAATTTCACGGAAACGGACTTTGATTTTAAAGTAAGAATTGATACTGAGAAAATGTTATGACATCTTTTTAAACTAGCGTAACAAAGGAACAAGAGCTGTTCTCTACTTGAGTTGATGAAATTTGCAGCTTCTATTTGAATATCTGTGAGGAAGATGAACTAACTGATAAAAGACAGGAATTTGAATCTGCTGTGGAATTGAGGGGAAGTAGAAGAGATGCACTGTGAGATCAGATCAAGAAAACTGAGCCACTCCTAAAGGAAACAAGTACTTTCCTAAGCAGTGGAGCTAATGAAGAAGTGAAGCTTCTTACAGATTCATGGCTAATAAAATGTAAACTAAGACAATGCTTTTCCTGAAGTTGGGGCATTCATGATCTTCCTCTCCCAGAGGCTCTCTCTCTGGCTGTTGACTTAAATTTGAAGGAACACAGTTTCTGAGAATGTTTTCCTGATGTAGCTGAAAATGGGCAACAAGTTCAGTGTTACAAAGGAAAAGCTGCCGGCCATGTATCTACACACATGTAAACACAGCATGATGGTATAAGCCTCATTACTTTGGGAAAACTAACTAAATTATAGGGCTCTCATTCATTATATAATGTACTCTCTGGGGTTTTTTGGGAGATAAAATCTGTTTAGTCTACAGAAAAACAATGAAAATCTTCACTGAAGTCACCAATTTTATTAATTTTTGAACTCTAGTGCTTAAAGGGAAGCCCAGTGGCAGTACCTTCTTGAGGGTTTTAATTTTAATTCCTACCAAGTTTTAAATAATCCATCGGTATCCTTTAGAGTTTGGTATCTCAATAGTTAAGATACATGCAGATTAAGTTACATCTTGATTACAAAAAAGGAACGGTCTCATGCTACATATAAAGGAACATATTACTTCCTTCCTGTGTCACAGGTGTGGAACTCGTATTTCAGCCTGGCAGTTCTGTTTATAAACCAGCCAAGTCTCCAACTAGAAAATGCTACACCAGCTAAGAGGAAGAAGATTCTGGATAAGTAAGAACATGTTTTGTTGGGTTCCCAGCCTTTTCTGCCACCTCAAAAATGAGACTTCTTTTTGCCACAAGTCCCTGTGATTTACTGCGGAACTTGGGAATTTGATATTTTTATGTTGACTTAAATGTGAATTTGATTATTTAAAAAAAAAAAAAAATCATGTTGCTGATTTTGTTCCATTGAGGGGATATCTGTCTCCTCTCTTTCAGATATGGCGATATGAGAGTGATGATGGCATATGAGCTCTTCAGCATGTGGCAGAACCTGGGTATGTCTCTTCTCTGTCCTAACAACCAAAACTACCCCAGTTTTCTGTTGGATTTTTTTTTTTTTTTTACTTTTTGTAGAGTGAATATACTTGGTTTCTCTTAAGAGTTGTAAAGCCAGGAGGCACTTCTCTTCTCCCACCAAAAACTCTCTTCTGCACTGTCTTATTATGATTTTTTTTATCTGAAATAATACATTCCTATGAATTTGAATGCTTTCTTCTCAAATGTGACAGTGGCAGGTTTTGGTTGTTCTGACACATCAGTCACCGCTTTTATGTATTTGCAAATATAAAATCAGCTTTTTAAAAATTCAACTGTTCTGCAGTCAAGTTCATATGGAGGTATACTGTTACACTTTGACTTTTGTCTGATCCGTGGCTGTAAAGCAGAAATTTATATTTTCACAACTATAACCAACTTTATAATTTCGTAGATGATTCAGAAGCCAAAGCTGTCATGATTCAAAATTACAGAACCATAGAATTTTTTAAGTTAGAAAAGACACTTAAGATCATCGAGTCCAACTGTAAACCTCGCGCTGCGAAGTCCACCACTAAACCATAGCTATGTGTGTTTGATAACAAAGCCCAGAAGGGCCAGACAGTAAAGCTTCTTTTTTGGTGTATTCAGGTGATGGGTTTAGGTAATTCAGTATTTTATTAACAGAAGAGCCAAATAACATCTGTACTGCATCAGAGCAAGTCCAGCTAGACCAGTTATTAACCAAAGATTAATCCCTATGGAAATGTTTGAGGACAAAGGAAGCATATAGTATTCTAGAGGAAAATTAAAAAATGTTTGCTGATAGTGATCAAAGATAATACAATGTTCTGAGAACAGGTAAATAATTAAGAGAGTAAAGGAATGATATAAGTCAGATTGGATGACTTGATAATGCAGCTGCAAGCAATATATTCAAAAAGCCAAATATGAACATTTTAATTGTAGGAATATAGACAGGAGTGCTGTTCAAGAAAACAAAGACTGCAAATATATCGTGCTGATAATCAGCTGAATGGGAGCTACCTGTAAAATGCCATGAGTAAAAAAGATACCATAATCTTTGAGAAAATATGTAAGAATCTAGAGCAAGAGAAGATGGCTGATGTTACTGCCACAGTTTTTTCCTAAGTGCACTTGATTCTTGAATAGTTTGCCCAGTCCTGTGAGGGGAAAAAACAAAACAAACAGAAAACAACACTGAAAAACAGAGGCAAGGTAGACACTACAGAAGTAAGAAAATGCCTTACTATTAAATAGTGAATAAACCTGACCCATCTTGCACAACTAAGATGATCCAGCCAGACTTGATCACAGTTTCCAGGCATCTATGTGGAGAACAGAAGGCTCTCCAATATAACAGAGATCAAATAACCAGAAAATTATGCTAGACAAATTCAAATGAGAAGTTAGAAGCCCATTTTAGATATGTAGCTACAGATATTTGTCACTGAATGTTGTTCCAAATACGGCTGTTTTCATTTATTCTCTGTGACTGCACAGTAAGCCTGCCACAGAAGAGACTGTTAGGAAAATGCCTTGGGTTTCTGTTGCTGAGGAGCAATGCAATTTGGTCCTTAGTCAAGGTCAGTTATGAAATGGAGACTGCCATAGCACTGAGGATGAAGAGCTCTGGTATTGAAATTGAAATATGTTCTATGAAATACCACTGTTCTCACCAGTTCTTTCAAAATCTTTTTCTTCATAAATTAGAAGTATCTGTGGCCTTTTTTCCCCCTAGTTAGTTATGTTGTAGTTTGGTTATTTTTGACAGTTTGAATTCCTTTGCAAGTAAAATGCATTGACAATTTTTGCTGAAAGCTTTCACAGTGAAATTAAAAATGCTCTTGGAGACTTTGCAGGGAATGGTATAAAGCAAATCTTGTTTTTCAAGTCCTTTCAGGAAAATAATGTGTTTGCTTTTCTAATGCTCATGCCTACTACTTTATATTTGTCTTTATTGCAGGGGTTCCCCGTTTTCTCAGTGACAGATAACAAAGGCTTTTATTTAATAACAGTTCCTTTGTGTTGTACAGGTGAGCATAAGATTCACTTTATTCCGGGAATGATTGGCCCCTTTCTTGGTGTTACACTTGTTCCACAACCAGAAGTCCGGAATATCATGATCCCCATCTTCCATGACATGATGGACTGGGAGCAGAGAAAGAATGGCAACTTCAAACAGGTGAAGTCGCTTCCCAAGCATTTGCAGTATTGTTTTTCTTGCTCTGTCTATCTGCAAGGTCCAGCTGGAAGCAAGGAGTTTGTATCTGTTGATCTGTTTCTGATTGTGAAGAAGATGATGTCATGTAAATATATAAAAATAGAAAAATTGAAACGTAATTCACAAAACTATTACAAGACTCTCAGGATTATTTGAACAGTGCACTTCACAGCAAGCTACATTTTCCATGGGTGCAGAGGAGTGATGTGCTCATCACATCAGACATGAGAAAAAGAATTTGATAACCAAAAATGGAGCTAGTATTAGCTAGTATTTGTGAAAACAGTGGTCTCTGCTTCTCTGTCTTCAGTTTCCAGCTAGAAAGTGGCATTGTGTAATTAAATAATTATACCTTGCTTTGAAACAGACTTTGTGACTATATATTTTAAGAAAATGTAGGAGCTCTTCTGGAAAGGTTATAGCCAACAACAGTTCTGCATTTTCCACCTGCTGTGAGCTCTGACTGCAAAACAGGGAGCGGAGTCGTCATCATTTTGTTGTCCAGTCATGGCCAGAGATTTGCTTAAATTTTCCACTGCAAAACAGATCCCTGAAGTGCAAGGTGTTAATAATGAAGGATCAGTTTGGACTGGATCCTCCGATGACAGTGCTTCATTGTCATTGTGTTTGGGGCAATACTGGGGACAAGTATCTGCAGATAAGTGTTCTGAAGGACTAAATCCTTTTATTTAAATTAATGTAATTTGTGTGATTATTTATTATCCACAAACTCATTAAAATGCCAGATCTAATCTATTGTTCCAGGGGAATAACAGACCTTTTTTATAACCTAACCTATTAAAGGCTGTGTGGAGAAGTATTACCAGGAGCTTATGTTTTTCTTCCTCTTCAACTCCCTTGATTGCTACTATTATTATTATTATTTACTGCTATTATTATTACAGTAGCATTTGATCAGTCCTATTTTTGCTTGTTTTAGCATAACAATAGAACTGTCTCTGCTCCGGCATTTACACTTATAAGTACCTACAGTCATCTTCAAGTTCCTGTTTATACTTTCTGTATTAAGATGAACTCTTCATAATCTTCATTTAATTTTTATACTCCCTAAGGTATTCTAAACTAGAGCTCCAAAAATATTTCTTAAATTAGCTGTGGAGCAAATTTCCACACTGTTTTATGAAGCATATATGGTAACTTTCTAATATTAAAGACAGAATAATCATCTGTATTACTGAGAATGAAATAAACAGTTAAATAGCACAAGATGTATTAACATTAGCTGCTGGATCCAGGAAGTTATTTGTTGTCCAGTATAATGCTGGATAGCTGGACAGATGCATTACTGATTTCTGTCAAGTCATTGTAGATCACAAGCAAAGAGAGGGTAGGTTTTTTCCATTTTGAGCTTCTGTCTACTTTTTGAATGCTAAATTGGTTGTCAGAAAATACAAAAATCCTAGAAATTCATTTTCATGCCCCTTTTTTTATTTTCTTCAGTAGCTCATGTTTTAAACAAGGTTATTTTTTCAGCAATACCTGATAACAATGTAATCTGATTCATGGACTAAATCAGGTCTCCCTTTAATGATTTCAGCAACAAGAGCACCAACTCCATTTGTGTGCCAGTGGGTGATTTGCTTTTCCTTCTCATCTTTACTTCCTTTGCAATTTGAAAGATAAAAACAGAGAAAATCAAACCATGCTTGTCTTTAAATAAAAACAAGCCATATTTCTGCAAACAGTTTCTACCTTTAGGAACCTCTGTCCTGTCTTCATTAGTACTGAAAATATGATTTTAACAAGATTTCCAAGACTACATGAAATTTATTGGGTTTCATGTTAGATACATTAATTTCTGCACTTGAATTAATTTTATGGGAATATCTGATAGAATGGATTAAACTTGGGGTGGGGGGGAAACAAATACATACTGAAAAACTTTGTAAGGGAAGAGAAACATAATGATACTGTTGTAGCCCTTTATATAAGCAAGAAATAAAAATGCAACATATAATCCTAGAGAGGCTTGACGAAACTGGGTATAATGAACAAATAATATTCCATTGTAATGATGCCTGGATGACTGGAAATCAATTTACCTACGAGCAGAATCATCACAGCAGACCAGTGGAGATCATGCCACAAATCAGTTTCTCTGCATGGATATTGTGTTACAGTACAAGATAGAGTTTATCTGATGTACTGGTTCACAGAGTGTGTCCAGGTGATTTATTTGATAAGAGAATAAACTTCAGAAATTCCTGTGAAGAAGCAGCGTTGCCTCCCCTGGGATGTTCATTTAGACCCTGATAAGCAAAAGGATAATTTAATTTTAGTCCTCCTATTTCAGTGAAAAATTAGAAAAGTGTCAATTTAACTGAGCCACAGAGAAATAAATCACTTGCACGTAGAAGTGGGCAGCCCCAGGGCATGAGAAAGAAAATATTCTTCCAGTCTTCCTAGCGTCTGGAACTCATCTTCTGCATGAACAGCTGGTTTGTAACCGATTGCTTCTTCATCCAGGTGGAAGCTGAGTTGATCGATAAGCTGGACAGCCTGGTATCTGAAGGAAAAGGTGATGAGAACTACAGGGAACTCTTCAGCCTGCTGTAAGCTATGCCAGTTTCTCCTCACTCTGTGTTGTGCAGGGTCGTTGAAAAAGTCAAAGTAATGATATGTGCAGCTGCAGCTACAGTGCTGATCTTCAGAGAAAGCAGTAAAGGGCTTTCTGGCAGGTTTTCATGACATGGCTCAGTGAAATAGAAATACATCACTCTAATTCTGAAAAGAATATAAAAACCTAAATTCTTCTTTTTCTTCTTTCTGTGAAATCTAATATAAGGCTGCACTGGTAAGTAGTCATCATCCTCCTATCAAAAACTGATCTACTAGGGGAGCCAGTGCCTTTCTTTTTACATATCAGTAAATGCAGTCATGGCCTTAGGACTGTTTAGAGAAATAGCGTACTACTATCTAGCAAGTCAGGCCTTGTTAGAGCCAGAGAGATTTTCCTCATCATTTTCCTTTGCTGCTTCCAGTTTTTGAAGGTCATGTTTTGGTTAGTTCAACAGTTCCATGTTGCTTCCTCCAGAGTCCATCATGACACTGTATTTCTGCTCCCTCTCGCACCAAAAATCCATATTTATAAGGATAAACTTAAAGAATTTACCTCTGACTTCCCATATCTTTGGTTATTAATCTGTCTTCATGTCCAGTGATCCTAGTTTATTTCCAAAGGACTTATTTTGAACTCTGAGAGTCCAGAGCAGCTAACCCTTAAATATTTTAATATTCCAGTGAGCCACAGAGACGATTATCACAATTTTAGCCATCTATTCCCAACAATTTTATGTGGCCCCCAATAGCAAGTGTGCTGGCAGCCTGAGGCATAAACCTTTGTTTTACTAAAACCAATACTTGTATTTCTGAATTTACAATTGCACATTCATTCATTTTAAAGACAGATAAACCTGCCCATCCTGTAGGCTTATCCTAAGGAAGCATGTAAATGTATTCAGTTTTGATTTGTGTATATTCCACCTTGGGCAGTCTGGTACCTTATGTCTACAGATAACCTACGTCTATTTCAAAAATAAAGGAAAGGAAATATCTATCTTTTTTTTTTTGTAATTCACCTGGCAAGAGGAATATTGTGTATTTTCCTTTGCTGCAGCTGAAGACATTTGTTACCCTAAATGTTAAGAATTCAGGGACTGTGGCTTGTTACTTATTTTTAGATTATGGTGACTGGATATATTACCATAAAACACAGCCTGGAAGTCCAGCAACCTTTTAGTTGATATTTGCAACTGACTTTTCTGAGAACAATGTGTGAACTTTGAGGAAACAATTCCACAATTCCAGAAAGTTAATAAATGCTGTGTGAAATGAACAGTTGACCCTGAATTCTACTGTCTCAATTATACTGCTGAAATGTGAACTGGCTCCCTCAGCTGGAAATCATTCCAGTACAGAAGAGTTTCCTGCTTCTGAGGACATGCATGACACCCAGCAGAATTTCTTTCCTCTTGCCAGTACAGAAGTGGCAAGTTCTTTGACCAGAGAGCCAGTTTCAGGAAACTAGATTGTAAATTTGCTTTCTCTTTTCACTTTTCAAATAAGATTTTCAGTGTTCTTGCTTCAGTCTTCTCTCATCCTTCACAACTGTCTTAGTGAGATGCTCACTGTGTTGTCTTGTTTGCTGAGCAGGCACAGATTGCCATTATTTATTTACAGTTTAAATAAATTGTGATTCAGGGCAGGTTGATGAGCTGCTGATTAGAGATGAAAATGTATGTAGGGATGAGCAAAGAAGAGGTATTTGCAGTAGGTTTAGACTCCCTTCACGCTTCTGACTGCTGTTAGCAGTATTTAAGCTACAGGTTGAAGAGTATTGTTCTATTTCATATATTTTAAATGGCAATGTGAAAGTATTTTTCCTTCTCCTATCAATTCTGTAATTTCCTTGTCTTTGCTTCATGCTGCCTGGAGTAGAACCCAGCTCTTTGGGCCTTATCCCAGGTAAGATAGTAATTCTATGAATTTGTTTTATGAGGGAGAAACCAGGTTATCTGCAGCTGTCTGCATGCACTGTACCATTTCTCTGCAAGCCTCATCTGCTGTCTTTCCATCTCCAAACAGTTTGCTGGAGAAGATTGAGCAGGAAACATGGCGGGAGACTGGAATCTCTTTTGTTACATCAGTTACTCGTCTCATGGAGCGTCTACTTGACTATAGGTATCTGGCAACAATAGATGCTAAATGCAAGAAAGATCTCAAATGCTTTGCTGAACCAAGATGCGCTGAATGCCTCATCTAGACATGCAGGGTTGGAAAACTTTTCATCTGAGGAAAGTCTGACATGTCATTTGGTGACTCATGTGTGCAAGACTCCACTATAAATGAGACATCCTTTGTTTAGTTTTAGACTGAAGTTTGCAGGACTATTGTGTCAATAAAGCAGAGCTTTGATTCAGTTACAATATTTTAACTTCATCTATAAATACATATATACACACACGTTCACAGACACACTCAGAGTTCTATTTATGGAACAACAGACAATTTGAAACTATATAGAACTGCCCCACATATTTTTATTTTTAGTGTTCTGACAAGAGTTTAGATAATTTTTTCTTCTGCTGCTGCTGCTGATAGGTGAAAGCCTGTGACTAGGCTGGGTGTTCTGCATTCCCAAGTACTTTTTTGTGCTCTTTGGTTTGCTCTTTTTGTTATCCTTTGATCCAGTTTGTTACCCAGTTTGATCCAATCTCCTGTTTGTTTCCTGAGAACAGCTGCTGTACAACTACTATGCAAGACCAGGTATCAGAGGCACATCTAAAGGGAATGCAATGTTTAATTGAAGAACAGACACCAGTTTTTAAATTATTTTTAATAAACAGCAGACTTTTTCATTCCCAGAATAGAGCAGTGAACTGCATCAGAATTTGGAAATACATGGGCATCTCTTGGAGTCCAGCTGCCAGTTAGTTGGCAGAGTGGTTCTCAAGACAGTTTGCTGTGTCACGGCTTTTATCTCTTTCTCACAAATGAATGTGACTTTCTCAAGTCAAGATTAATAACTTCTGAAGCCTTTAACTTTTTGTACTACTCAAACAGAAAGAATTTCTAAAACATTCCAGAAATTAAAGATAAAGTGATTTAACTTGCCTATGAAAAAGTTAGTAATCGAGTCTGAATTACTCAGGTTGTATCTTTGAGCATGCCAACACTACATTGGACAGCTGAATTTCTGAAAGGTAATCCTTTGAGTAGGAAACCACTGACCATTTACATCTGGATAGGTAATGGGTTTTCACTTTCATAGTAGATCTTTCATTCAGATTATTTTTGGCCACTCTTACCTGATTTTTGTTCAGATTCTTGTAAGAAATGAAGTAGCAGTTATTTCAGGGGTTTGTTCTCAGATGCAGACGTGTAAGAGGACACTCAGTTCTCATATCGTTTAAGCCATAAAATGGAAATTTTTCTTAGAGGAACTTTATAAAATATATGATTAACTGTTGTTTGTGATCCAAGGAAACTCTGGAGTATAAGATAGCTTAAAATTTGTTTTTAAAGGACTTTTTTTGCAGATGTATGTTTCAACCTTGCTCTGCTTTCTTAGGGACTGTATGAAAGGAGATGAAACAGAAAACAAGAAAATTGGCTGCACTGTTAACCTTATGGTAAAGAAGTTTCCTTTGTCTCTTTGTGATACTGTGCAATGTTGTGGAAACTGAGATGGGAGAGGTTGGGGTAGAAATCTGTGTCAAGCAAGTGTAACTTCAGAATCCAAGCACTGGGATGACAGAACAGAACAACGGGGATTGTGAGGATGCCCTGGAGGTCTCTGGTCCAACTCTCTGCTTAAAGCAGGGTCAAACAGGTCAGGTTCTTCAGGGCCTTTTCCAGCTGTGTTCTAAAAAATCCCTGTGACAGAGGTCCTACAACTTTTCTCACCTTTTCTTTCAGCTTTTTACTATCTTCATTTTGAAAAAATCATGATACAATAAAATTTCTGGGTTGAATTAGTATGAATATGAAAAGAATTATTACTTTTTTCACACTAATAATGTATGTTCTTCTCAGTACCTTTACACATACACAGATGCTGCTGATTGTCCTGAACTAAGGAAGAGTCTCAATAAGAATAACAACTCTCTTACTTCTTTCACAGAATTTCTATAAGTCTGAAATTAACAAAGAAGAGATGTACATCCGCTATATCCACAAGCTCTGTGACATGCACTTACAGGCTGAGAACTATACAGGTGAGTAAGACATCACATGGAGTGTGCTTGGAGTCCTGGTGAAAATTTTTGACTCTCCCAATGTTATATTCTAATACCTGATCCATTGTTTTGGAAAAAAATAGTGTGAATCAGTTATGGCAGTTAGGAAGAGAAGAAGCTGAGGTCCAGCTCATTCTCTCAAGTCAAACAGTATATGTCTGTGCCCACACAACCATACAGCTATTCCGTTACGCTCTGCATTTTACATTAAAGTGTTCTACAACAAAGATGGATAAAAAAAAAAAATCACAACAGTGGAATCAAATTTAGAGGAGGATTGAAATCACAAAGCCACCGTTATATTGCCATGTACCATATTTCCTTGCTCTGTAGTATTTAGGGAGCACTTAGAAAGTGTATCGACTCTTAATTCTTTGTTGTCCAAGCTCTGTCTACAGCTGCAGGCCCCAAATCTAGTTACATATCTGCATATCTGACTGTGCATTTAAGTCAAGTCGCTAGTAAAAAGAAACTTGACAGATTTGTACATAAAAATCAGGTTCATAGGAAATTTAAGTAATTGAATAATTTAATGATCATCTGAGACTTCAGAATTTTTTTCCAATTGTAAATTAGAAATTCCAGGCTGTTTAAGAAGCAGATCTAGTGACCTTTCAACCTACTGGCTGTATTTATTTGTTGTCATTGATCCAGTGTTCAATAATTACATTTCCAACAGAGGCTGCATTTACTTTGCTTTTGTACTGTGAGTTGCTTCAGTGGGAGGACAGACCTCTGAGAGAGTTCCTGCATTACCCATCTCAGTCAGAGTGGCAACGTAAGGAAGGTCTGTGCCGTAAGATTATCCATTACTTCAACAAAGGGAAGGTATGCCAACTTCTTCTCTCTTCCAGCAGCTTCCTTCCCTTTTCCTGACTTACTTGGGGCTTGCAAGCCTATCATCTCGGTTCAGTAATCTGGAATTAAATTTGTATCTAAAGGTTTTATAACTTGACCAATTGCTTCTTGGCTCTCTGGATGAGAAAAATGGATATGGGTATTTCATTATGCATAACATATGGAACTAGTTTAGGGAGGCCAACAGGAAAAACACCAACATATTTTTATACCTTTAAACCAATCTTTGGATCACCTGATCTGGCAGAAAACTCTATGAATGCCAGTTCCTTGGCTTCTGGGGGGCAGGATTGCATTTTGTAGTTTTCTATGCAAATTGGTGTGCTGTGACTCACTTTAGGACTTGTTTTGTTTCTAACGTATAGAAATTAATGGCAGGCAATGCACTGTAGGAGTCCCTTTTTTAATAAAGATTTAAGTCTTTTCAGTGTCACTGTTATTTTAAAGTGGCTTTCAGTTAAAGTGCAGTTCCATCCATTGCACAAGAAGAAAATCAATACATTTCAATTTCACATATTTGGTTATGTTTTTTGTACAATTTTTTTTTTTTTAATTACTGCAGATGTAGGTGTTATAGTCCCTTGTCTCATGGTGTTTTGGGGAACATTTCAGAGATGAACTTTAAAAGTGGTATCATCTGTCAGAGTATTTTCAATTTTTTCCCTTCTCTAGAAAAATTCCTACAGCTTATACTATTGGAAGATAATGTCGGTAGGCGCGCCTCAGGGTTGTTTTTGCCTGTGATGGTAATGACAGTGGCATTAAATATAGATGTGATTTGGTTCATATGGGGTTGCCATTCCAGATAATTCTTTCCTAGCTGTTGTACTAGAAAGTTGCGTATGGCAGAGACATTCTCTACAGAACCTGCAAAAGGAAGTCAGATTCCTGTGTGTAGGAAGAAATGGCCTATTTATGAGGAAGTGATTGATTATTTTTTTTTCTTTTGGCCAGAATTATTCTTTTGTAATAATACTGCATTTGGTTCTCTTTCTAGTTTCAGAAATTTTCAGACTGCACTTAATAAAAATAAATTTCTGACTTGTGCAACTATTGCAGGACTGTACTATGTGACTAAACAAAGATGATATAGAGACTATGTTAAACAAGCCAGCCTGTATTTTGAACAAAAAGAGGCAATCCAGATAGGCGGTGAAGGGCAGTAAAAACTTGGCAGATGTCATTTTGCTATAAAACTCCTAACAGATTATTGAGTGTTAACCTCTTGAGGTTTTTTTCTCCACTGGATGTTTTTGGAGTTACTTGACTTTGTGTTGTAATCCTCCTTTATTATAAATGGTAACTGAATGACTAAACAATCCCACTTAAGCAGTGTGCGTGTCACTCAAACTGTGGAAGTGAAAGATGCTGAGAAGCCAAATCCTCCTGCTGCTTTTCAGCACTCTTTTTCTGTTGCTGTGTAACAGGGAATGGTTCAGGGAATGGAAGAAACTTCCTTCCCTCAACTTTTGTGTGAGTTTCTTTCTGCACTACCCTAAAATGGTCCCTCCTCAGGTTCTAAAGAGTGGAATTTGTTGTTGTGTGTCCTTCAGTGTCATTTCTAGAGTTAAGTTTCTTGTGCTGCTCCTGGCATCTTCCACTAAGTAAGGGGGTCAAAGCAACATGAAAAATGTGTAAAAAATTCTGCATTTCTTAATAGGAATATTTTCTCAGCACAGGAATGGGGGAAAACTTACAGCCACAAGACTATCTTGTGAGTTTGACATAAAGGGTATGTATGCCAGTGGAGGGCAAGGAGTGGTGTCATGGCCCATGGCAGGCCTGGAGTGCTGCAGTGCAGTGCAGAACTGAGTAACTCCCATGCTCAGTATTGTCAGTAGCAGCCCTGTGCTGGAAAGGATCAAAGTGTTCAAAAGCCCTTTTAGCCTTCACTCTGGTCGTATGCTCCTCCCCATTGATTTCTGCCGTGCTTTGAATTGGTTTATGGCTCAGTCAGCAGTGTGTGCAAGTGTATCACTTTAATTTTCTTTTTTTTTTTTTTTTTAAACTCACAGTTATGGTTTTGTCTGTTAAAACTCAAGGTTTTCTAGTTGAAGAAGACTGTGAATGGAACAATTTGAATCCAATTGATCATGCTTGTGGAGAGCAATAGCTTCAAAACTGCACAACCCTTTTCTGTCCAGTTCACTGCTACATTTTCATTAACTCAAAATTCTGACCAGCTCCCATCACAGCATCACAAGTGTGTATTCTCCTTAGTGGCAACCAAGTGCTATGAGAGACCCAAAGATGTATTTCCAAAGCAGTTCATTTTAAGATCATGTGCTCCATACCCAACATTTGAACTAATTTCTCTTGTGCACCCTCATGTGAATCATATTTTCAAAATAAATTTGCATATTGGGATGTGATTAAATAAAGGTTTCCATTCCTAAATGTTGATTGTCTCTACCTGTGCCTCCATGTGTGCAGTCAACGGAGAGTTGCTGGTGCCATAGGAGAAAGCTGCAATGAATGTCATATGAATGTGCTTTTCAGGTGAAGGACATAATACAGAACATGCAAACAGATCAGACATCAACAAAACAGAAAGCAGTAATGAGGGAAATTAACGGTGGAGACATTAGGAAATTATTTGAAGGAGGAAAGAATGATGCTTTAGAGGGAAGCAACACTTGCGTAGCACATGGAGTTATGTATTAAATTTCTACACTGTGAATATGGTATTCATTAACATCACAGATTTTAAAACTGAGGATCCCAGTGACTCAGATATCCATTCATTTTCTTTTCTCTGCTGTCCTGGTTTTTGCTAGGATAGGGTTAATTTTCTTCTTAGTAGCTAGAAAGCGCTGTGTTTTGGTTTCAGTGAGGACTGTTATGAGAACAATGTTGATAACTACAAGGACATTGTGCTTGGGCAGTTTCCGAGAACAGAGGACTGGAAGGAGGGAGTGGAGAAGAAAGGTGCAGTAGTTGGTAAAACCCAGAACTGACAGTTGGATGTGCCAGTAAGATATTCCATAGCATATCACGTCATATTTAGTATCTTAACCAGGGCTGACCGGAAAGGCGGGGATTCTCTTGGGAATCTCTCAGGCTCCCTTTTCCAGGATTGCAATTTTGGTTTCGGGGTTCCTTTTCACTCCTCCAGGATCGTTATCAGCAGGTGGTGAGCAGTTGTACTGTGCATCACTCAGATAGATAGATAGATAGATATATACACACACATATATAGTTGTTATTATTATTATTATTTTAATTTTATTTTACTATAATTATTAAATTGTTCTTATCTCAACCTACAAGTCTCTTCACCTTTACCCCTCCAATTCTCTCCCCGATTCCCTGGGGGGGAGCAGGGAGGCTGGGAGTGGCTCTCTTCTTTGGCTGCCAGCAGAGTTAAACTATCACACTTTACAAATATTTGCAAATTCTCTTTTCTCTCTAAGAAGTTACCTGGAAATTGTGTTTCTTCACTTCTCTGTCTCATCTTGTATCTGCAGAATGTTCAGCTAGTGCAGTGGAATTTCTCTGTGTGGAAATCTAACTGAAACAAAGAGAGAAAGCCTGAGTTGGGATGACAGGAGTAGTATTAGGGTGCATGTAGAAGAGCCGATACAAAGAGAAATACGTTGTAGTTACATATTGTTAATTTAATCCACATCAGAAAAGGAGCATGAAAAGGTTACATCTTTAGGATCACAGGGAAGGGAAGACAGCCAGATAGCTTTCTGCTTCTGTCCACAAGGCAGATTAGAGAATTATGTAGGCTTTAGCCACAGCATCCCATTTGGAAGTGAGACTCTGCTCACACTGTGTGACAAAAGCCATTTATTCCTGGTCAGATGTTTTAGAGGAGACTTTTCTTTACCATTCTTTCAAGTAAATATGGATCAGCTAAGGACTGAAAATCTATCTATAATATCTCTGTGCAGAATGTTGAAACCTATTTAAAAATGCAATGGTGTTTGCAAATATAAACACTTAACTGGTTAATATTGTTGATCCCAATTCAGTGTATCAGTTTGTATGTCATGGACTTTTGACAACCCAGAGCAAAAACCTTGTTATTTTGAGATCAGAAAAACCTGAGTAATATTCTTAGTTGTGAAGTAACTGGTCTTTCCGTTAATTTCCCATTGAATGTCATGTATTTATCTAAATAAATCTTGGGCTTCTTATCATCACAAATTACTAATACTATCAGAATATACAAATTGATTCTGAAAGAACCTTTCATTTAGCAAGTTCTGTTTAAGTTTTTGGAATGAACTGAAGCTAAAGAGATACAGGATTATTATTTTTGCCTTTTTAGTTCTTACAACTAGCCCTTCTTTTAATAAAAAAGTTCTTACACTTACTGGGTTTGCTATTCAGACAAATTAAACTTTCCTGGTATTAAGGATGAGAGCAGACACTACAAAAGAGAGTGTGGAAAGGGAAGAACCGAAAAGTACCTAATACACTAAATGAAACCCAGCAGAGATTCACTTTTTTAAGTGAAGGCACATGTAACTAGAAAAACTATTTCTATATTACGTGCTAATATTTTACATAATTACTGTTACCAGTAATTTATAATATTGCTATTAATATTTTTAAAACTTAAGATGATAATCTAACTCACACATTAATTTTGTTTTCACTACAACAGGCTCCCAGTTAAAATAAACTGTCAAGTTAGCCCAGTAATGCATAAAAGTTAATCCAGTAAAGGTTCAGCTGAGCCCTTGGTGTACTAAATCCTTTGCACAAGTATGGTAAGAAACAGTCATTTCCCCAAAAGACTTCTAATCTGTGCAGCTAAAAGATGATGGGAGAGGAGTTCTCAGTTCAAGGATGCAAAATGAGCACTCTGAAAAGCTACATGAGGTCCCGGGGAGTCTTTCTCTCAGTGTGGGCATGCCCAAACTCAGTCTCTCCCTTACCTCTGCGGGTGATGAGTACAGTGTGCTAGAAAAGATTTATTGTATGCAGACTCTTAAGTTGAAGAAATGAGTTGTGCTTTCAGTTGTGAATATGGATATTCATGCAGTGCGGTAATGCAGGTCAGTTCTGAGGATGTTTTGTCTCTGTATTTGAGTGTTTCCTGTTGCTTGACAGTTTCGTGCTCTCAGGAGGAAGCAGCAGTGCTGGGAAGGGAGCACTTGGCTGGGGAGCTAAGCCCTAATTCTTCACTCCGGGGAGTTTTAGTGCAGAAGGCAAAGGAGATATTGGAAGTGGGTTGAAGGGGTATCTAACAAGATGAAAAATGGTTAGTTGTATTATCTTTCTCCAGCTAAGTTCCCAGTCTCACAAGTGAACTGTCAGTAACAAGCAGTATTTGTGTGTAATTTCAATCGAACATATGCTGCCCTTACAATCCTGAAGAAGGAATTAATCTGATATTTAACGGAAACTGTTCCATCACACTGCATTTTCATACCAAATGAATCCCCAAAATTGAGTTTCCATATTCCTCTCAGCTGAGTTGGCAATAACATTCTGTTTGCTGTGAGTGTGATTTGCTTTGGTTTCACAGAGCTGGGAGTTTGGAATCCCACTGTGCAGAGAACTGGCCATGCAGTATGAAAGTCTCTATGATTATCAGAGCCTCAGCTGGATTCGGGTAAGTACCAGCAGTTCCTCTCCTTGCAGACTCTCACGTCATTCCCCAGGGAATTTTGCTTTCCTGTCAGAACACTCTGAATTTAAAAAAACAGTCATATTCCCCATACAGCTCCATGCATTTACAGTAACTCCTTTGCCACTGACTCATTTTGATGACTTTGTAGGTTCACTGCAGTAATTCCTAAGTCTGTTAGTAGTAAACTCTTATGAGTATATGGAGACAGCACATACACAGGAGCTGGGCTTGCTAGTGCAATTACATATTTATATATATTTTTGCATAAAATATCTTTTTTCTTTTTTAAAAAACATTATATATTTCTAATTCCGAAAATATCAAGGACAGCTTGGGCCTCAGTTGACATAAGAGGAACAAGAGAGAAAGAATGGAGAAAGCAAACATTTATGGCATTCTTGTCAATTTAAAGAATCTGGTCCTCTGGTGGAACCAAACATCTGATGAAATCGGGGGACGTCTGCAGCATTTAATCAGAAGTCAAGGTTCTGGTTGCTATTTAAACACCTTACGAATGTGAAAACAGCTCACCTGCTTTTGTCCCCTGGGGTAGCATGCATATATCCAGATTTAAGATTTGTGCTATGTGGATGTATTCTTATACCTGGTGGTTTAAATTCTCTTTAAAAGTCACATTTATTCTCATCTGAAGATACCTGTCTAACCAGGTCTCATGAACTGCACTTCTGAAGAACCTGTTTTCTTCAAAGTGGCCCTAAAGAGAGCAGGAGTGACCGTCTTGGATTTGTACTTGTTTATTGTAGATGTCTAAAATACAGCAGTGTGAAAATTTATCTTGGTGTACAGGAAATACCACCTCTGTAAGGTGATTGTGGATTATGAGCAAACAAACTTATTAAAGGTTTAGTCAAGTTGTGCATCAACTTTCTTTCCTAAAACATCGGTAGTTAGCTCTTTTGGCTTCCTCTTTATTAATTAGGTTTAATCAGCTGGCAGGTGAAGAGCATCTGTGCCATTCACATCATTTAACACATTCCTTTATCGTTCCTGCAGTGACTTTGGGATCTTCTCCATTTTAGAAAAGGAGTTAATACGTGAGGGAACTGAGAACAAAACCTTGACTCTAAGTCAAAGCTCCTGTTAGGGTTCCCTGCAGTGGAAGCAATGATGCCAAGCTGATTCTTCTCTTTAAAAAATTATCTTTTTGCTATACTGAAATTCCTGTGGGCCTTTCAACTGAGATTCAGTTTGGCAAGGGGTCTTGAAATCCCACTCATTATATAAATGCTAGCACAGTGCCACAGAACTAATATTTGGAACTAGAGAAAAGTCCTTTTACTTTTTCCAAACCCTCCCTTTTTTTTTTTTTCATGTTAAACCTACTGGTGCACAGAGCTGTAAATTTAATTTTGTTTCACCCTTTTTCATGCCCCTCTACTCAGTTAAGACAAACCCAATTGAATTGATATAATTTTCCAGACAGTGGTGTAGATTTGAGCTGTAGGAGAGAACAGGACACTGTGAGCCAAGCCACATAGATCTTAATCTCAGCTTTGCCATTAATTCTGCAACACAAAGACAATTACATGGAAGACCTGTTTAATTTAAAATTAGATGCAACATAAAAGTTTTTGCCATCTCCAGAAATGTAAAACGAGTATGATAATACTATAGTCTGTGTGTAGACTGTTTAATTCATAATTTTTATCTTTAAAAGAATTTCAGTCTTTTCATTAAAAATTGTGGTGGCAAAAAAGTAATGTGGTATTTTAATGTGTCTTGAGATTCTCATCTTTTAAGTGCAGCTTTAAGGGTCTGATAGTAACTATCTTTTTCCTCCACAGAAAATGGAAGCTACCTATTATGATAATATAATGGAACAGCAGCGCTTAGAACCTGAGTTCTTCAGAGTTGGTTTTTATGGTCGGAAATTCCCGTTTTTCCTGCGGGTAAGCCAGACTTACACAAAATATGACAAAGTGACCAGGCTCAGAGTAGGAGTTAAGGCTTTGTATTTTTGTTGTGGAGACATGATGTCTACCATTCAGCTTGGTTTTTTTATGCTTGCACAAGTAAAAACAGGTTTCTGGCTGAACTGAAGGATGTGGTCCATTGGGAATGTTCTTAGGAACAGAGATCAGAAATTTGACTCATGCCTATGTGTATATTTGACAATCTGCAGATGCAGCACAAATTGCTCTATATTAAGCAAAATGCTGTACAGCAGCAGTGTTGGGCTGTTACTGAACTAATTTTCATCATCTCAAATGATCACGCTTTAAAAAGTGTCACATGACAGAATGATTCTAATACCAGAACGATGACTTTCTCATGCTATTTACAAGACAGAATTTTCTTTCTCTTCAACAAAGAGTATAGCAGCTTCTCAGGACACATCCTCACTTTGAGCTTACTGTCTGCTGTTGTATACAGCATCAGCTGGGTCTGCAGTCCATTTAAAAAGTAAAATTACCTTCTTTTCCTAATGAGGAATCAAACTTAAAATGGATATTTTGTCATACGATGTCTTGTTGCTGGTTCAGAGCAAGGAAGGAATATAATCTGACAACTGCTGTAAAATCTGTGTGAAAATTGATGGTAGATGCCATCTAACTTGACAGGACAAGCTAACTTGAAGCGTGCTTTCAGGGACGGGAGGTGCATGTTCTGTGTTCTCTTTAAAGAAACAGTTTGACAAGAGATTGTACCACTCTGGAGTTATACAGCAAGAAGCTAGAAAAAGCCAAACCGTGTACCATTTTGAAACCTGCATTCTTAAATTTACCTCTGATTACTAATTTGTTTTGTTCTGTTTTTTAAGTAGGATTTAAACAGTGGTGTTTAATTACAGTCTTTTAATGGAAACACAGGCAGGGCAAATAAGAGCAAGCTGGAATTAATGAAGGTGAAAATACCAGTGGATAAAGGGTGGCTGCATGTTATTCATGGTCAGGTTGGACAGTGCCATAACGTAGCAGCCTGAATCAGTGCGTAGAACACACCTGCAGAGGAATCTGAGGAAATGATAAGTGTTACAGCATAAAGCAGTAGCTGCCCTTTCCTAAAGATCTCCAGAAGAAACTGACCATTTATTTTTTTTATATCTAACAACAGATGTTTCAGGAAATGAATGACAGCAGAGTCATTACGGCACATAAGTGTTCCTATGTTTGAAGGAGTATCAGTGAATCTAACTTACCCTGTCACATTCTGGATCCTACAGTTTATCTTGGATCCAGCACGACCTGTGTGTTTAACCATGCACAAGTTTTCAGTGCACAGCACTTCCTGTTTGTGAAATGATGTAACAACATGGGATACTTGGCTGGAGACATTAACAGCGAACATGAGCATACATAATCATAATCCTTGTTAATTCTGCAATTATATTTGGTAGCAGTACTTCTGATAGCAGATTACTAATGTAGCAATCTCATTAAAAGTCATCCTCCTCCTTTCTCTCTCTAATGATCCATACAGCATATACATTGCAAAGCACAGACTAAGCCCATTAGCAGTCACATCAGTGTGGATCACACTGTGAAGAGATTGGAAGCAGCTATTCTAAAGATTGAAATGGATTTAAAAATTTCAAATGGATATGGGAGTGATTTAAAGTGATCAAATAACTCCATGCCTTTTTCTTATTTTTCTATTGCTATATAGCTTAAGACAGAAAACAGCCACTTCTGTATCTTTGATTTTGAAGACCTTTTTCTAGAAAAGTCATTGCTCATGTTTCTATGAATTCTGAATCTATTTCTAGCCTTCCTACATAAGTAAATTGAAACTGCCCATGTCTTCCACCTACCAGAAGTTCAATTAAGGCCTAATAAGCCATGTTCTGAGATCATGTGTTGGCATCTTTCTGAGAAGTCTACTAAATTTAACTTTGAGGTGTTTTCAGGGCATTATTTTTAGAATCACGATAACTTTATTTATAGGCTTACAGTTTTCCGGATTGCTGCAATCAAAAGCTAAAATAGAGACTGCAGTAAGTGTCATGAAGAGATTCACCTTCAAACATGGACTCACTCCAAATTTAATAATAGCTGCAAAGTTTGGCCATTACAGACTGAACTGTCAAGATTCATCATGCACTTTTTCTCCCAGTTTGTTGGTTGCTGTGCCTGGTACATACAAAGTGACGTATGTCACAGCTGGAACATGAGAACTGTTCCATAAATTGCAATGCAAAGCCAAAGATAACTGCGCTCCCTGACCGTGTTTTATGATCAGGTTTTTCTGCTTTCTCTTTGATTTTGCTACAAGATCAAGAACTGCTTGACCAGAACCCTTTTCCAGATGAATTAACCAAAAATTATTGCATATACTGCAGCTTCTAAGTGTAAGAATAGAAAGGCGGAGGGAACTGTTCTTATTTTCTGGGATTCTTTCTTTGTTTTATGAAGATGAAAAATCTCCCTGTACTTCTAGTTACTGTTATGTGTATGAGAGTTAAAACTACCAGAATCAGAGAATTTCCATGCTTTGATTGGTCTTGTATCAGGAGCTATCAACACAAATCAAAACTGTGTTTTGTGGTAATAGACACTGGAATGACACTGACAGCTTTAGAAACCCTGTATCTTGCTGTTCAAAGTTTGAGATGTGTCAGAAAGCATCCAAGAACCCTGCACAAGTGGGTTAATGCCTCAAGAGGCATATCTGAATGCAAGCTTTCCATTACTAGCAGAAATGAAATTTTGCTCATCAAGAGGAAAGTGCTTTTAGGGATAAAGGGGAATTTGTGAAGTGGCCACTGAGAATCCTTGGTAATGCTTTTCCACATTACTATAGACAGGGGAGTTCCCGAGGATGTATTGTTCACCATGATCAGAGGTGGATTGTATGGCTCTGACAGTACAGCAGTGATTAAACAATGATTTTTGTGAACAGTTTGTTACAGTTCTCTCTGAGGATAACTGATAAATTGATGAACGTATATCTCTCTGTGTTCCATTAAATCCTCAGGACTTCTATCCATATAGTGTAAACTGTATTTGACAGCAGCTTTCCCAGTGTAGAACAGCTGAGCTGGTGACTTAAGTTTTGGTTGATATGTTCCAGTGTAGTCCAATTAAAATATAGTCCCTTTTCAGCTGTCTGAAAAGCAAGTAAGAAAAGACAATTGGACTGAACATTACGTGTTCATGGATCAGAGGCATATTTCTGCTGAGAGATGAGTGGAATAGTCTACTTATTAATCACTTCTTGATGAAATAAATTGCAAAGAAAAAGAAAGGAATGAAATATATCAGCTGTGTTAAATGCACATTTTACTCTCAGATTAGCATATTGACATTGTCATTTATCTTTGGTTTTGGAGCAGTAAAATTTTAAGTGAGATAAAAGCTGACAGAATTTAACTTACTTTTAAGGAGACTAATTTATGCTTATCCTTCTTGCAGAACAAAGAATATGTATGTCGGGGCCACGACTATGAGAGGCTGGAAGCCTTCCAGCAGCGGATGCTGAGTGAGTTCCCACAAGCCATTGCAATGCAGCATCCAAACCATCCAGATGACTCTATATTGCAGTGCGATGCCCAGTGTATCCTTCAGTGAATGAGCAAACTATGATTGGAAGAACTGTGGTAGAGCACAGAGGAGGGAGGTACTGAAAAGGTCATCAATTTGGATACCTCGGTTCCTAAGTGCCTTAGGTAGAGCTGGGTATGGACAAACCCACACACCTGCCTACATTAACTGCTTCGTTGCGCTATGTATTGTTGGAGAGAATTGTCAATTTTCATTCAGGGAGTAATGCAGGTCATAGTGTGTAAAGGAAACAGCTGTGCTCAGTCACATCTGCTTGGTCACATCTGTGTTTTAACCTTCATCAACAGCAATGCACCTTTTGTGTCATTCACAGTATTCCCAATACTTTCTCTGGGAGAATATTTTGTTGGCAACAGATTCCACAGTGTTATTTTCCATTGTGTTTATTTTTCACATCAGTATTATTATTTTTTACCATCTCCCTTTCTTTTAAACTGCTGAACTCTATACCTAAGGCTCTGAATCTCATTCTTGTCACTGGTAATCTGTGCTGTGATTTGATGCAACCAGTACAATGCTATATACATTTAAGGACTGAACCACCTAACATTTAATGAGTTTGCAGAGACTTTTGGAGATTTTGGTCACAAGAACACCAGTTTGGCTTGTGTGACAACAAGGATATTGTGAAGGACTGTAACCATAAGGACATCATAAAAAATGAAATCTCCTGAAATTGGTTGGTGTTTCCCACTTGTCTTTCATAACAAGTTTTCACTTGTCCTTGCTATGTAACACTGATACTTTCATAGACAGAGGAGTTGTTTGTGTTTTGGTTGGTTTGTTTATGCTTGCAGAGATCTTGTCTAGATCACTGAGGTTAAGCCAGTTTAATTAAACTGGACTGTAAATTGATGAAATTAGGACAACTTTGGTTTGTAGACAAAGCTGAAGTATCTAAGGCAAAAATTATCAAAGATAAATATTAGATATTTAGGTACCACAATACCTTGAAGTTTTCTGAAGTGCCTGCACAAATGAGGCACTTAGCTCTAATTAAAACTAGTAGGAATTGGATGTTTTGCCTGCTGTAGACATCTGGATGTCTTACTACATACTCTGCATCCTCGGATATCTTCCTCTTTGGTTAATCTGGCTGAGAGGCACTATCACTCTGTAGACTCTCCTAGTAGTTCTAGGCAACCGTTCTGTTGTTTCACTTGCAGAAGAGTAGTGCTGGAAAACAAAGAGGAGCGAGACTTTCTGAATTTGCCATCCTGTTTCTTTCCACAGCAGAGATAGGTTTCCTGTTTAATGTCCTGTAGCTTTCTTTGACTACATAATTTACAGATTTACAGATCTATGCAGTGACTCCCATCCCAGACAATATAGATGTGCTTCAAATGGACCGTGTCCCTGATCGCATAAAGAGCTTTTACCGAGTCAACAACATCCGGAAATTCCGCTATGACAGACCTTTTCACAAAGGCCCAAAGGACAAGGAGAATGAATTTAAGGTAGAAGCAGAGAATAAGCAGTGTTTAAGTGTTAATCTCTTCATGGCGAATACTGTCTTATTTTATGCTGATACAGTCTTTCAAGTAATCCTGATTTAATAGCCAAAGATACTGTAGTAACTCTACTGTAAGAAGTAGCTGTTGAGTCCAGTAGTTACAGACCTGACCTGCTTAAAGCATTATCCAGATTAAAGGTAAGTTATTTTAGTGCCAGGAGAAATGCATTTTGAAGCAAGGATGGGGTTTTTTGTTCGTCTGGAATTTTTTTCTTACTGCCATATATGTCCACAATGTCTTCTTGGTTCCCATGACAGAAGTGGTGATCAACCTTTAAAAATTAATAGAAATGTTGAGTATGTTGCTTTAGAGCATACTGAACTCTGGTTTTGTTGTTCAAGTGTCTTTCAGCATGACATTCTGCGAAGTAAGTTAATGCTCAGGAGGTTAATATATTGTTTTCTGAACTTTACCCCCTTAGTCCCTGTAGTAGGAGTCCAGATGATCTGACTGTGATTCACTGGGTACCTCATATCCTTAATTACTCTTTGCAGAGCTTGTGGATTGAACGTACCACTCTGACCTTGACTCACAGTTTGCCCGGGATCTCTCGTTGGTTTGAAGTGGAGAGAAGAGAACTGGTAACATTCATAGTTCCTGTAACTGGGGTTTGAAATGATGGGTTACTGGGATAGGCAATTTAAAACTCCTTTGGCTGCCATCTTGCAGTGTAAACTTACCAAGTTTAACAATGACTAAGCATGTCCTTTTTCCACCACTTAGACTAAATAATTGCTGAACATAACCAGGGGAATTATTTGAGGGAACATGACAGTATAATGGAGACATGTGAAAAAGATGGAATAATTGCATTGTTGCTGTGTCTTCAGTATACAGAAAAGAAGTTATTGCAAGTCAGTGACCTGAAATACAGCATTACCAACAGTAAAGTTTGTTAATGTAGCTAATTTTCCACAAAGCAGTAAAAATTAAGAGAGATCACTGAACAATCCTAGAGTATCATTTCATTACAAGGAATATAATAAATGTCAGTGAATTGTCCATGGAATTAAAGTATATTTTATTGCCTTTGAGGTTGAAGTAAGTCCTTTGGAAAATGCCATTCAAGTGGTTGAGAACAAAAACCAGGAGCTGAGAACACTGATAAGCCAGTACCAGCATAAACAAATGCATGGTAACATTAATCTTCTCAGCATGTGTCTGAATGGAGTGATTGATGCAGCTGTTAACGGGGGAATTGCACGGTACCAGGAGGTAAGCTGGCGCTACTTCTGAATTTAGCATCCTCTTTTTTCAATTTAATTTCCATTTCTGTTTCAAAGAGAGTATGACTTAATGAGGTAAGAAATCTTCATGCACATGTTATCTAAATATGAGGTTAAAACCCCTTCTTGGTTATTCTGCATCAGTGCTTGCATAGCCACACGTCAACAGGAGGATCCAAAGGTGGAGTTGGGATATTGCATTGAAGTAGGTACAGTTGACAGTGGCATTTCTCAAGAATGAAACTTGGCTTACCTGGAAATCTTGACTTGGCAGGTAGAAAAGTGAAGTAGATTTTTTTTATTATTTTTTTTTTTAATACTGGTTACATTACAAATCCATTTTGCAACAGAGGCAGTGGGACTCCTGGTAATTGAGACTGAGGCCTGTAATCAGGTGGTGCTACTCAACCATTATCTTTGCTAGCCTCATTTCAGACTCACTGTAACCCTAAAACGATCGTATATGAGGTATGTTATCTGCCACAGTCTTTGGCAAGCTCGTAATTAAACTCTGCCTTGCAGAAGGTCAGTCTGGGGTGAAATACTGAAAAATGGCAGCAGCAGTCCAGGGGTGTGGTGTGTCTTCCCTACAGAGCCATGAAGAGAACGTTCTTCATGCTTTACATTAGTTATCACTTTACTTACCTTAATTCCTTTAGCTTTAGACAGTTATGTGAAGGAAACTATTGAAAATTCAAGTATGGATGATACAAGGCTTAGCAGTATTGCTTATCGCTGTCACATGGGAAAACTTGGTCAGATTCATGATTCAACAGAATCATGTAGGTTGCTAAAACTGTACTATAGCTTTACCTGGATCCCAGAGTGCTAAAAGCAATAAAATTGAGCTGCTGCTGTTAGCTTAATATATTTAGTTTTCCTAAGATTTTTTGGACCTTTTCCTCTCATCCTTTGACACCAAGTTGTGATGAAATATCTTCCAGTAAGCAGAAGAGTTGTTTGGTTTTTTTAATTTTCCTACAGGCCTTTTTTGATAAAGATTATATCACAAAGCACCCTGGAGATGCAGAGAAGATCACACAGCTCAAGGAACTGATGCAGGAACAGGTACTGTTTTTCAGATGCAAAAGAACATTACTACAGTGTGTGGATTCATCAGCAGTCAGTCTATACGTATCAGATCCAACTGATTGATTCAGAAGCAAAGACTTTGGGTATAGGAGATCTAAAGTACATTTAAACAAAAAAGAGGTGGGAGATGGCCAAAGAGTTTATGAAAAAGCTGTTCACCTTATGGGATATAAGGTGAAGCTCAGGTAAAAGTACATTAATTTTGTTGTCTCCATTGTCTCGACTGTTCAATAGACACCTTGCCACATTTCAAGCCTGTCATGTATTTTTAATTATATCTTCCCAGTAAATTTCAAAGATAATCAAAGTCAGAACAGGCCAGGTCAGGCTTGAGATTAAACTGGAAGAGCTACACGGGAAATCTTAATGCCTATTTATACATTATCTGCAGTTTTATTTTTCAGTAGTGTCTCCATGAAACATCTTGGTAGATAAAGCTAACTGAATGCTTTGATGGGAGTGAAATCAGAACATCGCATCCGTCCTAACTGAAAGTTTGGCAGGATATACCCCATTAAACACTGTGTCCAAGTCTGAATAGAGCTACTAGGCCCGTTTCTTCACCAAATCACTTAACTGCATTTCAGATTTCCCATCTGTAAAATAAAGATAATGCTTATCTCCCTCCAATCCTCAAGAGACTGTTTGAAGATTAATTAGTTATTGTTTGTACAGACTTTGAATCATGTAGGGAATTATACATTGTAAGTCTGCTATCATTACTATTTTCTTTCATCTGAGAGCTTATATAATCACATTCAATCACTAATATTATATGTTTGACCTTTGCAAAAGTGACCTTTAAAAGTAAATAATGTGCAACAGAAAGAGTGACTATGCATGCCACACTGCCACTGTTCAGCTCAATTACCAGAAACTCCTTTTAGAAATCTCCCTTGGCAACTTTGACCCTTCCTCTGACACTGGGTGGAAGGAATTTTCTCCGTCACAATGAATTACCTGTGTAATGCTGCTCACTCTGGAGAGAGAATCAATCTGGTAATTTTTTACAGTTCTCTCTTAAGTAATTCAACGTGACATAAATGTACTTGTCTTGCACTTAAAGTACTTGTTGAAGTAATATGAACTTGCCAGGTCTCCTAGGCTTGCTTAATTATCAGCAGTCTTGTCAATGAACAGTGGCATGTTTCACAGTAGTTCCTTGCACGTAGACAGAACTGCAGGACAGGCTCCTGATCTGTCTCTTAGACATGATTTATTTGGTTTTGTGATGTTATGTTTTCTTTTTAATAGGTGCACGTCTTAGGAGTGGGTCTGGCAGTCCATGAGAAATTTGTACACCCAGAAATGCGTCCACTGCATAAGAAACTGATAGACCAGTTCCAGATGATGCGATCCAGTCTGTATCATGTAAGCTGATAGTCATTCTTCCCATTTTGAATCATTCAGAGTAGCAACTAAACTTCTATCAGTTGCAGTAAGGTTCACAAAAGAATTGGGCCAATAACAGCATTGACTGAACCTACTGGGTTGCCAAATTATCAAAAAAATTCTTGATTTTTGTGCAAGAAGGAAGTCCTAATAAACCTGTTAATTTAGCCTTTAATTTAAACTAGAATTTTTAATCTTTGTATGTTCTTTGTTGTATCAAATAACAATTATAAAGCTTAATTTTCAGTTACTGTCTTACACAGCAGAAAGTGATGTAAAACAGAGGAAGAAAGATTAACAGAAAGTGTTAGATGTTGAAGTCTTTGAAAGAATTGCCATAATTTCAAGTAGTATGGCATGGATTAGGCCCTCCAGAAGTGGTTTTATGTAGGCAGCTACAGAAATTCCTGTTGGTTACTTTAGGTATCCAGCTCTGGTGATGAGGACACGCACTGTTCTGGGTCTCTAGTTCCTATGTAGTGAACGGAAGTGCCGCCAGAGCATGGTTCACACCACCTGTTATACACCAGAAGTACAAATATCATCCTCTAGTAATGATACCTTTCCTTCTCTGCATGCTCTGCTGTACATTAGTATGCTGTGAAAACCGTACTTGAGACATCTTTGCCAGGTGGGTCTCAGAAGTTTGCTAGTGCATTCTCCTCTTCCTGGTGCAGTGAAATCTTTATGGATATCTAGACAGTATCTTGAATATTATCACAACTAAATTAAAGGATATCTTGTTATAATGTAGAATAACTGTTTGAAATACATGTCTTAGGACTTTACTTTGCAACTGGAGTACATATTTTCTAAGGTAGCTTCTACCTTGAAGGCTTTTTCCTCCATTTTTAGGAGTGACCACTAAGCAAGGATTGCCAGAAATAGCAGTACCAGAATTTTAAAATATGGCCTCTTCTCTTTTAAAGCAGATGAGATGCGTACAGGTCGCAGTTACCAGTTTGAGTTCACTACCTTTCTTGAGAGTCTGGACAAGATCTGTATTTTTGAGTCCACATTTCTTTTTTGAAAAATGTAGGTGGCTGTAATTTGGGCCATGCTATGCCTCTATTTCCCTCCCAAATTCCTGAAATAATGGCTAGAAAGTGTCATTGGAAATGAACAGAGAGTAGGGTTGTAAAGCACTGAAGCTCTTTTTCCTGTGGAAACGCAGGATAAACTGTGGAGAACATGGAAACAGATCAGGATTTTCCCAAGAAGAAAACTTGTAATTTTCCATGACCAACTTAGCTAAAGTATGTTTCCTCTGCAGGAGTTACCTGGTTTGGATAAGCTGAGTCCAGCCTGTTCAGGCAATAGTACACCACGCAGCAATGTTCTGGTTTCGCATGGACCTATGAGCCCAGAGAGCATAAAGCTGGTGCATCGACACAGGTACCCTGTTTTCTGATCCTGAAGCATGTAGGATCTCTGCACATTGTTGCATTACAAACCAAGGATCTAGGAGGTGCAGGAGCAGGAGGAGCAGGATGGGTTTTGGCAGAAGTGCCTTTCATCTTCATTCAGTGCTAATTATTGAAGTTTGATTGAGGACTGGAATCAAAAAGATGAGAAATGCAATTTGCAGAAAATCCTAAACACCTCCAGGTGTTACTCCATCGCTTTACTTACTGCATAGGAAGAAACTCACATCTGCCACTCATGTCTGGATTCAGTCTGGCTTTGGCAGTTCTGTCTTCTATTTCTGCTATTCAAACAGCAAATAAATGGGTTCTTATCTACTATAAAAGGAAAATTTGATTGCTTGTTTTAGAACCTAACTCAGTACGGACCCATTTTTTAAGGATCAAAAAAATGTTCACATAATTATTTTTTATAATTCTGATCAAATCAGAACTCCAGTATAAGAAAGGCTGCCCAAGGTGTTTTGATCAGAAAAACAAAAAATGGCTCAGCCTTCACAGAAAACATCTGAAAATGTGGATGTTTATTCTTTCTATGAAAACTGAGATAATGATTGAGGATAAAAATTGGGATTTTTCTGGACAAACCAGTAGTTTTGTATCCAGACATTTGAAAATGTACATATCCAAACCAGTATGAAAGACAGTGTCAGGAATGTCACTGAAGTTATGGAATTTTAATTGTTCTTCCATTTTTATTTCTCTTGGTGGGTCCACATAGTTTAGCTCTTTTTAAAGCCTGGCATGAAAAGCTGTGGAAACTTGGTCTTGCGTATATGAATCCAGGATGGTGAAATTCTTTTTACTATTAAAATTTAGTGGCTTTTATACTACTTTAGTCTCTTGGCAGTTAACAATTGGTGTCTGGCTGATAAAATTTTTTTCCTCAAAATTCCTCACTTTGTATAGCCTTTTTTAGTTCTTAGGGCAAACTAGGGAGATTCTACAGGGTACAAAATATGTATTTGTGTACGTGATTCAGAGTGACAAAAAATTAATGAGTGAGATCAGGGTGCAGCCTGCACACCAGCTGGGCGGTGTTAATTTACTGTCAGCTACAAAGTTGCCTTCAACTGTAACGCTGAGGCCCAACAGATGCAATGAGGAAAACTGTATTTTGACCTGTGAATCTTGTGTGCTGGGCTTCCTTTGGAACGTTTTTTTAAGCTGCTACCACTCATCATGTTCCAGTATTAAAAATGAGAGTGGTTTCAGAATGTTCTGTTACAAACAAAACAAATAAGGACCCAGTATTAACCTGGTTTTGGATTCTGAAATTCTGTATCCTTTGTAGTCTTACATGTAGCCTTATTGTCACTCCTTTCGTATTTACTCAGTTTCCTGGATTTGTTTAGGCTTATTCAGTCTAATTTTTCAAAAGCGTTTGACATCTAGAGGTGACCTAGTGCAGTAGGTAACTGCAGGTACTTACTAGCTTGGAAAATATCAGGCTTCACAAATAAACACACAGGTTCAAAAAATGATGATGCCCTTGTTCTGTGTCTGTTTTTATTCCAGCCCACTGAACTTGCTTGGTTCAGTCCGACACTCATCCTCCTCTCTGTCGTCCCACACCTCCAGTGAAACAGGCAACCTGGTGATCCTAACGGACAGTTCTGTGGGGGAGACTGCTGAGGATATGTACCACATGCAGGTACAGCTCCAGCACAGCCAGGAGCAGCTGTTGGAAAGAGCACTGAACATGGTCTGGAGGGTTATGCATAGGATTTTACCTATGCACATGCTTGGATCTGTCCTGTGTTTTGTTTAGGTTTTTTTTTCAAAGAATAGGTAGAATCTGACATTGTTGAAGAAAGGTGACAGAGTAATTGAGCTAGGTTTCCTTTGGGAATAAATCTTCTGTATTTGTACAGTGAAAGTTGCTGCTGTGGTCCAAGATCATACTGTTGCTTTCAGAACGTGAGACTTTAGTCAGCACGTTATTTATATGACCCGTTCAACATATGCAGCTTGTATTGCTCTTGGTTTGTGGGAGGGTGAAATGAGCCCCACGTTCCCGAGTTCGGATTTATAGTGGCCTATAGCACTGAAGCTGTTTCCTAGACAGAGGCTGTGCGAGGTGACCTGAGACAGGTAAATGTCTAACGTGCTGATCCGCTCAGTTCTCTTGATGATTTCTCTGCCTCCTGCAGCTTGTTTACCCTAACTCCAGGTACCAAGGCTCACTCACCAACATCTCTGTTTTATCCTCGTCCCAGGCTAGCCCTTCCACCTCAAGCCTGAGCTCTACTCACTCGGCACCATCCCAGATGATTAACTCTGCCCCTTCCAGTGCTCGAGGTAAGCATGGATGGACCCAAATGAAGGGTTAACCAGACTGCAGGCATCCCCTAAACCTGGCAACGTTGTTGATTTATTGGTGAAAGACCACACACGATATACCACTGTTTCTCTTTTGGAGTTGTAAATGACTCTTCAAAAATTATTTCTTAAAACATGTTTTTCATTCTCCAGAAATGGATTTAATAATTTTTTTTCAGCAGTATTTTGGAATGTCTCTCTAATACATGCTGGTTTCAGGCAGTTGAATTTCATAATGATTTTCATTGCTCCGCCACAAAATTGTGGCAGGCAATCTAGAGGAAAACAAGAATAGTCTTTGGTACAGTACTTAAAAGAGAGAGATCATGAAGACAAAAGCAAAAAAAACAATTTTACACATTTAATGAAATTATGGCACAAAAAAGAACTTGAGGCAGTTTAGCAGAAATGTGTGTATACAAAAGCACATGCATACAATGAATGTTAAAAGATATGCATTGTAAGTACTGGAGTTAAAGAAGGGCTTCCCTGCTGGGAAATTCTTGAAGAAAGGAAAAATGTAAAAACAGACTGTAGGGGTAACTCATGTTGCCTTTGCTGTTACAGTAGCTCGTCTTGATATTACTCATGATTTTCTTCCCAAACCTCAGAGCTGAAGCAAAACCTCTCCTGCAACCTTCTGACTTTGGTAACTTCTGTTCAAGCTTTTTTTTACCTCTCATTTCAGATTCTCAGTTGCAGGTTTACAAATTTCTACACCTCTTTTCACAGGTGTCTGAAGAAGGTATCGAGAATATAGTCAGAGATAGAAGCTGATGCTTAAATCTTACCCCTTCCTCCAATAGAGGGGAACTTTGTCTCCTTATGGACAAAGAATACAGAGAGGGGCCCTTTCTCTCAGGCCAGTTTGGGGCATTTTGCTCAATCTTGCAGTAAGATCTTAATTGACTGGCTGTTAATATGACAAAGATGCATTGAAGTGATTTAATTGAAGGATCAGATAGAGCAGGAAGGTGAGAAGTGGACATCTCCAAATAAAGGCAAATAGCTGCACTAACTACCAAGGGCTGGAAGGCAAATAATGACAATTCAAACAGTAAAGTTACAAGATGAAACTGGCATCACAGGAAAGGGAAAATGGAACTGAGTACAGGGCTATCATGTCAGGGGGACTTTCTGAAGGGGATGTGCCTCAGCTGGCATGTGAAGTCTGAATCTTTTGGGGGATCTGAGGAGTTTCGGTGCTCGTGGGGTTTCAGACTATTTTCCACTTGAAAAGCCAAGTGCTCACAGTGACAGGCTGTGCCAGTCTTTCTGAGCTTGATGACTTCACCAACTTCCCTTTTTACTGTATTCTTTGTTGTTGCTTAGAAACAAGTGATGAATGCTACAAAGGGTATGGTGCTGATGGATGAGCCAACAGCACCTCCCAGAGATGAGAACTAGACAGTATAAATGACCACAGATGAGGAAACAATAAGAGAAGTAATGATTTTGAAAAATACTTCAGTATGTGTATCTGTTTTATTCTTCACTGTTACTACCATGTTTTGATAGCCTATGAGACAACATTTCTTCTCTGCTAGTTTTGTTCACTTCTAAGTTAGGTGAGCACAGCATTCAGACATTACCCACTGCTTATGGGATTTCACTTCTAGTCAAGTCCCAGATGCTCCCTGAGTTTCACAGTGTGCGAGTCACTGTTCCGGTTAGTACAACTCCGCTGTCTGGAATGCAGTTGTTGTTTGTAACGAGAAAAAGCCCTAACACTTAAGTTCCACTGTGGTAATACAGCTTGGTTTTTCTCCTTGGTGATTTTTCCTTTTGTTTTGTTTTTTTAACTGGGTGAATTTGATGCTTGTGAAAATGAGAGACCAGTATCACTGGCTGGGGCAAGGTACTTCAAAACACTACATGGGCAGCTCTGCCAGTGCACCTCTATCCTTTATTTTTTTTTGGTATTTATTTATATTCTTTTTAATTTAGTGCTGGTGAAAGGTGCTGGATTGACAACACTGGAGGCTGAAGCCCTCTATTTATCCACAGAACAGATACAGCATGGGCGGCAGCCGTGCAAGCTTCCCCACGCTGCCCCCACCAATGTGCCTCATCTCTGTCCTGGAGGGACCACCTCTAGAGGTGAGAGGATAGTTCAGTCACCATGACCCATCAATCCTTGGCCTTTCTGCTGAGACTGCCAACAAAGCTACGATACTCATAATGCTACAGTTAACCACTTTGCAGATGGGAAGTAAACAAAGGCCAACAATTCATTTCGAACAGGCCACCTAAATTTATCAACTTAGCATCTTGTCACCTGTGGCTTTAACCTGAGCATGGTTATCTAGGATTTATAGGTTTCTGCCAGATGTTTAAATGCTTCTCTCATTGATTCAAACATTACTGTAGAGGTGAAAAACCACTATCACGTTATCCAAATACTTATACCACCTTCTCTGTTCAACTGCAGAGTCCTTTCTGGAGCTCATCTGCTAGCACTGTTCTGAGAAGATGGATATGTTTATAATACAGATTAGTTCCATTAGTGACCAAAGGAAGCCATGGCCATTTGTATTAAGAATCCCGCAGGAATTTAAATCTCATTTCTAATTTTCCACTTCCAAAAAATGACCCTTTAACACAAGCAAATTATTTGGCCTGTCCAAAGAAAATAATAAAGCCATTAATCCAACATTTTGTTTAAAGATTAGTCATCAAGAAAGTAGATGAATGATTTGACCATATCACTGAAGAGCAGATTAAAGCAGCAAACCTTACACTAGTCATAATATATACAAGTCAGAGCAGATGTCTTAAAGTGTAATCAGAATACAGTAAGAATTTTCTAATTCTGTTGCTAACAATAAAGACATTACTAGTTACTCTATTTTTTAGATTAACAAGTATGTATCTTTCAGTTTTCACCTGGCTTAACCCTTGTGTAGCTTCTTCCCTATCAGGAAAACAACACTGTTGTTGTATGGAGGATCAGTAAGAAATTCAGAGTTTGTTTTGGCTTCATTTGAGGTGACTCATGAGGCACTGCTCTAACCTTGCTGCAGTTAAAATATGTTCGTTAAGCAGAGATTGTAATGCAAAAAGGCCTGGAAAAAGCCAGGAGCGGGTTATGGTTATTCCAGTAATTTCACTTAAAGTATGGTTGGGACTCCTCTGAGGCACTCTAAAAGAAACTCCCACTTGACACCTGATGACTCACCTCTGAAGGAATCCCTACTGCTTCTTCAACACAGCCCCCTTTTTAACCTGTAGAAAATGAGTCCCAGTGTCTTGCTCAGAACTTCGCAAGAACCCATATACTTACAGTAAAAACTTTCTTTAGAAAGCAAAACAGTTACGGTTTTGTGCAGGAGCAAACTGTTTTCATAACAGTAACGAAAATGATGAATCAGGAGAAAACATTCAGAGAGTTTGGAATTTCACTAAATTAATTTTCAGTTTCATTCCTTAAAACTAATACTTGTCACAAGTGGATGAATACTTTCATAATTAAAAAAGGAAAACTCTCTCTGGCTTCAGCATAGGTTTTCCTTTCATGTTAACAATACGTACAGTGCCACACACATCAAGTGTACCAAGCTACAAGCTAGAAGGGTAGGCCCTGATAACACACGGCAGCGTTCTGTGAGGCCACTGGCTGCTCTGGAAGCTTCTAAAAGCTTTTTTTGACTTTGTTTTTTGCCAGTCCCTGAAAGGAGCCATGGTGATTGTGCTCTCTATCTGTCCCAAGAAGCAGGCCTGATTATTAATAAAAGCTTCAGTTATAGCCACTCCGCTGTGGCTCTCAATTCAGAAGTACCAGTACTTAACTTTGTTTGCAGACTAGATACTTGGCATAATCTGTTACAATCTCTATCACTATAGTTATTTAGAAATGTAGGGTACCAAAGCAGCAGGGCTGTTTTGTAAACTAGACTCTGCCACCATATTTAGCACATGTGGGATTTTTCAGGTCATGCAGTGCACAGTCTGTGGAAACTATAATCCCATAGAAAGTGATGGCACATAGAGGTGGTTTGCATCTTGGATATAAAAGAACAAGGATGACAAGATAAATAAACGGGAAAAGTTTACAGTGTAGGTTGTGCTGCGATGTAGTTCTGGGCACACCTAAAAGTTCAGCATCCTTACATTTGTCATGCAGAAACAGGACTACCTGTGATGTGTGAGTAAAAGAGACTCAGCATAAAGCGTTAACACTGTGTTTTCCAAGCTGATGTTGTATATAAGAGCAAACAATGTTGTCTAATTATGTTTCTGTTCTATGTCTGGGGAGAAAATGAGTTCGGAATGAGAATGCAGATACTCTGCAGCTGTTTGTGTCGGGGTGGGGGTGTAGATTAATCTGGGATCTGCCACCCCTGATGGAATTGTTGCAATTGTAGGACCTTATCCTGCATTCTGCTGGACACATTGTTCCTTCCACTGTGTGCTGAATATCAGTCCCCAAAACTGCATGTTTGCTTTTGCTGGGGTAAAAGCTGCATTAACCAGCACCAATGCCTTTGCTCATACGTTGGAGTGCTGTTCAGGTAATGTGTGTGGTTGTGGAAAGTTTGCAAAAGGGGGCATGTATTCCCCAAAAGCCGGCATGGCTCTGTAATGCGCTGTGTGCTGCCATCTGTTCAGTGCGTGTTTGTGACGCAGTTAAATAATCAGTGCAAATTAAAGCTCACTCCAGCAGCTTCAGAACATCAATTCCTGCCTAATCTCGTGCATCCCAAGGGATGCATGTATCAGACTTTAGGAAGTCACTAATAGGAATCATTCTTCTGGCAAATCCATTGTCAGCTGTTGCCTATCAGAAGGCATATTGTTATGTGGCGCTCATCTTGAAAGGACATGAGTCCCAAATAATTCCACACACCAGGAAGCTGTTTACATTAAATACCCCAATACCTTAAATGACAACTATAGAGATAACTGATAGTTAAGTCAAGCCTATTCCTACTACATGACTCCACGCACTGGTAAACGTCCTGTTGTCATAAAATGGCTCAGCATACCAACACACTCAGCAGTAACCATACATTATCTAGTGACAGGACAAGCAAAGTGCCACCCACGTTTATAGAAAATTCTGTTTCTTATTGGTTTTTGTTTTGCTTTAACAAAAGGAAGCTAACCAAGGTATCGCCAACTAAATGGCAACACCTCAGACTCTCTACCAGAACTGAGGAATGAAGTAGCTTCCTGCAGCTTCCTGCTTCAGCTGAATGGTGTATCTCAAGCTTTTATCCCTGTCTTCTATGCTCAGTCCTAAAATGCACAATTTTATGGCATTTCTGTGACTCTACCATACTTTATGGGACAAGGGAGCATTAGGCACTGTACAGCCCAGCTGCAGCTGATTCCACACAGATGCCCACTTTTTGTCTGTTTGAAGAGCAAGCACTTTGCAACATACAGCTAGGGATGCATACATCTTATACACCTTAATTGTATATAACCAGCCAGTTCTTATTTCATCCTTGTGCTATGCACCCCACCAACAGTTAGCTGCTAAGTGGGCTCGGCACCATGTTTTCTTGAGTCCTGTAAGCTCATCCGTCTGACCAAATTGCAAAGGAGGACTCGATCAGTGGGCATGCAGAGACATGGCTGTTGTTTGTCACGTGTACGTGATTATTCTCACTTGTTTACAGGCTCTCCCTCTCTACCAGATAAGTACCGCCACTCTCGGGAGATGATGATGTTGCTGCCCGCCCATCGGGACCGACCGAGCAGCGCCATGTATCCCGCAGCTATCATGGAGAACGGACAGGTAGCAGATCCAGTTTCTTTTATGTCAGTTCAACAGCCTGAAACTGTGACTTCATATTTTACTATTTTTGACCACTTTAAAGCTCCCCTTTGGCAAGCACAACAACTTACTTAGGATCATTTTCAGAGGCAATGCAGAACTCTTCACATTAATCACCCCCTAGAGCCATCCACTTTGGCAGTCAAGTGATACAAATTGTAATAACTGTTAAAATTGCAGATACACACTGTGAAAATGGACTGTTCTTACTTCCCAACTTTATCCTGTGAGCCCGGGTCCACTGCAAGTAGTCATACCATTTTATTTATTAATTTTTCTAGAACCATGGCCATCCTGCAGTCTAGCCTCATAGCAGATTCTAAATAGCTTTATGGTGATTTCCAGAGGTATCAAAAATCATGAGAAGCTGAAATAATATACTGATACGAAGTCTCCAAACAATCTGTGCCCATATCTACTGTACTTTCTCTGGACAAATTGAAAAATTCATGTATGCCTATATGTAAGCATATAAATCTGGCCTTGGCATGTACTTTTGAAGGGAATCTCCTGATCATGCCCACTTATCACACTTCAGTTCACCTCAAAGAACTGTCTCAGAGCATGCAAACTCAATTCCTTCAAATTAAACCAAAGCAAGAGGTAAGCTCCAGAAGGGCACGTGATGCATTCGAGCTGATAATGGGCACAAGACCAGGCTAGAGCTAGTTTGAAATAACACCTCCAGAGAACACAGGCAGCATGAATTGTGGGTCCTCAGCACTGTTACGGTCTCGAGATCCACTAGTATTGCACTGCAGTACTTGGTAATGTAAACACAGCCTAAGGGTCCCATTAATGTTTTAGTTAAAAAACTGTCTTTGCTTTAAAAAAGCAAATAGAAAGCCCCAAGGTTCTCTCTAACTTTTCTTTTTTTTACTTTTCTGTGCTAACCCTTCTTCCCCTTTAGCCTCCAAATTTCCAGCGCGCCTTCCTCCAGCAAATGATCGGACCATGCAAACCCTGCAGTGACCCCAACCTGTCTGTGGCTGAGAAAGGTACTCTTCTTCCTAGTTAGCATGCATGCTTTCTAAAATGTTATTACTCTGGTCATGCTACAGCAAGTAACGAATGGGCTTCTACATTTCCTGGCAGAGTGCATTCTCTCACATTTTTTTAATTAACAGTTTAATTAACTGGGCCTTCTGCCAACCTATAGTCATTTCAGATCATTCACAGAAGGGTGGAGTTGCACAAACCTCTGTTTCAGAAAGCTTTCTGAATTCAGCATTTTGGTATTCAAACAAATCCTGCAGTCAGTGTTTATCAAGCAGAAGTTCCAAAGCAGCAAATGAGAAGTTATCTGAAAGAAGAGTGCAAGATTTGAACTGTATTTGTACATAATGAGATATACTGCTTTTTAAATATGCATTTATTGTTCAAAATATTAACATTTCTTGTAGCCCCATCTATTTATTTAAGTTTAGCATTAGTACTGTATGCTTTTTTAACTTCCTGCTCTGAAAAAAATGGGGAGAGCCCCTGCAGGAAAAAAAACCACAAAAAAAACCATGAAAGAAAAGGAGGAGTTTGTTTGGTGTAACAGAAAAAAAGGAGCATGTGAAAGGGGTGCCATGGACAAAGCGATGGGCTCAAAAAATTATCTGAAAGGCAGCGTTCTGAAAATGCAGAAGTGGGCAAAATTCATGAGTCAAAATCTGAGACAAGGAGGCTGCCTGAGCAAGCAACAGTCGTGTATGGCCAGGAAAAATTCTATCTTAAAAGACTTTTAAGGCCAGGAAAGACCATCACAACTCTCTAGTCTGACCTACATAATGCACTCAATTAGGCTTTTATGAGTATTTTTGTTTCCATAGCTTTGCCTGAACTAAATTTTATCTTTAAAAAAAAAAAATCCAAATTTTATTTTAGAATTTCTAATAAATCAGAATCCGCTACTTCAACAATGTGACAGCCTTACAGAGTAGTCCAGACTGAAACCAAAAGCCAGTATATAGCTGAATAAATATAGATGAATAGCAGAATGATGATAATAAATGATGACAACAGAAAGTTAGGACTGGGGGGTGAGGGATTAAGAGCTCCATCTTAGCTGTGTTAGTTTGACTTGAACATACAACAGAGGTGGCAAGATCTTTATACTGGATAGGAGAAAGATCTGGAAAAGGAAAGTAGATAAATATTTATTACCTGTCTAGGAAAAATACTTGAATTTGTATTTGTGGGTGATATTATGCATGAGTGTAGCGTACAGTGCAGAGAGAAGAGGATCAGAGACAGAATCCTGTCCAGAGGCCCAAAGAAGCCATGGAAGTCACAGATGATGTTCAGCAGTTGTTCTCAGGGGATGGTGTGACAGGATTCCCAGCTCTTCAGCCAGGTTGGTAGCAGCAATGCAGTTACAGGCGGTTTTTGGAGCCCACATTATTCTTTGTAAGTCAGGACGCCATCTGCTTTGGTTTTTAACAGTCATGCCTCGTGAATTTACCCACCCCCTTCCTTGCCATGTCATAAGCTCTGCTCGGTAATTCTCATTGACAGCAGGGTGACATCAGTTGCCCAGAGCAGAATGGTTCAAATGCAGCTTCCCTGCTAATTAAACTTGGCCACTGAGCCCCTGAACACTGTTCTGGAGAGAGAGATGGGCTAAGACAGAGCACTAAGAGCTCCCTGGGTAGGTTCCTCCCTGAAGCATTATGGATAAAACAGTGGGTTTAACAGGCAGCAGCCACTCTCACAAATCATCTGATCTCAGGATGATTTCCAGCACTCCTAAATACTCAAAAGGCCATGAATGAAGGGACACTTGAGAAAGTATAAATGGATTATGCACTGGGGTACCATGTTCTCTTCTTCACATTCTTCTACTGCATCTTGATGTTTAAAAAAACCAACCAAACAAAAAAACCCCCATAAAAACCATTTTACAGGCCAGGTAAATGAGGCTTTATTCTGTCCTTTTCACTTGATGCTGGTATACTGCAGGAGAGCCTGGCACAGCTGGTATTGTTATGTATCTTGTCCCTCTGATTTAGCCTTTTGACACCAATTGCAGTAGTGCAAGTTAGAGCACTCTGGTACGTGTACAGAACGAGCAGGGTGCTCAGAAAATTCAGCTGAAGCCACATTACCTGTGTTGAGTTGTATCCCTCAGTTTGAACTTGTTCTGTCAAGATTCTTCTTATCTTCTTTGTATACCTTTTTTAGTTTGAGGGTGTCTCTTTAAAAACAATATTTACTTTTTATGTTTTTATGGGTTTTGTTCCATCTTAGGAAGCTGTCACTTTATGATCTGCTTTACTTTAGGGAATGTTAGGTCTTGGGCAGCCTGTGTTCATGCTAACTCATGAACTAAGAAGGAGGGAGGAGGAAAAACAAACACAACCTTTCAAAGTCATTTTAGAAAAGAAACACACCAAAAAATGGCTGCAGGCACTTTAATTAAGGAGAAATCTACTTCACATGTAAAACTCTTACATTTATTTCTCCAGGCTTCCATTTTCCAAACTGAAGATGGAAAAAACTATTTTTATCTCAGTTTTCTTTGGTAGGCTCACTGAATTACTTTGTTCTTTTTTCTTTTCTTTGCTAATCTGAAGAAATTGCTTATTTGCTTTTAAATAAACATAGACTTATTGCATGTCTATCTTCTCAGAATGAATCGAGTCTTGCGGTGTGTTTGGAAGGAAGGAAGGTGCATTTTTATAATGGCTAAGGTTGACAGATTCTCAAGATCTTGAAAAACGTTCATGTTAGAAAGCATGAGGTTTAATTTCTATGAAAAACCAAAGTCCTGAAGCTCATGGTCACTGTAATCTTCCTGATCAACAAAGACTTGATCTCTTCAGGTGACTTTATAATACAAGGAGTCTGAACTGCTGACATTAAAGAATTTGTCATCAAAATTTTATATCAACTCTGTAGCTTAGTAAATTGGACCTTTAAAGTTGTGATTTCTTTTGTAACGGATTGAGGTGTAATTTCCCTCATGTCCTTTATTCGGTCTTCACTTAGCCACTCCAGTGCAGCAACAGGCCTGCTTGTATTTCATGAGGGTTCTACCACATGTCCCCTTCTGCTCTGTCATCATTTACCACCAAGCAGAACAGCTCACAACTGAGATCTAGCTGCCATTCCATCAGTGAGATTTCATTTTTACTTACTCATTGGTTTGCAGAAGAAAAAAAAAAACAAACAAAAACCAAACAACCAAGAAACACCAAACCTAGCAGAGTTCTCCTGCTCTTCACATTTGCTAGAAGTGAGCCAAGGGAGTCGTGGAGGGGAGGTGGGCAGACTAACACTACAGTCACCTAACTCTCGCTTCCTTAACAAAGCAACCTGTAAACTTAACACACTGTAGACTAGACGATGTCTTTGTACGCCTTCAATCCTACCATTTGCCGAGTCCCTAGAATCTGCCTCTCTTCTGCTAAAGAGCACCCTGGAAAGACAGTCCCTCTGGCCCCTCAAACTCCCTGTTACGTTACCCAAGATAAATCTGTTTCAATCCTTCAGCTGTGCCAGCAGCACCCAGTAGCTGGAGCCTAGACAGCGGAACCAGAGAGGCCCTGCCATTCCTGTCTGCCCACGTTGGGAGCATCTTGGCCCCACCAGTACCTCCCCGAAGCCTGCCCCATGGTAAGGAAATGCCCAGCAGGCCCACTGCATAATGGCTGCAGTCATGCATAGATATAAATCAAGACCACCTGAAAGCTGACCTTAGTTTTTTTTTCCCCTCCTATAAAAACAATCAGAAACAAAAACCGAAAGTCTTTCCTGGTCTGCTAGGTTAGCACTGGACAAAGTTTTCAATTTTTTTAATTTCTTTTTTCCCAAAAAATCTTCAAACTTTTTACAGTCCTTATAGTAATACGGACTTGTGTGTATTTTGGGATTAGAACTGGGTGTGAGAGTGGTGAAGCTTGGCCTGGTTTCTTGCCAATGACCATCTTCAGTGGTAATTTAAGGTTACAAAGCTATTAAATGAAACTCCAGTTGTTCATTGTTTACGAGCCTGTTGCCTTGCCATGAGATCCTTGATAAAAGGGGTGGGTGGAAGTCTATCACTGCACTTAACTTCTTAGCGTTTTGTGATGTGACAGATGCACTCCCTGGTATCTTATCAGAAAGGAAGCCCTAGGTTGGAGTGGAGTTATCAGCACTTGGAGCCGTTCTCTGGCATTACAGAGTCTAAAACCCCAGCTCTTTCGCTGCAGTGAGGCAGCACAAGTCTGTGTTTCTGATCCTTGTCTCATTCCAGGACACTACTCACTGCACTTTGATGCCTTCCATCACCAGCTCAGTGATGCTCCTCCGGCACTGCCTGCACGAACGTTGCGCAAGGTAAAAAGGAAGTGGCAGGAGAGCAGAGGGGGACATAGAAGGAAAATAATAGGCTCCTGAAGGAACCCCCCCACTGCACTCCCACCAAGCAGCTTTGAATACAGAACCACTTTATAACATACTAGTAACTTACACATGGGATAATCCACTGAAAGCTCACAACCTACTGCCGAGTTGAATTCTATAGAAACAACTTACAGAAGTGGTAGGCCCCTCCACTTTCCTGTTTTGCATCATATGCTGTGATTTCAGGCACTCTGATGATCACCTCAGCTACTGTTTCTTTAACAGCTCTGGTGTTAAGCACACTTGTCTGCCCACAAGAGGTGCTTCCATACGAGTCAGGAGAGTGCATGTATAAACCAGTAATCACTGACGTTTTGAACACAAAGGGAACTGCACCAACACCATCACTGTTGGAAGCTGAAGTGTGGAACACCACACAAGCTGCAGTCTTACCTCCAGTTTTAACCTGCTTTTGTTTTTCTCTGAACAGTCCCCTCTTCATCCTATCCCTGCATCACCCACCAGTCCGCAGTCTGGTCTAGATGGAAGTAACTCCACCTTATCCGGCAGTGCCAGCAGCGGTGTCTCTTCCTTGAGCGAGAGTAATTTTGGACATTCTTCTGAACCACCCCCTCGCACAGACACCATGGATTCGGTCCCCAGCCAGGCCTGGAACACTGATGAAGATCTAGAGACACCCTACCTCCCTGTCAGGTACAGTCTCTCTGAGCCTGATGTCCTAGAGTCGCTCAAATCCCAGCCATGCCGAAGCCACTCTGCTCCATCTGGAGTCATTCCTCAGGACACCATGGACCCTCCTGCTCTACCCCCAAAACCTTACCACTCCCGGCTGCCAAACATGGAGAACGAGGAGGGGATGATAATTGAAGATGACGACAAACACCGCCCATTGCATCGTAAAGTGTCCCAGCCAGTGAGTGGTGGAAAGGAGGAGCAGGCCAGGGTCGCGTGGGAGCATGGCATCAGTGAGCAGTAGGGACAACTCCTCGCACGTGGCTTGCATCATCATTCCAGGTCTGACTACAAAGGAGAGAGATAAGGACTCGGAGAACAGCAAACCGATTTTCTACTGCTGCAAGTTTGTGTCTGGAGCCCACAAAAGGAATTGGGCCAGCATGGGAGGTTGCTGCTTTCCTTTTTTAATTTCTTTTTAAACCTTTCCGTTATGTTTTTTAACTTTCTGTGCAGTGGACAGTTTATTCCTTCTGCAGTTTCTTAACCACATCAAATGGCACACAAGCCATCGAAACTTGCAGAAGCTGAAAAAACACGATTTTAAGCGGAGGGGGAAAAGGGGGGGGGAATGTGGCAAGTTGATTTTGAAACTGCTTTCCTCCCAGTTCTGAGACGCACATAAGTAGAAGCAGTTGCACTAGGGACATTTTTTTGCTGTACAGAAGTGAAAGCTCATTGCTGAAATCAGGGATTCTATGAACTGTCAGGCTGGAAGGTGCATGAGCTGCAGGCAGTGGAAAGATGGCAATTCTAAGAAGAAATTGGCTCTTTTGAGAGCAGGATTGTACATATCTGTGCAGTGATCTCCCTGCATTGGTTCATAGGTGCTGAGGCAATCTAACCAGTGCTGATGCACTGATTTCCAAGATACCATTTCCAACAAACTCTGCCTCCTTTGTTTTTTATGTACTGTTTGATTTCTTACATTTTGCTTTCACTGGCTAAACCAACCTGCTTTCTCATTGGAATCACGTGCTATTCATCTGTGCTACAGGATGAGAGGAGGTTAGTAGCCAGTGGAGCTGCAACCTAATTGTAGGCCTTTCCCATGCCCAACTTTTGGGCAGGCTGTTGACACCAGCATTTCTATTCCAGTATAAAAATAAAAAAACAACAAAACACCCATCCATAACCAAATTTGAGTTTTTCATGCCACAGCTGGTTGATGACCCAGCCAGTAAAGAAAAGGTGGCTTAAATGCATCATATCCAACAATCCTTGCCTCAGGGCTGAACATCACAATTCTCACCAACTTCCATCACCCAGGAGCTGAGATCCATTCCCTGTTACCATAATATCCTCAGTCCCTCCCAAAACCTCACTGCAGCTGGTGTGCAGAAAGAATCTCCATCTCTCACAGTAGACAGAAAACACTTTAAGATTCAAGGAATGCCCAGTATATAGTGTACACCCTAGAGTCAGGGATCTTAAAGGCAACCTGTAAAGAAGAAATGTTTGTTTCCTCTTTTGCTTCTTTAGAATGTATCAAAAGGCTCTAAGAGCTGCTGCTTCTCTCTTCTACAAGGTTGATTTCTCCTCAGGCACAAATACAGCCTTTCCCCACACACACCTTTTTTTTTTTTATTGACCAGCTCCAGAAAGGGCTGAAGAATGTTTTTCTAATAAAAAAACAACCAAAAAAACCAAACAAAACCAAACCAAGAAATAGAGCTATGCAGAGGTGATGACAGTACAAGTCTATGAACACAAAACAAGCTTTTTAATCAGTATTTGCTTAGTTCAGTACATGACAAACTAGGAGAAAAATTCTGTGGGTAATAGAGCCACTGTCTGAAAAGAACAGTAAGAAATTTTTTATTCCTATTTTCAGTATTTTTCAAGAAATTTTCAATTGAGAGAGTATTGGATATTTAATGTTTTTAGATGCCCACACACATTTTAGCCTTCCTTGTAACCCTTTCCACCTGCAGATTGCAAAGCACACTCCAGAGGATGGTACAGACTACCCTCTTTCTGACCACTGAAAAATCTGAAGCACATTCAAATAAGAGACTTACCTGCACCATATAAATTAGTGTCAGAAACAGGAAGAGCACCCAACTTCCATATTCGGTTCTTGCCCTAGCCACTCAAGTTTCTCATGCTACAAACAGCATAAAGAAGCAAAAAAGGATATTCTAGATCTTTTTACAGGTCACCTTTAGCACTACCTCTAAATACAGGGACTGGGCAGAGTACATTGCTTCTGAACTCTCCTAAAGATGGTCTGTCTGGACTCAGCAGTTGTGTGAAGGGGATTTTAAGAGGATTTGTTTATTTTCTTTCTCAAGCTCTAGCCCATGCAAGACTACGAAATTATAGATTTGTTTCTTAAATGGCCTATTTGACTCAAATACAGTCTCTCTTGCTTCCTCTATTTTGTTATTAACACAGGCTGCTTGTAATCATTATATCCTTCACAGTTAAGACAATGATAATAAAACCTGGCCTATGGTGAAGATTTCATCTCTAGCAGGAAGGAGAGTTTTCCCAATACTAGGACAGTCTTAAATGTAAATGAACTGAGATGGATCTCTGGTACAGAACACATGTATGAAAACTCAACTCAAAATTATGTTTTTGGTAAAGGTAAGTCAAAGTAATTCCTTAGAAATGAGTGAAATATTTTCACATATGCTATTCTCCAATCTGAGAGTCTTCAAGTGAAGTTTTTTTTTAAGATAATTAAATATTCAATTCCATCTCCCCTGCCCCTTTTTTTTTGGCAGGAAGAATAGAAGTGGTAAATGTAGTGACTTACTGGGCTTCCTTACTGCAAAAACCAGCAGGTCTTAGAAATAAAACTTTGCAAAAACAAGAGTGCAACTAACATGGGACTAAGTCCCAGTCAGCTGGAAAACCTGCCCACTGGAGCTCTAATCAGCCTCTCAAATCGTATCATCCTGCTCTGATTAGAGACATTGTACACAGCCGTGAGTCCAGGGTGGGAGTCTGACATTCCTGTGTATTTGTAAGGGTTTGAAGACCAATCACACAGTGTATACAAATACCCAGTTTATGGCAGGTCCACACAGAGAAGGACAGAATAAATTGCTGAATTTACCAAATTTTAAGTCTCTCTGGAGTTAAATCTCTGTTACTGTTCAGAAATCTACCAAGTATTCTGTCTCCCTTTTCAGTGCTTGCCTTAAAGGGGGCAGAAGATAGAAAGACTATTATTAAGATTTTCTGAATGTTGGAACTAATACTTCTTGGAACTAATACTTCTCTGTACAGTGGGGTGTCTTATAGCATAGTACAACTCCTACATCGAGCTCAGTCCTGGAGTAGGTGGAAGCAACAGCAGTTGTTGCACTTGCCCAGCAGGATTTGGAGATTCCTTGTATAAACCACAGCAACAGGATGTTTTGAACAGGACCTTGTCACTCTATACTTAACTCTAATTCAAACTTAGTACGTACTTGCCTTCGTTGGGTTTTCTTTGCGTTAACAAAATAGCATGTGCATTCCTGACAAAATTGGTGGAATTCTGCTACAAATCTCTCCATCATCAGTGTACCTGCTGGCCCCATCTGAAACAAAATTGAGAAAGAACTACAGTAGTAGAAGAAAAGCAATTAATACAATTTCTCTGAATCTCTGAATCACTTTCTTTTCCAGTGATTGGGTTGGTTTTATTACTGTGTGCAAAACTTAAGATTTTTTTTCCGTCTTTTCCTCTCTTTGCTTTTTAGTTTACTTACCCTTTTTTAGATAAGGGATAGTACAAATCCCTTCTGTGGGAGAATCAGCCAAAACTGGGGAGGCTGGAGAGAGCAAGAGCCTTTGGGAAACAAATTATGTGATATTTAAAATTTCTTCTGATCATGCTTCTTTGTAAATACCCCCATTTGAATGCTGTGTATTTGTACAGGAAATTGAGCAAAAAATGTATAGATTGTGATGTCTGACTGGTATTCTGCCCTGTAAATGTGTTTTTAACCTCTGGCATTCTGTGCTTATTTAAAAAAGGCAAAAACCTCTAACCACTTCTTTTGTGTATTCATGTTTAAAATAAAATGAGAACAGCTATCTTATCTATAATGGAAATCAAATTCAAAAGGAAAAAAAATAATTTGTACAAGTGTCCTAAAGGTACTTCATTGTATATATTGTGATAGCATGTTTCCAGAACCAACAAATAAGTGGTGTGAATTTTAGATGTAAATATCTGCCGTTTGTTTTGGGTTTCTTTCCCTTACCCATTCACTCGACTGCTGTGATGTGGAATTAAAGATTAATACCTGATATTAAAAGGGTACAGCTGTATGTTTATTGCTGTCCTCCAGACAGGGTTCTCCTCAGGCTGCTCCAAATGTTCACAAAGTATGTGGAAACAGCCATTGCTTCCCACTTTCCCACTTTTGTGTGAATCAGGAAAATTGGGGGGGGCAACCAAAAGGACCTTGTGGCTATTAGGTGTGCTGAGGGAAGGGCACAGTATTTAATAGCAGTTTCTTAAAGCAACTATCAGGCATATCCACCAGCCAGTCTAGATTGACATGGCATGTGCAACAGCCTGAGACATCAAATAGATTGCTGTTTGATGAGGGATGGCTTATTTTACTTTTTTATTGCAACAGCAAGACATTTTGGCAGGAATTTCATTTCTCAATTTTAAGTATTTAAATACCAATCATTTTAAAAGAACAGGTGTGAAAGACTAGTAATTAAGACATGTAGGAACACAGGATTTGGGATTTAAGAGTTACACTGACTGCTACATGTGAGTAATCTCAAACATGTGTGTTTTCTTCCATCACCACTCATACACCAGGTCATGGTGCAGGAGACGGAAGAACTAACCCATTACTCTCATCCTGTCTTAACAAACACACACAAAAAATTCTGAAACTTGTCCCAAAAGTCATTTAGCAGTAAAATAAAATAACAGTCTTAACTGAAGCTGGCCCTGGGGTGTAGAGAGACTGCCCAGCCACCTTTTTCATTCAGTACATACCACTTACAAATGCTGAGAAGAGGCAAACTGTACCAACATGCTTGAGAGTGCAGCTAAAATATCCAAATGTGGCTTAGCTAAAATGTTCTTCACCTGACACCTGAAAAAATGTCTCTATACGTCAAACCCTTTGAGACTGTTTAGCCCAACTTACCAAATCTTGGGTAACTAAATATTTTTTTTTTATTCAGCTAATAATACTTATTAACCAAGCATAGGAAATAAAAAGTGTATTTGGCACAACAAGACACATGAAGCCCTCAGCTTCAGGAGTTTAAAAAAACCAAGAGTTTAAAAATGAAGAGTTAAAAAAAAAAATCTAGTTACTGTTAAAACCAGACAGTTTTTTTCAGTGCAAATGCTTTCTTTAAGCTAAGGCCTCACAAGTCAGATTGAAACCTAAATACCCCTCCTTATCTAAAAAAAAAGAAAGCTTCAACACAGTTTCAATATATGACTTGGGCAACTCAGTATGAATTTCATTATAAAGCTGATAAAAGGAGAAATTAAAACCTCTAGAAAGGACTGTAACCTAACTGATAAAGATTCAGACCTCTAGACTTCTGCATCAATATGTCTCTTTTTATAAGCTCAGGAATTCTT